TTGATTTATACGAGCACTCTGATCTGAACCCAAAGAAATTCTTCGTGGCATATTTGTCTTTTCCCGATAATTCACACGTCGATAATTGAATCATCCAAATTTCTACCATTTCTGGAAATTTAGAGTGGAACTCTGCACTTTTTTATTTTATTCCTTACAGGTTTTACCATTTTTGTGTTGTTATTTTGCCTAACCAAACGTGAGAATTGATATTTTTTATAAAGGATATATACAAGAACTAAACAAAGAATAAAGACTTAGGGATAACAGACCAGGTAATCATTTTGCTCAAAGTGCATTTTATAACACCGTAGGTATTTATAATAAGAGTCTCTTAATATTTTTGCATACGGTAATTGGTAAAACTTTTTGGTCTTTTCCAATTTTACACCAGGGCTAATGTATATTCTGATTATACAGGGTGGGCCAAAAAAACGCCACTTTTTTTTCAAAATGCTATAACTTTTTAAATTTTTGATAAAAAATCATAATTTGCATACCAAATGAAACTTGAGGATGCTATCTACTCATGGATTATGAATTGTACACTTTTACTTGAGTAAAATATGTCACCAGCCTCCCACTTTAACAATTGGTGTGCCATAAGAAATAAACATAATTTGCAAAATGTTCCTGAATTGATACGGCCTGATGACCACCAAGCTAATAGTCCTGATGCTATCCCCAGTGAGTATACGGTATGGGAAGGTCTCCAGGAGATGGTATGAAGGCACCCAATCTAAAAAATTGCCTAACTAAAGCTGGCAATTAAGAAAGGTTGAAAGAAACTTACCTAACATTGCACCGAAACTGCTATATCAGCAAGGCAACTAAGACTAAACGCTATCATCAAAGAGGGTGACGGACCAATTGAATATAGGTTGGAAAATAAAAAAGTTATAGTGTCTTGAAAAAAAAGTGGCGTTTTTTGGCCCACCCTGTATATACAACCTTTACAAGTTATCTGAAGAAATATAGACCGAAAAGCAGGGGTAATATTGTCAATTACATCCCGCAGGGCTAGGCACAAACATTTTCTGTACCCTGAACGACTGAAGGGAGTCAGGGGTTCAAAAGCTTTTGTGCCTAATATTATTACATACCATTGTTGACAATACACTAGCATTGTCTACACTTATACTTATGTATTGCATACCACCGAAGCACTAGCATAGCCTATCAGAAAAACAAAATATCTAAATTCTTGTGATTTTAAAGATTATGTAAGACAAAGCTAGAGGAGCTTTAGTTATCTCGACAAATGAAGTTCTGTCCATCCGTCTGTCCGTCTGTCAGATGGCTGCTGCTTGAAAATTGGCGCACAGGGCTTTAATTATCTCAACAAATGAAGTTCAGTCCATCAGTCTGTCCGTCAGATGGCTGCTGCTTGAAAATTAGCATGCATGAATTTTTAGGGAAGAACATATTTATGAATATAGAATTCAAACAGCTGCCATTTTGTTCACTTCAACATTTGAATAGTGAATTTTGGTCTTATTTTCAGATGAAAAATTCCAAAACTCACAAGAAATGATTGAGATATTGGTTCAAATCTTTTGAAAAGTTTATTTTGAATTTAAAGTTGGTTATAATTGCAGGAAATAACAATAATTTGAACATTTTCATTGTTGGAAAATATTGAGTTTAGGTCCTGGGAGCCAATCGCCCTTGTTTTTTAGCATATATCCATGTTATGTTTTTGCTTCCTGTCGATAATGAACAACTTGTGGATATTTTGAAAAGGTTTTGTCAACAAAATGAATAGAATTAGAATCTATAGAAATTAGAAATCCATTATTAATATGACCAGATTAATGTATTCAAACATATAAGCAGTGAATAATAAAACAAATATTTAATTCCTTCGAGCATTGTGGAATATCACTGTGGAATCAGTTACTAAACTAGAAAAATACAGAAACTCCAGAAAAAGTTTAGAAAAAAATATTAAGGAAACATGTTCATATTTTGTTTTTCAAAAGCTAGTTATGTACATGTATTGTCTTCTGAACAGGGTATTAAGGGATGATAATATACATCCAGTGGTTTGCACCCTTACCAACAATTGCATGGGGTTGTGCTTTTGTGTTACAAAATAGCGTGAAATTAGCAAGGATTAAAGTACTACAGTAATTAGGCATGTAGTCAACACTCAACATTGTATAGAAATGCAAGAAAATCAGACACTTCATTCAAATTTAAAAGAGAAATGAGTGGAATTAGCAAGGAATAAAGTAAACAGGCATGTAGTCAACACTCTAAATTGTATAGAAATGCAAGAAAATCAGACACTTCATTCAAATTTAAAAGAGAAATGAGTGGAATTAGCAAGGAATAAAGTAAACAGGCATGTAGTCAACACTCTAAATTGTATAGAAATGCAAGAAAATCAGGTAGTTCATTCAAATTTTAGAGAGAAATGAGAGGAATTAGCAAGGAATAAAGTAAACAGGCATGTAGTCAACACTCTAAATTGTATAGAAATGCAAGAAAATCAGACACTTCATTCAAATTTAAAAGAGAAATGAGTGGAATTAGCAAGGAATAAAGTAAACAGGCATGTAGTCAACACTCTAAATTGTATAGAAATGCAAGAAAATCAGACACTTCATTCAAATTTAAAAGAGAAATGAGTGGAATTAGCAAGAATGAAGTAAACAGACATGTAGTCAACACTCTAAATTGTATAGAAATGCAAGAAAATCAGACACTTCATTCAAATTTAAAAGAGAAAATGTTAAACGAACATGATTATTTTAACGGGCAAGTATTGTACATATACAGTATTAAAGAATGTGGATTCCAGGATTCACTGAAGCCAGAGACATATAATAATGTTATCATATGTCTCTGCTGAAGCATAAAAATGGTATTAAAATGCCATGTGCACTTTGACCACAGTGTTTATTCAACAGTATAACTATCTTTTTCTCATAATATTTTTGCGATGTTATTGACCATGAAATGTCTGCACTTTCAGCTGACTCAGACTGTCCTATACGATGAGATGTTAAATTATCCGTTTTTGAAAAACTTTAGACAATTCTATTATTATTTACTCATGGTAAAGCTATAAATGAAGCAAGCATTAAACAGGGAATATGCCTATTTTTGAAGAAAAAAGGATAGAATATTATTTTATAAAATATATGATTATGATGAAATAATGGTTTTGAAACCCAAAAGCTATATTAACAATGTATTGAAAGTGTAACATGTTAATGTAATATAAAGTAAAAGTGTAAAAGGTAAATGTACTCACAATATTTGGGCCTTTGAAAACCAGTCTTATCGGTCATCACAAAAAATAAATTTGTGCTACAGAGCAAAAAAGGTGCCCAAGATTGAGAGGAAAATGTGCTTGATTTAAATCAAAGGACGATTCTCGGTTTGGAGAAAAGTTTCCTGGGCTAATAATTTTTTATGAAAAATATAGAAATATTACCCAAATTAAACTATGAATATTCAAAAGAGGACATTTAAATCTATAAGATGTAAAAGTAACAAATTGGTCTGAAGCAGGGATAACGTTCAATTAGACCGATTCGATAAAATACAAGTCTCTATTTGGGGGAAAAAGTTCATCAGTGTACTGCGCTAATATTTTTTTGGCGAAAAATCTAGAAATATTACCCAAATTAAATTATGACTATTCAAAAGAAGACATTCAAATCTATATTATGTAAAAAAAATCAAATTTGTCCGAAGCAGGGATAATGCTCATTTAGATTGATGAACTTCGTTCTCCAAACCGAGAATCGTCCTTTGGTCAATATCTGGGGGGGGAAATTGTTAAGACATAAGTCATGGCTCATTTGGAACGAATATTTCTGCTTTTTAAGATGAACAAAAAATCAAAATATTGAATAATCTGTGATAATACCCCTTTTCCTGTACCCTATGACATTTATTTATGGTAATAAAAATGCAATTAAGTAAAGATTATGAAAACCATAAATCACATAAATGTCAGTTGGAAATATTTCATGAAAGCTATTCTTGAAATTGATGTAATTCATTTGTTTAATTATTGATTAACTTACCTATTTCTAGTTACACTTTTTAGATAGAAGCTGTCTTATATTTGGAAAGGTGCATCAAGTTACACAATAAAAAATGGAAATATATATTATTGGAAAAAAGTTGTGTTAAACAGGCAGCAAAGACTAAAGAATGTAGGAAGTTTGAAGAAATCTTTTCAAAAAGCGTGCCTATGTTTACCTTCCGATGCTTATTTATTATCTGAACAGGAAATGGTGATATCTGATCAAATATGGATTTTATTGAAGTTTTAAAATGCAGAAATATCAGATTCATTAGAATTAAATGATGATTGTTAATGTTTTATATTGATACATGTGTTTTCTCTGTTTCCAGGGCTCGTCTATCCCCAGTACTTTATATTGATACATGTGTTTTCTCTGTTTCCAGGGCTCGTCTATCCCCAGTACTTTATATTGATACATGTGTTTTCTCTGTTTCCAGGGCTCGTCTATCCCCAGTACTTTATATTGATACATGTGTTTTCTATGTTTCCAGGGCTCGTCTATCCCCAGTACTTTATATTGATACATGTGTTTTCTCTGTTTCCAGGGCCTAGGCTCGTTTATCCCCAGTACTTTATGTTGATACATGTGTTTTCTCTGTTTCCAGGGGTCGTCTATCCCCAGTACTTTATATTGATACATGTGTTTTCTCTGTTTCCAGGGGTCGTCTATCCCCAGTACAGTTGGGGACATAAATAAATGACAGGTGGATTTGCTGAAGTGAGGATTTCCCATGTTAAAAATAAGAGAATTTACAAGAGGCCATAAATCAGTGGATGAGATTATACAAAATGTAAAATATACAAATTTTAAGGGATATGTATCTATACAATATTGGAAATTATGGGCTTTCAGACCACCATAATTAGGAAATAGTGATCGAAAATCGACCTGTCATTTATTTTTGTCCCCAACTGTACTTTATATTGATACATGTGTTTTCTCTGTTTCCAGGGCTCGTCTATCCCCAGTACCCCCACAATAGTCCCCTTTGAACAGCTCCTTACTTCACCCCTGGACGACAGAGCCAGTAAGTATGAGCCATGGGGGGGGGGATAACCAGAAACTCATAAATTAATGAATCCTAAATCCATTCTTGTAACCATGGAGATCATGATAGTGTCATATTGAAAAACAATGAATTATTATTTTTTTTAAATTTTATTTCCTTCATATATACCATAAAATCAAATATATAACAATCAACAGTGGACACTCTGTTTGTCTGTTTGTTTGTTTGCTTGCTTGGTTGTTTGTTTGTTTATTCATCGTCAGTTTGTTCAATATTTATGCCACTGGGTGGGTCATTTTATCAAATTTCCAAATCAACACTACTGGACATCTTGTTTGGGTACAATTTAGGGACTTAATGAGAAATTCAATATTAACAATTAATTAGTTTATTACTGCTGGCATGAGAATATGGGAATTATATTAAATTGTCTAATTAAATCAAGATTTGAAAATCAACAATTTCTAATGTTGCTTTAAGCTCTTGTTGGTATACTATATCTTAGCCCTTTGTCAGAATTACAAAATAAGGCATTTTTGTTACATTGCAAGAGGATTGTCGTGGATCATGCATAGGGGTGTGGTCTGAATGTCAACATTTGTAGAAAATGATCTTGTTTTTATAGTTTGAACCCCCTCCCACCCTCCTTTAATAATGTTAATTTGAAAAATGTTGACTTTTGGGTGAATTTGTCCAATATGACAGCATCTAAGGCCAATATGACAGCATCTAAAGCCATTAACACACTGGTATATACATTCTTAATCAGGCCTGTCAGTTTTTCAATTTATGAGATATGAATAACGTCATGCTTGAATAACACGCTGCTTAGGATCAACAAACGATATGCAAGACGGGTTTGTTCTACATGAATAATTTCTCAGCCTTATTATTGTCAACAATGGTGTCCCTAATTAAATCATGTAGAGTCTGGTCTCGAAGTTGACGTGTGTCACTGAGGACATGCACTTTACAGATCTATATTAAGGGATGTTCTGCTTTGATAACTCTGAGAATCGAGCGATTATTGTCAAGTAATGATGTATCAAATTAACTCATGCAGAGAGTGGTCTTGAATTTTTATCTAGCATGATTTACATGATGGTTAAAGAAATCCCATATGGAGAAATCAAATCTCAAAATTCCCAATTTTTCACCATTTTGGTTAGCCAGACCCCTTCTTATCTGCCGATTCCACTTTGGAAAGATCAAGACAAATTTTTCACTAGTTCATGCGCATTTAGCCTTGAACTTTTCATTTGTTTGACCTTCAAATAGAGAGCTAGCCCATATTGGTAGATTGTGCTAACTGTATCTATAACAAATTACCAAAATTTAATTTCACTGAAATGTTTGATATAATGGCCACCTTGCCGACGTAACAAGTGCCTAAATATCACTTTAATTTTTTTTTATTTATTTATTATCATATTCATTTAGTATTACATTAACAGTGTTGGCACTTGAAATGGATTGGACATGTAGTGAAACCAGTATATAGTGAGCACCTCTGGAGATTCAAAAAATATTCACTGTATGTAAGTGTTCATTACAGAGAGAGAATTTTATACAGGGGTCATGAATGTGTATTGAAGTGGTGTTCACTAAACACAGGTGTTCGCCAGGTCAATTTGAATGTGTCTTGAAGTGGTGTTCACTAAACACAGGTGTTCGCCAGGTCAATGTGAATGTGTATTGAAGTGGTGTTCACTAAACACAGGTGTTCACTAGAGAGAGGTGTTCACCAATAGAGATTTAACTGTATTTTTACATATTCTTCAGGTGTTAAGAGTTTTACTTCTCTTGATGAGGAATTCTTACAACAACAGATGAAATCTTCAGAGAAGAAGATAGAGCATTTGAATGAGGTAGGCAAAATGTTTGGAAAATATCTTGAATTGTTCGAACTGAACCAAGGAGGATTGGCAGCCATTATTCAAACTTGATCTTCAGTTGCCTGGCATGGAACATTTTGGTAAAAATATTCCTGGCATGGAACATTTTGGTAAAAATATTCCTATAAGGTTCTCTTTGGACCAAGTATTTCGTTGGAAGATGGACATTACACATATTATGGTAATATTCAAGCTTCCTCAGCAGTTCTAGTCTTCAAAGTATGTTTAATATCATTACAAAATTGATCTATGCAAGGCAAAGGAGGATCAAGCTTAAATAATGGCTTTCAATCTTCTTTGAGCTAAACATTTAAACTGCCATATTTGGCTGTTTTGTTGGGCTGTTTCATTTGTTTTTTAAACTCATTCTGGATTTTTTAAACATCTTGATTCATAAAGTGTCAGTTGCTCCAGGGTCACATTGATATCTCTAGCAGAAAACTCAATTGACTGAGTAAACAAAGTAAAATGCTAATGATGCTATCGAAAGAAATTCATGTCACTATGCCCTGTAAAGATTTACTCAAAGACAAGCATCAACCTATTATAATATCTGTCTGGTTGATCAATTTTCTCTCACCAGGTAAATGAAAATGAAGCTATTTCTTTTTTTGGTTGCAATCTCCTGTCAAAAACCTGCATACTGTTACTCGAATTAATTGCGAATATTTAATTTGGCAAAATCAGCAAGCGGAGAAAAGGAAGGTGCTGTACCATGAGTATAAGGCTAGGTATATTGTAAGTCAAGTGGAGATGACCAAAATTTCTGAAAAACTGCCACAGACTCAAATTGGCAAATTTTTGCATATCGCTGAATTCGTGAAATTAAAATGGGCACCAAATTAATAAGAGTAATAGCACATGAAGTTAGTAGTTAGTATTGTATGCAATACTAAGTCAAAATTTATTTTCAGCTTGTAAATGAAAATGAGGCCACGATAATGCGGCTTACGGAGCAGGCGAAGATCTTGAAGGATGAGATACGTAGGATGGAACGTAACAAAGAGAGGGAAAACTCTGTTTCTAACATGGAATACCTGAAAAATATTGTCATGAAGGTGAGAACAATTAAAAACTGTCTAATTTGAATGCATCCTGGATGAGTAAAAGTGTTTGGATGAGGAAATGTCCATATTTTAATACAATACAATACAATACAAAAAAATACAAAACAATACAATGCAATGCAATACAATACAATACAATACAATGCAATGCAATGCAATACAATACAATACAATGCAATACAATACAATACAATAATAGGGAAATAGACTTAAAAAGTGTTCATTTAAACAGGTGTTTTAATTAGAAAGGTTTTCAGGAACATTTACAGAAAAACCTGTATATCTTATCTGAACACCTCCCAATGTGAACACTTTTTCCTGGTCTCAAATTTAAGAAACCTGGTAAATGGTAAACGGTAGTTTTCCTGAACTGCCCCAGGATGTTGTCCATGTTACCATAGCAACTATTATTCAAAATATAACAATGGACACATATATGAAAGAAACCATACTTATTACATGCTTTTCTAGAAATTGCAATTGCCAGAGACCATGGCCTTCTATTGTTGCTTTCTTTACAAGGCAGAGATGGTCTGAATATCAGACTTAGAAATATGGATAATGATACAGATATTTTAATCTCCTTAATTTAATCATAAAACCTGATATAAAGAGCATGCACTGCTGAAATGATACTATTTATAAATGATATATCATCATTATTAGATGGTTTTACAATGGATCTACTAACATTCAAAGTAATTATCGAAACAGCTGTGGAATTCATGAATGATGATGCAAGAGACAAGTGTGCCGAATGTGATAATTATAATAGATCACTTTAATCTTTCGGTTGTGTGTCTTCTTTTAAAAATTACTGTGGAAAAGTTTCACAGTGGTCATGTTTTTGAGTTGCAAAATAGAGTGAAAAAGAGTGGAATAAGCAAGGAATAAAGGAAACAAGAAATCACTCAACATTTTGAATTGTTCCAATCATGAAATAGACTTTTAAACTTTCAAATTGTAATATAGAGTGGAGTGGAAATACAAGAATATGATACAGTTCATTCAAATTTTAGAGAGAAATGAGTGGAAAAAGGAAGGAATAAAGTAAACAGGCATTTAGTTAACATTCTAAATTGTATAGAAATGCAAGAAAATCAGACTGTTCAACAAATTTTAGAGAGAAATGAGTGGAAAAAGGAAGGAATAAAGTAAACAGGCATGTAGTTAACATTCTAAATTGTATAGAAATGCAAGAAAATCAGATACTTCATTCAAATTTTAGAGAGAAAATGAGAGAATAAGGAAGGAATAAAGTAAACAGGCATGTAGTTAAGACTCTAAATTGTATAGAAATGCAAGAAAATCGGGTAGTTCTTTCAAATTGTAAAGAAAACAAGTGTGGAAAAGGCAAGCTCAAATTGACCTTTTTTCCATTACATGATACCGAATTGGCTTTAAGTGTAAGAAGTTCAATTATGTACACATCTATGTCTCTCTTATCTCCTTTTCTTACATCTCTGTACAATTTATGGAGCTGTCACATAAGAAGGCCGTGTGGCCTCACCATTCGCCACCATGTGAATACTTTGGGGCAGACATTGTGGCATGGCATAGACACAGGATGACCAAAACAAATAGTTTTGTAGCAAGATATCCCCGTCACACCAAATACAAATATTGATTAATAAATTTAAAAAAAAATAAATGCTCAAAATTATTCATATGGTGCACTGGTGGCGAATGGTGAGTCCACACAGCCAAGTGTGACAGCTACCAGCATATCTGTTCACATTATTCCTTGCTTGCTCCTCTCTTGTATTTTACATGTTAAAACATGACATATATGATATTTCTCTTCCAGTTTTTATTCTCGAAAGCAAGTGCAGAAAAGCAGCAACTTATACCAGTGTTGACCACAATGCTTAGACTCAGTAAGGAAGAAGTTTCCAATCTTGAACTCATGGCGAAAGGTAATGTAATCATTTCTTTAAAGAAATAAAGAGATAAAGAGCTTTTGAATGTTCAGACATTGTTTCTCAAATAAACTAAAATTATTTTCATGAATAAGTAAATGATTAAGGAACGAGAATAATCAAATATTGACAGAATAAAAACTAGAGCTCGTTTGTAATAATATGATTAGTAGTACAATAGTAGTACAATTATGTGCTAAAAGATGGCTCTGTGTTCCAGGTGAAGATGGCCAAGGTGAAGGAGCAGGGGGTTGGGGCAACTATTTACACCGTTGGTCGGGCATCACGTAACCATTGCAACGAATTGTCTGTGTCACTATAGCAACCAACTTTACACCCAGCACCAAAAAGCAAAAAGGTGGCCAACTAGAAATTATTTTGTGTAACCATACAAACCATGGTGTACCAAAATAAAATCCAGAACTGGAAACCTCATAGAGCTGAATTAAAACATGACACCAAAAGCTGACATTTGAGACTTGCAAAATAAATGAATTGGAACTTGGCTCAATAAACCAGATGCGAGTAGAAATAATCTTGATTTACGTCATTAAAAATTAAAAATTCAGTCAAAAGTAATATCATATTTGAAATCTACCTGTAAAATTACATCTAGAAATGTGGTTTTAAAAAGTGTTTATCAACTTTGAAAAATTAATTTTCTTTGAAAATGTGACTTCTAGCTCGGGGAGATTCCCTATAGACCCCATGCTATAAAATCACAAAAAATGAAATATCTTTTCTTTTAATGGACAGATAATATTTTGCTTTACTGGACATATTTTCATTAGTATAAGTATCAGGCACATAAGGGTTATATGAAAATTGAGCCACTTAAATTGATAATATTCAAGTTTAAGGGAACTTTTTTATATACCTGCCATGTTAATTGACCCGAATCAGCCACCTGGTGGTGAAACTGGTAACTACCTACTCGCATTTGGGTAATTCAAGTCATTTCTTGTGGCTTATTTGTGCATTATTATTGTTTTGTTGGTATATCATAGAAGGAAGTGATTGAATCAATTAACTGTAAATCAAGTATAAAATGCTGAACAATATTTACTTTAGTTGAAGCTGTTGAAATATGTGCCACTGAGAAAAATACCCAAGGAAGAATGTTCCAGTAATTTATTGTACCACCAGCTTATTATCTTTTTTTAAATGTAAACGTTCACATTAATGCTGTGGGCAAAAAGGTTCCATTGTCTCAATAAGTCCATCTTAAAATGCTTTATTGTAAATACATATATGTTCAAATAGAACAAGCGGGTTTATGCAATGTATGCATATTATTGTACATATGGGCAAAAATGAATTTGTAAATATGAAACGTGTTGTAAATGATGGTAGCTTGGCTGTCTGCAGCAAGTTGTAATGTCCCCCCTCCCACTCAACATGCATGTGCTTATAGGGTGAAATGAAGTGGAGGGGGACAAATACTTGTTGAAAAAGTTTAAAAGGTTATTTTATTTAAGGCAGCTATTGGTTATGATGGTATAAGAGTTGCATATGTTTGCTACATTATAAGCATACAATGTGATGGTATAGATGGAGTGCAGATCAGTTGATCATGTTGAATGTTCACCGAGTGAGTTCAGCAAAAGTTTGGCTCAGAGAGATTGTTTTCTTAAATCGATGTAATTTGCAACATTTGAAATTAATTAAAAGAAAATCCTGTGAAAACAGTACTATCTTGTCAGTTTGAAGCAGTTTTCAGTGTACCAGTGAAATTTTTATTTTAGGCTAAAGTAAAACCTGTCTTAGTGAACACCTCTTTCTAAACACGTGAACACCTATGTTTAGTGTGCACCACTTCAATAAACATTTTACATTGACTCCTGTATAAAATCCCCTCCAAAGTGACCACTGCCTACAATTGTAGCTCCATAGGTGTTCACTATATCCAGGTTTCACTGTATATTGGTAGTAAGTCACAAGACTCCTTCTGATACTCACAACATCTTTCTGTTTCACAAGAAACTGAGAAGAAATGAGATGTCATGGTTTATCAGGATGCACCAGACTCACTCAAGAAATAAGGAAAAATAGTTTTGAGGAAAAAACCTTACCCATCACTTCATCATTTCCAAAAATGCATGTATTGTTAAACAAAGAATGCATTGAATGTATTGCATTCTGTCTTATTTCATTTATTATCCCATCGAACAAAGTTCGGAGGGATAGAGGAACGCGTCTGTCCGTCCGTCCGTCCGTACGTACGTACGTACGTACGTCCGTCCGTCCGTCCGTCCGTCCGTCCGTCCGTCAGTCCGGGCAATAACTCAAATACCGTTGGCCCGATTTTGTTCATATTTTGTACACATATACCCTATGGGATAGAAGTTCTGCTTGAAAGCCGATTTTCAAAATGGCCGCTCATTTCAAAATGGCGGCCATTTTAGTGCCGATTTTACAGTAATTTTGAAAAATGGCCAACATTTTTATGTGTGTGTTATTTTACAAGTACGTGTGCGATTTTTCAAAAATTTTAGAGGTGGCTACTTAAAAGCATATTATTCCTTCTGATGACAACTTTGCTAGTGAGCAACTATTTTGAAAATGGTGGCCTTTCTGGTGTGTTGTTTTATGATATTTGCTATTCGTTTGTAAAGATGCCAGCCATTTCTGTTCGATGGGATTTGGCGTTGCCGTTGTTCTGGTTTTTATAAGTATTGCAAATGAAATAAATAAGTTAAAGGCACACAGTACTTAAATGTGCTTAAAGCCACCTGTTTAAAGTAATAAATAATGCCTAGATATTGAACAAATATTTCATTCTATTGAGGTGAATACCTGTACATCTTTCACAAGTGATATTCACCGAAAATAGAGTGAAATATTTGTTTTATTATATCACTGTCTAGCTAAACATCCCTAATATTATTAAGTCATAGGTTAACCTTTGAAATACATACAAATCTACTCGGTTCTTCTGCCATTTTGACTTACACTGAACTAAATTATTTACACTGAACGAAAACAAATTCTTTGAAAATTCCCGGGAGCGTGGGATATCGCTAGATATCTCACGGTTGTCTAATCTGATTAGCATTGCCATTGAATATCGCTAGATATCCCACGACATGTGACCCGGTTTTGACCAATCATACTGTCGCTAGCTAGATAGCGATATAATAATTGTTGTTATCCCGGAGTGGACGATTCGGCTTAAATGTATTGTAATGCAAACTGTATTATGTCAGATCGTTATTTAGAATAACAAGTTCCTTTAAACGTGTTGTATTTTGAAGTCAACATGTATGAACAAACAAGAAAATGGTCATGCCGGTCAGGCATCTTTCCATCACTCCATATATGGTTAAAATAACTGCATGATTTTCTCGCATTGTAGTAAACAAAGATCCCTGATACCTGTTAACTTTATTCCTTGGCCTCAAAATTGGCTAAATTGGCCTCGTTTCGAAACATGACCACCTTGACGTTTTCTTTAAAGACTATGGGCCCAAGCACTGCGGTTGTACACGCTTAGTATATATTTAACATACAGGGTGTTCCAAATGATTGCAAACTATTTTGTCCTAATTGTTACTTTTGGTACACCCTGTATGAAAAACTGAGGTAGATTTTACACTTGGAGGGTTGAATATTATTCAGAAATAAAGTGGGAGAAATATTAAATATTGTGTTTGTTGTGTTATATGTACTTTTATTCCATAGTTAGCATGATATTCATAGGACAGCATGTCAAAATAAAAACGGTATTTTTGTAATCAGTGGTAAAATATGATATTTTTGACAAATTTTCACTTAACTATAGCATACGGTGTTAAAGCCATGACATGCGGCGCCGTATGCTATGAATTATGGATTTTTGCTACTTCTGACTCAAAACGAGGCTTAGTGCCAACATCGCCGGATTGTTTGGAAAATTCGAATTCAATCACTTAATTTTCGACGATTTTGATGACTTTTACTAAGCTCGCTCGTGCAGATATCATATCCATTCGTGGATAAAAATCATATCACTCATAAATCATAGGATATCCTCTATATATATTGCACGTAAATGTTGCCACATTTGCAAATCCAAATTCTCAAACATTTTCCTCATAGGTGGAATTGGCATATCTTCTATTGACAAAAATGAATGCAACGAAAACTCTTCATTTTGTTTTGTCTCACTTCATGTATTTTCAGTTTGTGGTTTAATTTTCAAAATTTCACCCGTTTAAAATTCTCTTTTCCCTGTCCTTTCCCAGAATTCTAATATCCTGATCATTTATACCATAATAACCCTCTTAAAAGATTTTGCCCTACGAAAATCTTGGGACTTTCTGTGTTTGTGTTCTGATGTCTTGGGAACCTGAAGCACCATCTAAATGAAAAAACTAAGTCTATATACAGTACAGGAAAAGAGAGTCAATACATTCCATGTACAACTTTCAAGTAGGTGGCACTTCAAGATTCTGTGAGTAATGCCCCCCCCCCCCCCTATATTCAGTCACTTGTACTTTGATACATGAAAAAACGGGTCAGTGCAGTCCTCATTCAAACATAGGACAGATAGTAAACCAGTAGAGCTCAACCAGAAATCAGCATTGGTTAGTGCATCAAAATTTGTTGATTGTTTTTTTTATTATTACTTTTGAATATTAATTTTGGTCTTCAATTAATCAATTTCAATAAAAATTTGATGATTTTGTTAAAACGGCCAAACAGAAACATCCAGTTAATATTGGAGCTTCTAGATGCCAAATATTTGGAGGGGAGTGTACTTCAGGAGAACAAGTTTTTGGAGGGGAGTGTACCTCAGGAGAACAAGTCTCAGAAAAAGTTGTCAACAGCACACTCGTGAGTATAAGTAACCAACATAAAAATACCATATTTTTATTCTCCATTATTTATTTATGAACCCATTTTGCCCTATTTGTTCAAGGGTAGTAACATTTACACATACACATCTTTTTTACATGTGAAGCTTATAACATACTATAAGGAGATTAACATGTACAGATTAACATACATAGATTTTCATGTATAGATTATGACATGTAGGTTAACATCTACAGATAAATATATGTAAATTAACATGTACAGATTAACACATGTAAATTAATATGTAAATTAACATGTACAGATTAACACATGTAAATTAATATGTACACATTAACACATGTAAATTAACATGTACACATTAACACATGTAGATGAACATGTACAGATTAACACATGTAAATTAACATGTACAGATTAACACATGTAGATTAACATGTATAGATTTACACATGCAAATTAACATGTACAGATTAACACATGTAGATGAACATGTACACATTAACACATGTAGATGAACATGTACACATTAACATATGTAGATTAACATGTACACATTAACATGTAGAACTTAATTTGTGGCTAATAGACCAACAATATCATACATTCTGACATTACTGCATTACTTATCTGATAAACTAAAATGATAACTGTTCCCCTTAAATGTTGTTCACATAAATGTGTAGCATAGAATGTTCCTAAGCATTGATGCCCATGATTTGTACATATTTACAGTCTAACACCCCCAAAAAAGTTTGACAACCTGGAACTCCCTTTTGGACAATGTGTTAAACCATGTTTACGAGTCTGGCAATTTTCAAAGATTCATTAGTCGTAAATTTTGGTTAAATTCACAAGTAGTAATTTTTGCTTTTTGAAAATTCAATATTCAAACATTAACATGAGTTCACCCACTATCCATTGGAAAGTTAGAGTTGTCAAACTTGTTAAGGAGGTGTAAGTGCTAATGATTGCTCATTGCATACATATAATAATGCACTATCTTCTTTAGGTTTATTGTATAATGTCTAACTGATGTGTTATCACAATGGGGTTTTTGAATATAAGTGTTCAGTGCAAATGTCTTGAAATGTCTTTAAAATACACAATGTATTTTGTTAATAAGTGTTTCATTGGTTGCAACCACAGATTTGTATGCTACTTTTTACTTAAGATATTTTCAGATAATTTAAATTTTCAAAATATACAATATCACATTTTTTGTGTGCAATATACAGCAAGCTTGATCATCACATAGGCCACAATTTTTCAAAATTTTGTTTTACAAGTCTCTTGGCTTCTTTTACATTCCCCAATTGAACCAATTGGCCAATCAGAAGACAGTAGCTACATTTTATCAACTGATGTATGGTTACTAAAGGAAAACTGTACTAAGACTTTGGAAAAAGACTTGCATACAAAAACTTCATTCATTAAATTCCATCTACATTCAACGAGTCATAGGGTTAAATCCCTTACTATAAAATCCACAAAAGGCTTACTGTTAAACAAACTAATCAAAAACTTTGACCTAAGCTTAACTTATATAGTTTTTCAACATTCAAATGGACCAAATAATAAAAATCTACTATGTAAATCAATCTCTATATAATAATAATAATCATAACTACATAACAATATTCTATATGATTCACAGGTTTAAATAGTGCTTCAAGGTAAAAAAGAATTTGTAATTAATATTTTCAAATTATTAATATTTTCACATTACTAAAACAATATTACAGAAAAATTCATTGAAAATTGGTGAAACTGAATTAGGAGAGAAGGAATCAAAATGTATTTCTCACATTTGAAAGTTTGATTACTGAAGTAATTGTAAAAAATGTATTCTTAAAAAGACATTAATAAGGAATGATTGTTAAGAAGTGACTTATTGCGTCCTAAAGACATTCAAATGGTGTGGTAAATAAATGTTATTATACAATAATATTCTATTAGTGTAAAAATATAGAATTTCTTTTGAAGTGAAAGCGCGCACAAACTGTACATATACCCCACAATACATTTCAGAAAGCTTAAATCAAAAGAGGTTCTTGTCCCATGATGCAACAGCTTTAACAATTTGCATTATGGGTCAGATTCCTTTCCTTTCATAAAAATAATTTATTAAATACAAATCCTCATGGGGCCAACAAACCTTTCCTTAATATTACAAGCTGGGCATTCATTCTACATATAACCCAAAATTTGAAAAATTCCCTAAAAATCATACTTTTTGGATAAATATTGTCGGAGGCAAGGGTCCAAATATTTTATTAAGGGGAGAACATTAAGAGTTCGTATTCTTATTCTGTACTTAGGTTGAATTTTTCAGAGAATCAAATCATATTGTATTTATGGAATGTAATACCCAACTTGAAATAAAATGCTCAAAAGCCCAAATAATACCTAGCTATGTATCTCTATATACACGATTATTTATCCCTCAAGAAATTACTATGTACATTGTTCACCAAAACTGTCTATACTTATAATACCCAGCTCATCAGCTTTTATGCATAGTCAAATATCCCAATATTCTATCACTTTTAACTTTGTCTAAGCTAGAGCTGAATATATTCTTAACTCTATCGAGGCTAGAGCTAAAAATATTTGGTTTCACTCCTTTAGAGAGTCAGTCTTGCTCAATAGGTGATATTCTTTTACTAAGAAACTGTCACCAAGTTGAACAATTTTTTTTTTACATTTTGGAAAGTCTGTTTTTTGAGAGGTGTTTTTCCTTCATTCTGAGGGAATATTTTTAAATTCCCAATTTTTTTAACTTGGAAAAATAAAAATATGTCTGTGTGCCGTGCTATTCTAGAGTTAGATGATCCTAATTCAAAGCCAAGGTCATGAGATGTCAAAGTTGAAGGTCATTCAGTAGTATCTCCATTTTGCGTCTAATCTACCTTGACCACACTGTAGATCTTTGTCACAAACCAGAAGCATGCAAAGAAACCTATGCTCCCTGAAAATAAAAAACATTATGCTCTTTATGGGTATGTAGTGCCAACCACGTAAATCTAATGCTTGATAATTTTAGTGAATAAATAAATAATAAAAAAATTTGAAAAACACATTCCATTGCTATGGATTTCATTGCCTTGCTTAAGCTACACAAATATGAAACAATTTTCACTGATCTCCACAATTGTGTAGCAACTGCGTGCTAAACGCTGTAAAAATTTGAAATTAATTCTAATGAAGATATTTAACTTACCTGTGAGTAAGAAAAACACAAAGACCATAATGAAGGTGTAGCCAAAGTAGAGCAGGGTAGATACACCCCCACTGATCTCAAGTCTGGACACAAAGTAATAGATACAATATATGAACAGGTAGACTGCCGTGAATCCACTTGTTAGGAATGAGCGCCACCACCAGTGGTAGTCCTGAAAAAAAGTTTTCAATGAATTGTTATTTTGGGTTTTGAATCTTTTGGCGTAGTTTTAATTGAATTTTTGTTTATCACATGGAATGAGTGCTTGGTCTGGAATAATATATGTTAACGTTATTTTGCCCTTTCAGTTTTTCAATTTTAGTGTTCTTTTTACTTTAAAATTCTATTGATACAATATTTGTTTTTTTTGATAAGTTTGTATTTATTATTTTCAAATAATAATTTGATAAAACAGATATTTGAAAATCTGTCAAAGAGTGTTAAATGTATTCTTAAGATGTAAAATCGGTAACATAGGATGTAAGATCAGTAGCATACCTCGGCACATAGGTGGAAATAGCAGAGAAGTATAGTTGCCTGGGAGCAGGTTACGATAAGAATGATAAACACGAGGAACAAGAATCCAAACATGTAGTAGATCTGGTGAGACCTGAAATAAAACAGAAGTTTACAATAAGACCTGAAATATAGCACAAGTTTACAATAAGAATCCAAACATATAGTACATCTGGTGATACCTAAAATAAAACAGGAGTTTACAATAAGACCTGAAATATAGCACAAGTTTACAATAAGAATCCAAACATGTAGTAGATCTGGTGAGACCTGAAATAAAACAGAAATTTACATTAAGAAATATGGTTAGGCATTAAGATGACAAAATTACACAATCTGGTTAGCAAATTTCAAAAGGTTACAAAAGTGTAACTAATTGTTACATATGACAAACGTTAATCACAAAATTTGTTGGCTGTAATAATAATTAAAACGTGTCTAAGTGGAACACCTCTGGTACCTCTTTAAAGTGTTTCACTTTGGACTTTGGAGGTGTTCCACTTTTAAAGGTTCATTTAACATTAAGTTGGTCTTGGGACTCTAAAAAGTGTTCCTCTTTGGAGGTGTTCCACTTTTAAAGGTTCATTTAACATTAGGTCAGTTGGTTTTGGAACTCTGAAAAGTGTTCCACTTCTAGAGGTGTTCCTTTTTAGAGGTTTCACTGTTACTTATAGTAATAATATTTGACCAAGTAGTGCTATTAATCCAGAATTTAACATAAATATTTGGGGATTTATATTACGATAGAGTTATATTACGATTTAAGGAACCATCTTGTTTCTCTTACCATATGCTATTGAGAATGAAGAAAAGTTGGATGAAGATACAGCCAAAAGGCAAGACTCCTCCCATGACGATACCAGGAATAGGTTTGGTGTAAAATGTCTGGTCGGGAATCTGGCGAGGGATTTGATTGGTTCGCACAGGATGCTCAATTGGCTGAAATGGAAAATGTGTAAGAATGCATAAAATTCATTTGTTTTCCAATATACTGTGTGAAACAACTTTAAAATATAATATACTTAGTATATATAATCTCAAGTATATCAGTATTTATATTATTAATTTATTTTATAGTTTTGTATCAGAGGCATAAAAATTGATTTTTCAATCAAATTCCTTTATTTAATATCATTTCAATTGATATAAATTGATTAATTCAATAGATATACAGGTGGATATTGGAGTGCAGTGAAACACATTCGGTAAAAAAGTTTTTTTTGACTCAATCTTACTTTTTTAAAGGTTTGAGAGTACCGCTTAAATAATTTCATTTTTATTTAGAATCCATTATTGATTCACATTCAACAACCTGGTTGTTTACTAAATATCATTGCACAAAAATACCTTTACATTCTATTACAGACATACCCCTGTATTATTCTGTTAAAATAGCATAATTTTCAGTCTAAATGCACTTCACATTCAGGTCTCCCTTATTTTAAATATCCTGATCAAACAACCATAGTACCATAGGATATTATATCCAAACACCCCTTATTTAACCAGTAAAATCACCTCAAAATGGTTTTAACAATTATTTAATAACTTTCAGTCTAAACGCATTACACAGGTGTTCATTTATTTTAAATATCCCTTACTAAACAACCACAGTACCATATTAAGATATCACATGAAAAGTACCCCTTATTCAACCTGTAAAAACACCTCTGCAAAAAAGTACCAAAACCCCTGAATTTTGCAGCCAAAACCATCTTATTAACTTCCAGAACATTTCTGCCCTATATTTTATTTATAAAACAGTTACCTCCTGTATTTCCATGCAGGTGTGAAAACAAAATTAAATATTTAGATTCATTTTCAAATAATTTTTCAGTATTACATCCCACTCTTTTCCAAGTTATAACTTTTAGACAGAAAAATTACAAAAATATTTCTTCATTGGAGAACTCAAAAAAGTTTTTAAAGCCTCTTTTGACATCACAAGGGAATTGTGGGAACAAACCCTCCTTGTACTCATCCCAACCATCCCAATAAAATTAATTTTTACATAGTCATAAAACTTTGTAGATTAACATGGAACGTGTTTGCAACTGTGGGGGGACTAAGTAAATGTGCACGATAAGTACATACCCGTTTCTTGAAGCCAAAGTATGCGCCAACAAATGTAAGAGGTACGGACACTCCAAACCATAAAGCTAAGAGTGCTACGAGGGTTCCGAATGGTATAACTGTGGGGGAGACTAAGTAAACATGCACAATAAATACATACCCGTTTCTTGAAGCCAAAGTATGCGCCAACAAATGTAAGAGGTACGGACACTCCAAACCATAAAGCCAAGAGTGCTACTAGGGTTCCGAATGGTATAGCTCCACTGCTTCCCTTGATCCACAACACAAGGTTCAATATGAAGAAGACGGCAAACACAATCCTAAAACAACATAAAACAAGGCGTAAACACATGACAAATGTCACAGACATCGAGCGCCAAACACTGTTTAGGGCAGGATATCATTTCTTGAATGTTGAATAAAAACTCTATGGAAACAGATCAAAAATACCACTCTTTAAAGGTATTTTTTAAATTTTCGAATATTTTTGGCTCATTTTTCTCGATTTTTTGCACTTTGAACCTTTAATAACCAATTGATTACATATTGGGGATACTTAAGGATATATCATATTTGAGATTATAAGGAATACACTGGTATGTCATTTGTACATGTTACTTGCAATTTTTCACCCCCTATAGATCTGATTCTAGCTTTAATATGTATACAATTGTTAAACAGCAACTTATTGTTCTTACCCTGGGCACAGAATTGAGGTCAGGATTACATTAGACTTCCACTTTTCACCTCCCATCACTGAAAAAAGATTTTTAAAATATTTTAATATGTGACACCAGTCAGCTCTTATATATTACCTTAAATTATCTTACTAAGGACTGATCTTTGAGTGTCTACATTTTCTAACCTAACAAACATTTCAGTTTTAAATTTAAAATTCCAAAATGTCACTGGACTTGAGATTTCAAGAAAATCTTAAAAACATATTTTAGTGCTCTAAATGTTTTGTATTGAAGTAGAACTAATAATCAATCTATATTTGGTTCAATGCTTACTTTTATATATTCTAGAAGAGATGTAGCCAGCAGGGGTTCCCAGACATACATAAAGTACAAGGGCACATGTCATCAAAGACCCTCTGTTAGCAGGTGACAAGAATCCAAGACATGCAAATACTGAAATAGATAAACAAAAATGTTACAAACTGGTTAGGTGTAACATGGATACCAAATGTTGTTCAAAACTAACACCAAATGCTGGTTGCAAAAATGGTAGCTATGACAATATGTGATGACATCAGAACACAGTTTAAGTGTAAAGTTTTCAGTTATAAGAAGTGTAAATTTTAAAGATGGGAGACATCATACTAATTGCTTTGAGAATATTTTGAATCCTTGAGAGCATGTTTTTCTACTTTGGGCTTGATTTGAGATTTATTTTTATATACACATTTTGAGTGCTAACAAGTATTTTCAGTGTGCGCTTATATAATGAGTCAGCTACTTATTTTGAGTGCTTTTTTAAAACATACCCAGTGTGATAAGAGCCATAAAGAATATCTGTACTCCATTGCCAAGGAACACTGACAGAACCATTCCCTTTCTGGGGGGTCTGAAGACATCCCCATGTACCAGCTTCCAACCAAACTCCTCTTGGGCGTCATCCTAGTACAGATACACAATTTAATATATTATTATCATGAGACAGGGCATTAACATGCAAAATGTCAATACCCGCCATTTGTTACAGATGAGGAATGACAGATGCCAACCACCACCCACTAAACGCCAAACTCCATCCAAAAAAAAAGACTATAACAATATATTTTCACATCATTTAGTTTTGCGGTCAGTATGGATATACAGTAAAACGTGTAAGGTTCAGCCTTTCTGTTATTATAAGGGAAACATCTACATATTGTGAATTCCCATTTGAAGTGCTGTTTCCCATGAACTTATTGTAAAATGGCCTCTATAGTTGGAACATTGACAAATACACCTGGCATACTATTTTGAGGTTTTATGTTCTTCACTTTACACAATATATGTTTTCAAGGTTTAAACAGCCTACAAATGGGTGGAATATTATATATGAGTAAAATAGAAACGAGTGAAACAGATATGAGTGAAATACAAATGAGTGAAATACAAATGAGTAAAATACAAATGAGTGAAACTACTCACAGAGTTATCCATCTGGTTGTATCTTGCAATGTCTTTGTGAAGAGTCCTCAACATGATCATAGCAACCATTCCACTAAGGAACAACACAATCACTAGGGAGTTCATGATGCTGAAAAATACAATAAAATTACCAAAATGTACAAATTTCAGTTTGGATGAACCAAAAAGTACAACTGAATGCTCCAAAGGGAAACAAGCAAAATTATCTTAAATATGTTCATTAATTGAATTATAAATGAAATGATTTTTTCCAAACTTTTATATTTTACACATAATATTTACACAAGGCATTAAAATTACAAAACTGTAAACACTCATTTGTGGTGACATTAAATATCAGCCACACAACGTGACAATTCACAGTGACATGATACATGAAAATAAATGTTTAACTATATAAAAAACGTACCTGAACCATTGAATGTTGGTATGTGGCATGGAGTCCAAGATGTAATCCCATCTGGAGGACCATTTAATATTTGGGTCATCCTGAAATAAACATACATTTGTTAACTTTAGACATTTGTTGAGTGATGATATACATTTTTGTACTCAAAAAGCTATTGTACTCAATAAATATTCATTGTAAACATTCATTGTACACAAAACAGTCAATGTAAACTTAATAATGAATTTCTATTGAAATTGACCATTCAAAATTGAAATGTACTTACCTTAAATGTGACAGAGTAAGTATAGTTAAAGGTGATATCATTGTTGGTACCAGCAACTCCTAATACAGGGGCCCCGCTACATGCTGCCTCTCCAGTCTTGCCAGCATTATGCTTGATGCTAAAATGAAACATTTGGTACATTAACGCAGGCATTCTTATGCAGTTCATTAAAATGTTAAGTCTTTGTCTCACAAATTTTTCCAGATAGATTTTCTTTTTGTTCTCATTTATTTTGCCTGTTACAAGAAATTGTAATGAAATTCCTCGAAGGTGAGCTAAAGTCTAGTAATATGAAGCACATGGGACTGGTGCGAGTGACAATTGATTTGCATTTTTGACAATTTTCTCTCCATTCACATTTGAAAGGTAAGCAAAGAATGGGTGTCTCCTAATATGAAAAAAGAACAAAACACACACACAAACTTTAAATTCGAACAGTCATCTCATAAATTAACAAGCATGCCTAAAATCTTATCAGATCTCCGCCCAAAAGGCATAAGCCTATAAAATTTGAATCAAATCCATCAACTGGTATTTGAGTTATCACCCGGACAAACAGAGGGACGGAAGGATGAAGGGAGGGATGAACAGCTTTCCTATATCCCCCTCTAACTTCATTCGGTGGGATAAAAATGGGCATATTTTGACCAATTTTGGTCTGAATTATGAAATTAAGAATTTTGCACCCACTTGAGAAAAATCCTTTGGAGAGCACTGAAGTTAAATTGATTAAACTGACTGAGATTTCTTCAACCGACAATCCATTATGACAAGACCACAACTTTTTGAATGTTATAAGCTAATGGGTTTATACTAAGAAACACTGTTTACCTCCTTGGTTCAAGTTTGGCTGAGATAAGACGTCCAGCAGAGGTAGCTCCGAGAGAACTTCCCCATTCTTCCTTTTCTCCACTGTGGTAGGCTATGGTGATCTCAACGTGGTTGAATATATAGTAGGTGTCTTTCTGACTAAATTCAGCCTGCAATAGTGGAAACAATTGAACTAGTTAAATGGTGGTAGGATATGGTGATCTCAACGTGGTTGAATATAAAGTAGGTGTCTTTCTGACTAAATTCAGCCTGCAATAGTGAAAACAATTGAACTAGTTAAATGGTGGTAGGATATGGTGATCTCAACATAGTTGAGTATATAGTAGGTGTCTTTCTGACTAAATTCAGCCTACAATAGTGGAAACAAATGAACTAGTTAAATGGTGGTAGGATATGGTGATCTCAACATGGTTGAATTTATAGTAGGTGTCTTTCTGACTAAATTCAGCCTGCAATAGTGGAAACAATTGAACTAGTTAAATGGTGGTAGGATATGGTGATCTCAACATGGTTGAATTTATAGTAGGTGTCTTTCTGACTAAATTCAGCCTGCAATAGTGGAAACAATTGAACTAGTAACAACTGAATTTTGTTCACCTTGTAAATTGTCTTCAGAAATAATTTAATCAAAAATGAAAAGTGGACTATTTATTTAAGCCCATAAATTGTCTTATGATGAATAATCAATTTGTTAAAGGTTATTACAAAATAAATTATTTGAATCTAGAAATACCAAATAAAAGCTTCATATTTTCTCATATCAACTTGAAGCAAGTGTGAGGCATTATGGGATACTCACATTGATGACGCAAGCATCTTTAGCTTTGCCTTCAGCCGTGACGTAACATCCAATGGGGAACCCAGGAGAACAGTATTTCTGATCACCCTCGACTTCATAGCACCATGTGACAGGCATGTTATCAATGATCCTGATTGAATAAAGAATTTCAACATGTAAACTTTACGTTTGAATGATTAGTTTAACGACCTTATATAAAGTATATGTTTTGTGGGAATGCATTTCAGGGATCATCCCATGTTTTTTCTCAACAAACTGGTTGAGAATCAATTCTTTTTATAAAATAATCAATATTTCATCTTTTTCAAAGGATAATTTTTTTTCAACAGAATGGCATGTAATTTTCAAGCTTTCAGATATTTGCAGTCTTTGGTTGCTCGACTACTAGAACAGTGACTAGACTTTCCTTTCTACTTTAAAATTGTGTCAAAATGATGAAAAAGCACTAAAATCATTCATTTTTACCAGAAACTTGAAAAGTGTATAAATTTGAATAAAGTGTCTCACTTTGGGGTTTTCTAACATACTTTTACATTTTACTACCAAGAGCCTGAAACATTTTGTAATTTTCTTGCTTATTCCAATCTTTTCCACTTATTTTCACATACAAAAGGATGGGTTGCAAATGTGCTGTTTTTTCCCCATCAATCAATTTTGACCATTTTACTAGTATTAATACCTCAATATGTGCTTTTTATGAGAAAACTATTTTGCAGTCATTTTGACCTCAACTTTAAGGTCAAATAGGTCATTGAAGTAGGTCACTATTTCAAGTCTAAGTCTGGAACAAATTCTATTCCAACAGAACTCATTTTTATACCTTCCCCAAGACTGCTATATAAGTTGATCACATTGCATTGCTAGATATGCTTCGAAAAGGGTTATTTGAGTCTTGGACCGATAATTGGAAAATTGCCAAAAATGTAAGTACAAAGTGTATTGACACTGTATGGTACCTTTAAGCAAACAGAGTTATTTCTTACTTTCTCTTGTAGTATATAATTATAATTATGAAATCAAATCAAATTATGAGTTTTTGTAATAATTAGAATTAACTTGATAATTAATGAAGTAACTTTAATATATAGTGATCAATAATGTTTAGGTTTATATAATCCATCCAATGAGACAGACAAACCATTTTCTGTACTACTGCTATTGTACTTTATTGAAACATTAGTAAATATCAACAAAAAAGAAATAAATATTTGTTGTAACAAATGTAAAAGTAAAAAGTAGAAATCTGCAACGATGCCAATTGTACAACACTGATAATCTCAATAAAATGAAATAAACAATTGTAAAAACACAATTCATGTGCACTATAAAAATGTTTCATTGTGTCTAACTTGTAAAATATTGTTCATTGATTTCAGATCCACTGCAAATTGTACTATGCTGAATTTTCTGCATTGGTACAAATGTTTTAATATTGAACATTTTATCAATATTAAGTTAAGTCACCATGTATATAGTAGTGTTTAATTCCAGAAACTTAGTTGGAATCTGTATCTGAATCATCAGATTCAGTGTCTGATGTAACTTTTGCATCCATTAAATGAATGGATGGGTCCTCTTGAGGCTCAAAGGTTTCCTTGTGGCGCATCTTCCCAAGGTACCAGACCACACTGGCAATGTGTGCGCAGCAACCAACTGTGCGTGCACCAGTTTTACAGGTGCAATACCAGTCAATCACCTTTTGAGATCTAGAGTACCTAACCCACAAAGTGTACACCTTTGAACTTACATGTCTACTCTGCAGTTTGACACGAATAATATTACTAAATTGTTCATTTATTTGGATTTCATAGTCTCCATTTTCCTGTAGGTGCTGACTGGCATAATAAGGGGCTTGCTTGAGCTGGTAAACCCCCAGTGTAATGAAACGCAGATCTTCATCAGATAACTTAGGGAAATTAGGGGCAGCATTTTCAGCATCAAGCTTAACCCAAGCACCACTTCTACTGGCCAAATTGTTCTGAAGAACAAAACTTTGAAGATGATTTGGTTTAGCTGCCAAGACTTTCATTCTCTTGGCAATCTTAATGTCATCTGGATGAGAACGTTTCAAAGGTACATAGAATTTGTTCATGATGGAACAAACGATTCGCACATAATCACCAATAAATGGAATTTGAGAGTTACTAACTACATTTGCGAGAAATTGGAATCGTTTCATTCTACCATTAACACTTTCCACCACCCATCTCACTTTGGTCACCAACCGTGACTCATTCGCTTCATTAGTTGAATGCTGTTTTGAACCTTTTTGTAGAAATGCTGGCATTCTCGGTTCCAAACTATTTTCTGTGATTGTCTGTAGACAATCCCTGAAGCCTCTATCAATTATGAGGAAGTCACCTGGTTCGACCCATTCAGACATCCCTGATATATTCTGATTGAGAATATCTTCAAGAATCGCAGCATCGTTATTCTTTTGATCAGCTAGGTATGGACCAACTACATCAACAACATAACCAGTAGTGGACACAATCATCATTGGTTTGGTCAGGTGTCTCCCCTTGTAGATTGAGTAGGATCTCCTTTGAAAACTGTAGTTAGAACTCTTTTCTATGTACACATAGGTTCCATCAAGGACCAGAATGGCAACATCACCATCTTGAGAAGTGAAGATTTCTTTAGCCATATCAGTAGTGAGATCATTTATGAGTGTACCTCTATTTGTAGCATTGAATCCAAGATTGAAAGGAACAAAATCGTTCATAAGAGAAGTTCTAACACGTTTGATGATTCTTGACACTTGACATTTTCTTCTTAACTTGAACAGGGCCCTGAGTTGATTGTGGGATAATGACATACGAAGTTTCATGAGGAACAACCCCAATGAGTTTGCATTGCTGATAACTGATGACTGTGGCAAAGATGTAAGAGTATTCAAAAGGTCATTGAAATCGTTTCTCACAAGTCCTGTAAAGACCTTACAATCTTCATCAGAGAGTGATCCATCATCGAAATCAATAATTTGCTGGACTTCAGCAGGGTTTGAAGGAAATGAGGAAGTGTTAATATTCTGAAAGATGTTGATAATGTCATCTGAAGTAACAGTTGTCATCTTCTTTGTACACTTGTCCTTGTCAATCACAACATCATCTTTCAATAAGTTGGTTTCTTGGTTTAAATGTTCTCTACATATGTAGTTGTTCCTTGGGACAAAAATAGAGTGCTTGGACAGAATATTTACTCTTGCTTCTTCTGGTACTACAATGCACTTAGATGTTACTTTCAATGAACATATAAAGCATTTTGCTTTAGAGAATCCAATGGAAGGCATTGGTAAGTCAATTGTTGGTGAACTTGAACATTGTAACTCATGTGTGCCATTAGACAATTGGACAATGCAGAGATTGCAAACTCTGCCACCTACAATATCTTTCAACACCTTATATTTGCTTCTGAGTCTGTCTGAGAGGGGTCGGCTCTTTCTAATTAGTTTGATACGCGACTCACAACAAGCACAGTTAATGAAAGTCATGGTGGAATATCTCCTGATGTAGTCCTGGAAATATAATGGCCTTTTAGATTTACCAACATACTCAGGCTAAAAATGGTGTATTTTTATACATGTTTTCCCTGATTTCTACATGAGATCACTCGATTATCCCTTAGATATTTCAAGTACTGGTGTATATCCATATTCTTTAGCAGCTGTTTAAAAAACTAAGGGATAATAGGCTGTTCTCATATAGAAATTTCAAAAAAACCTATACAAATACCCCCCTTTTAGTGTGCTTACAGTAGTCATTTTAATCCAGATATTCTGCTCTATGTAACACTGCCACTTGATAACAGTGGTGTCACAGTATCAATATTACATTAGTATTGAAGTTAGTTACATTTATAATTATGAAAATATGCTCACCTTTTGGATGGTTATGGATTTAGTAGAGTCAAATTTTCAAATCACAAATAGTAATGGAGGGTCCATGCTTTATATAACCTCTGACATGTACATAAGTACATGAATACAGGTGTAAATTGTTTTATATGTAAGTCCAATAATTACACTTACCAACAATGTAAACAATGGCACATAAATATTTGTTTGAAAAATTGAACTACAATTTTCAGCAGGATAGGGAGACACATGTTAAATCCCCATTGAAGTGAAACCAAACCTTTACATCAATTTTTTTTATTTTTTCCATGTGACTCAGACAGAGTACAAGTTAACTTTTTTCACACTGATATGCTTATCAAAGTGTCAAATGCAAGAATGTATATATAAAACAAGATATTGACAATAGAGGACTTTTTTAAAGTGCACCAAAAAAATACGCACCAGTGATGTTGGTAGTTCTTCATGATGTTCTTCTTGAGGAAATCCAACTTATTCTTGGTTTCCTGGCCAGAATATTTTTTCTGGCAGAGATTCTTACACTTTTCATCTTTGGCGAAACTTATCTGAAAAGAAATTTTGATTGAGTTACGAGTTATAACTTTGCGAATACTTTCAAATGCTATACATTTTAAAAAAAATATGACATAAAATTGACAAATAAAAAACGAGACATATGATACAGGTGAATGATATAAAATGTATTCAATTGTTTTCTTAATATAAGGATATGAATCAAATAAAAATAACAAGACACATTGTTATTAATATCTCGAAGAGCAAAATTGTCTATGTTTACCCAGCATGCCGAAAACCTGATCAGATCTGAGCACTAATCTGCTCTTGCATCTGTAAAAATTACACAGATAAATGGGTATCCTGGAATTCAGATAAGACCGATTTGGCACCCCCCCCCCCCCGCCCTACCCGCCCATCAGCACAAGATGGCAGCAATACAGACCATTTCAGTGTGTGGTTAATGTCATGTGAAGCATTTTCAACATATCAAATAATGCAAAGCAGGACATGTATGTATCATAAACAGTCAGTTTTCAGTAAAAATGTTCTCAACAGGATTATTTGTTCTACCTTGCAAATGTTCAAGATTTTGAATTTAAAAAATGTGTTTTCATTCACATATATAAAGAGCTTAGAGCATGAAATTAAGCACAGCAGGTGTAAAAATGTATTTGTAGATGTAAAAATACAAAAGATCATTTTTAAAATAAATGACAGATCAGATCATAACAAGCTGTGTCAATTACATTGATTTTTTGCTGCAACAACGTTTAACTAAACAGGGAAGTGCCACATAGTATGATATTTCACAGTAATGTGAAATTTGTGGTACAATGAAACTTGTACATGTATATCTGAACACCTTTCTGATCTGAACACCTCTCTGATCTGAACAATATATTATCTCAATATGTTTCATTTCTTAATTAAAAAGCATGTTTTTATTTAAAACCTACCACCTATAAAAGTACAAACCCAAGCAATAAATTCCTATGCCTTACTTTACAAAGGAATTTGTATGTACGAGGGTTGTCAAAAAGATTGAATAAAATCTTTGAAAAAATGTCAAGACTTTTTGAGCAACCCTCATATACACATAGTATTCTCCCACGAAGTCCAAAAGCATTTGTCCAAACTTACTTGATATGGGGATTTGTGTATACGTTGGCCAAAGACAACCTGCCCCAAGTTTTCTACTGGGGTTTCATCGACAGCATTAGCACAGAAGTCAAAGCTGAAACACATAACCAGGAGTGTCTAGATAACTATAAGCAATGAGTGAAAGAAGAGGGGGAAATTACCCAGAGTTCAAAGATGAACCTATCAACATGAAAAATTTGAACGAAGAGGTTCCTCTTTGAATTCTGGGTCATTTTCGCCTCTTGCGTGAAACATGGTGCATTGTGGGAAGGGAATTCCGCTAATGTAGATCACATGATGGTCATTTTCTGAAGAACAGTCTTTGCAATATACCACGAACTGAATATCATTGGCATTTTCAAAAATGATGTTTCCTTCAGGCAATGAGAGTACTGCCAATTGATCACATAAAAAGATAAAATATATCTATTTGATTTGATTTGATTTGAAAACTATATTTATTCTGGGTAGCTCTATCAGTACAAAAACTGGTCTTCCTAGAGGCCCAGTAATAATTTACAATTATTTACAATGTGTACAATAAATATAGAAACATACAAATAGATATATAGGACATATAGAACAATTTGATATATATGCATCTTCAAAGTATGCATTTACATGAAACATAGAGAACAACTTATAAGAGAATTACATGAATATAAGGAACAATGTCTTTAAATAATGCATTTACATGATTTTCATTTTCTGATCTGATACACTTGTTTATATGCTTTCTTAAAAGAGTTTACAGAATCAGACTCTTTGACAGTCTTATCAAGCTTGTTCCAAAGATGTGAACCACTGTATGATATGCTTTTCCTAAATATTTCAAGTTTTGGTTTTGGTACATAAAGTGAATTTTCCACAACTGCTCTAGTGGCATAATTATGGACAGACTTTGTCTCTTTGAAACAGTTTTGGATATATGGGGGAGAGATGCATGAAATAGCCTGGTACATTAAAATTGATTTCCTATATCTAATCATTTCCTGAATTGGAGTCCAATTTAGGGACTGAAATAAAGTGACACTTGAAATATCAAAATTAGCTCTCAGTATAATTCGTGCTGCCATCTTTTGAAGTTTCTCTAGTCTAGTCAGATAGATTTTATTAGAACATTCTCCCCAGACAATTGAGCAGTAATTAAATTCTGGTAATATGATTGTATTATAAATTGTGATGAGTGCTTCCTTTGAAACAAATGGTTTAAGCCTTCTTAAAATACCTATCTTACAAGAAATCTTTGAACAAAGCTTTTCAATATGTACTTTGAATGCTAATTTGTCGTCCACAATAACACCTAAATATTTATAAGTTTCAACATTTTCAATCACATTATTTGATATTGTTATGGTATCTTCATCATTTCCATACTTTGAGGTATTTCCTATTTTCATTAATTTTGTTTTACTATAGTTTAAATTCATCTTATTACATTTCATCCATTCATCAATACAGTTAATATCATTTTGAAGTAGTGTATGAAGAGATGGTACATCACAAGTTGACCTAGTTAAAGTAGTATCATCTGCAAACAGTCTGATGCAACCATCTTGACTGCCTACCTTGGCTAAGTCATTAATAAAGATTATGAAGAGCAAAGGTCCAATTATCGATCCTTGTGGAATTCCTAAAGAGACAGATGCTTCTTGCGAAGGTGTATCATCTAAAATAACAGTTTGTTTCCTATTTTTTAAGTAGTGTTGAAACCAAAGTAAACTTTTACTGCCTACACCATACAATTTTAACTTTTCTAGTAAGATCGAATGATCAACAAGATCAAACGCCTTACTCAGGTCTAAAAATATAGTTCCCGTTAATTTACCTTCGTTAAAATTTTTTAGCCATTCATCACATAAAGAAAGAAGTGCTGTCTCTGTAGAATGGTGATCCCTAAAACCTGATTGCCATATTGAAAATAGGTTGTTGGCTTTAAAATACATATATAATTGATTATGAACAGCCCTCTCTAGTATTTTTGATATAATAGGAAGTATTGAAATAGGCCTATAATTATTAGTTTCATATTTGTTGCCTTGTTTGTAAACAGGCACTACTTTGGCATGTTTCCATTCATCAGGGATTTCACTGGTGTTTAATGACATGTTAATGATAAAGGTCACATATGGTGCTATTATATTACTGGCTAGCTTCAATAATTTACAGCTGATACCATCAAGTCCAGTGGCTTTGGATAAGGTCATGTCCTTAATTGTTTTGATTACAAACTCACAAGTAACTTCTTGGAGCTCAAATGAGGTATTATGTTGATTGATATAATCAAGTGGGTTTTTTCCAGTCTGTTGAATCTTTTTAGATATTGTTGGTCCTATATTGCTGAAAAAGTTATTGAAGGCATTGGCCACTTCATATGGGGAGGATATTTCATTTCCTTCAACAATTAACGATTTTTGAGTTTCTTTCATTTTCTGTGGCAGTAGAGTTTTTAAGCACTTCCACATGTTAGAGGGTTTATGCTCGTTCGTTTTAATTTTGTCTTTATAGTATTTTGCTTTAGCTTCTCTTATTAGGTATGTTACTCTGTTCCTTAATCTATTTGAATTTCTCCTATCATCTTCACTTCCCGTTGCATCTGCAACTTTCTTGTAATAATCTCTCTTGTTCATAAGTTGTAGAATTTCATCATTAATATATGGCTTTGAACCTGCTTTCATGCGCTTTTCAACAATTGGTGCATGTTTGTCTACTACCTCCATAAACAGGCACTTGAAGCTCATCCAGGCACTATTTACATCATTACATAATTTGATATCACCCCATGAGACTTTATTTAAGTCACGCTCAAAGTCATTGTGATTAAAATGTTTGAACCTCCTATACTTTAGTGTTTTATGTGTATATTTTACATTCCTGGTTGGTCGCACTGTGGAAACTATATTGTGATCGCTTAAATTACAGCTAGTGACCACTGCTGGAGTGTATTTCTCAGGGTTATTAGTCAATATCCAATCAATAAGTGATACACTGTCGCGAGTGATGCGTGTTGGGTGAGACACAATCTGTGTTAGATTATGAAGTTCACTTAAAAACAATAAATCCTTTGTTGATTTTGATAAGGTATCTGTATTCAGATCACAGTTAACATCACCCATAATAATTATTTCTTTATTTTCAGCGTCAGCTCTATTCAATGATTCAGATAAAGTGTTCATATAATTTTGATTTGAGGATGGAGATCTGTAGAGTGATGAAACAAGTATTGGCTTAATAAATTTGGGTCTTAGTTCAACCCATACCATGTCCAGATCATTAAATTGTAGATCAACTCTCTGTACATATTCAATATCCTGAGAAATATATATACATACCCCCTTTGAATGTCTATTATTGTCCTTCCTTACCATCGTATAGCCTGGAATGTCTATTTCAGAATCATGTATTGAATTATCAAGCCATGTTTCACTTATTGTGATGATGTCATATGCATGTTTTTGATGTAGGCATCTCAGTTCTTCAATTTTAGGAAACAGACTTCTCACATTATGATGACATAATTTAATTCCACTTATGGTTTTATCTTTCATTAATGGGGTAGTAGTGTGTAGTGTGTCCCTGTGTGACCTCTCCTGGAGGTCAACATATTTCAAAGTTGTGGCTAGAAAGAATCTAATATCTAGATAATTAGTCAGTCTGCTAGTACTGTAGCACTCACATAAATAATTCTCTGAGCCCTCTTCATTGCTGTATCCCTAGGCACAATTACAAGGACACAATTTACTTTTGTGCCCCAGTTCTCCGCAGACGTAACATTTAACTCTCATTAAACAATTTCGTGCTTGATGATTTGTCTCTCCACAGCAGTAACAAGGGTTCTTTCTGATTGATTTTTCAGGGAGATGATTGTTATGATACTTTTTATTATTGACCTTCATGGTTAAATTTTTCAGTTTCTCAGCTCCTGCTATGTTAGGGTGGATGTTATCTCTGTATAGATCTGGTCTTATCTTATTGTTTTGGTCTACAAAGACCACATCATTGTCTTTGTATATAATGTTTCTGTATTGCTTGGTGAGATGCCGTAACTTTTTGTTTGTTTCCCTTACTTTGATATCTACATTTACATCATTTTGAACTGGTAGCACTCCACCAATTATGATGTTTATTTTTGGACTTACTTTTTGAATGTCCTTGATGATTTTTTCCATGAGTTCCATGCACTTATCAGGAGAGTCACGATCAGACCTTATGTTATTAACCCCACAGTCTATGATGACATCTGAGAACATGGTGTTGTCATATAGCATATCGCAAATCCTTCGATTTACATCTTGGATCCTATCTCCAGAGTTAGCTATTATCACATATATATTGTCGTCAATGTTCTGAACATTCTTTAGTCTGGAATCACCGATCCACAATACCTTTTTGGATGCTGTTGAGGTTTTGAGTGATGCTTGGGCTGTTTCTACCTGAGTTTTGTTTCCCTGATCTGGATTTTGGGTTTGTTCATATTCTTCAATTAATGGCTCAAATCGGTTAGAGGTTGATATCTGTGACTGAAAATGTTCATTTACTGATAGGACTGTTTTTACGGCATTGGGTGGGGTTAACTCCATTGGTGGTGCTGTTGGGGTTTTAGGTGATGGTATTTCCATTGGCGGTGCTGTTGGGGTTTTTGGAGGGGCTAAATCAACCGGTGGTGCTGTTGGGGTTTTAGGGGAAGTAAAAGCTACTTGTGGTCCTGTTGGCTTTTTTTGTAAGGACGAATTTGACATGGGTGCTGTAGATGCATGTAGATTTGTTGACTTAAGATGTAGTATAGATGGATCCATTGATTTCAGCTGAACATCTTGAAGCATGGCTCTTTGAGGTATCCATGCAGCTGACGGGATATTACTTGGAGGTCTTGGAAATTGATATCCTTGTCTCAACATCTGGGGAGGTGGTAGAGACATTATATGTGCCTCTAGTTTGGCTATACGGTCTGATAGGCACAGCATTTGCCTGTCTGTGATACACTGAACTTCATCAACTTTTCTCTCTATGGAGGCTATTTTCAAATGTGTGTCTGTACAACATAGTTTTGGTTTTTCCATAATATTGGCAATATCCTTTTTTATAACCTGTATGCTTTTTTGTGTGCCATTGATAGTTTTTGTTAGAGCTTTTGTGGCTAAATGTTCTAATGACATAACATGGTTTGGGGGGTCTCTGAATGAGTCCTGGTTAATGGCTTCAATGCCTGTTTCCTCCTCTGTAAATCCATTAAAGCTCTGGTCACTAGTCCAGCTGTCATCCATAATTCAGCTGAAGATAAGCAAGTGTCAGACTGACTAATTTTAATGTCCTACTAATGTCTTGAAGATTCCAATCCTGGTTTTAGATTTCAATTTTCTAATTTAGAACTAAATTTTGAAGAATATTTATTGTAGATTTACTATTAATTTTAGTTTATATCTCCTTTGTTTGTAGCGTTATCTTAATAATTTCTTTGTCAACATCAAGTTGCACTGCTTATATATCCATATTTTCAAAAATTTGTAGTTTTGTAAACTCTTAACTAGAAAATTTCTGCTGTTTATGAGGAGCAACTTAAAACACTGCCACTTTCAAGTCTTACTATTCACTTCTATTGTCTAACATTTTTATTTAATATTCTTGTATTTTCAGGAGATTAAGGTTTAAAGTTTTTTTATTATCATTTAAACAAAACAAATTACAAACACAGCAAGGGCCGAAGCAATGCATTATTGGCCAGGAGATACTTAATGCTTTGTTAAATATTTGGCTGAATTTCATTACATGACCATCATACGGTATACATTAGAGAGGATATGATTATCCCATAATTCTCACAGGTTCAATTTGTGTTCTAGAATTCCTGTAAGGGAAATTGTCTGTTTTCAAGAAATTCCATATCTGACGCCACCTCCAAGAAAAGTGGGGAGTTCTCTAGTTTTGTATCAAATACCTGGTGTCCTCCCCTGTCAATTTCCCCTGTCAATTTCCCCCTGTATGTACAAGGGAAAATGCAGGAAAAGGCAAGACAGGGGTTTGATACCAAACGAGAAAGAAAGAAGCGGGCAGAAGGGCCTTATTTAGATTCATCAGGGTCGGCAATTGCATAAATCAAAGTTGTGAATTAGACAACATGTACGGCAAAAATTGCCTGTTTTTTTTAAAACTGAGATTCAGTACATCCATTTTTAAATGATGCCCCCTCCATAAAGCTTTCTTTATCTAACACAAGTGAGAGGCCTGTGATTAAAGTCTCAGACACACTTGCTCAATGACGCCAGTATGGTCGCCGTAAGCTTCACAAAATCTGAGGCATTAGCCAACCAAAGTTTGTTATGGGAAACACTACATTGGGAAGGTAAGTACTTGTTACAATCACATTGTAATCACAATCAACCCAAAGGCACTTTTCACATATGGAAACAACAATACATGTACTCCATTAACTATCCAATTAATATGCCTTTTGGTAAATTGTACTTCAGTGTAATACTGTATGTACTATGTAGTTCTTCCCAGACAATGTGCTTAACATACAAAGCCCTTCTCTTCTATCCTTATATAACACAGTGATCTCCCCATGTCATCTTTACCGGGGGGCCCCTACTTGAAACCAAAGGACCACTAGCGTAGTGAGGGCCAAATTTTGAAAATTTGCTCCCAGTTGAGAATATTTTGGGGTGAACACTGTAACATTAACCCTTCATTTGATTTTCATAGATTATGATCTTGGAACCATAATGAAGAAATGACTTAAATGCTAGTTTAAGATTTTTCTCGGTCAAAAACATCAATAATGACCTTGTCTCCAATCATAGTAATAATATCTTTTCAATCAATGAAGGGTTGATGGGGGTATACTGGTGTGCCATATTTCAGGGTAGGAGGTGACCTCTATATTCCAAGTTATGAGGTAACTTCCAGACTCAAGGGTATGAGATAACTTCCATACTCAAGGGTAGGAGGTAATCCCATACTCCAGGGTAGGAGGTAACCTCTATATTCCAAAGTAGGAGGTAACTTTCATATTCCAGGGTTAAGTTAACGTCCATACTCCAGGGTACAAGGTAACTTCATACTCCAAAGTAGGAGGTAACTTCCGTATTCCATACTACAGAGTATGAGGTAGCTCATATATACCTCAAGGTGGGAACTTACTTTGTACATAGAATGCTCAATACGTGAGCCAAATACAACTTGGCCCAGGTTTTCCACAGTTGGCAATAATGAGCCATTAGAGCAGAAGTCAAAGCTAAAATTTGTACAAAAAGTTTAAAATGTAAATAAATAGCATGCCCAATTTACAATGATCATTGATCAGCTATAATCACGGTAAACTAATGGCCACGAAATTCAAAGCAAAAATTTCATGGGAAGTGGTTTAAATCAATATGGACATAAATTTAGAACCATTGATCCTAAATTCTATTTGAACATACAATAATCATACAAGAACACAAATGTGTGCAACATGTCCCCACCAATGGGTGATCCCGTCATATGGTTATCCTGAAAATGGGTAGACAAGACTTTACCGACATAATTTTAGGATGGAAAATCCAAAATGGCCACCTTAAAATTTACCCAGAATGCCAAAAATTAGTCAGTTCTGGATAATCATACCAGAACCACCCCTGAAAATTTGAAATTGATTCGTCAAGTTAACCAGAATGGTGACATAACAATGGGGCTATTAACAGTATTTTATCAGCAAGTTCTGAACAGAAACCACTGAAGCAGTCAACCTTGCGATCAAGCTATGAACAGTAAGGCACATAAATGTATGTAAACAGTTATAGGACTATAGGTCCACTTAAAATGTTGATCTATTTGTCCAATTGACATATTTGACCCTATCGCTATATTGACCTTGGGGTCATTAACAAAAACTTCGTAAAGTTATGAATTCGTAAATCAATTGTTGTAACCATGGATATAATGATGTAACAGTTAGAGAAGAATGGATTTTATGAATTCTTAACTTAATCATGATTCGGTTAATGGCCCCCTGATTGATATATTGACCCAATTGATATACTGACCTGATTGAAATATTGACCCAATCGATATATTGTCCTGCTTAATATAGACCCGACTACCTGACTGATATACTGACCTGATATATTGACCAAACTTATATATTGACCAGATAAATGCATTCCTGATTCATATAGACCTAATAGATATATTGACCTGACTGATATATTGATTGGATATATAACACAACTGTATGAAATTACATTTTAAACCGTCAAAATTACATTTTCAATTTCATTGCAGTTAATGTCAATGTGTAAAATCAAAGCACACGTTTTATTGATTAATTGAATTTTTTGTAGTTCAGAATAACACCTAAGGCTGATTTCATGAAAACTCAAATTAGTTCAAAATGATTAGAGCAGTCTACATGTATTAATAACTACAAGGTGTCCATAAAAAATATACCCCACTTCAAAGCCAGATTAAAGCTACCTTTCATATTGGTCATGATTGCCGAGTGAGTCACCAATGGCAGTTACATAATGATTGAGTTACCATCTGATGAAGGAAAAACTAGGCTTTTCTGCTACCATTGAATTTTAGAAATATTGCTCAGAATTATTGTAATCTTCCTTGGAAGTTTGGCATACTTTTTTAAGGACACCCTGTAGAATTAATGGAGTATAACATGCCTGCACATGGTTCATAAATGTATTATCGCTCACTGGAATACAAATATTGGCTCCAAAGGTGTATACATGGAAATGCCTCAATCCATTGAATGCATTTACCACAGCAACTTTGTGAGCATGCCAACTGAGAAGTCCTGTAGTATATTTTAAATTTATTACATAATGTCTAATTTAGAAAAATAATTGGAGATACAATCAGTATGATTAATAGAATGATCATATTAATTAACAAATTATATATGTGATTCATAAATTAAATAAGATCGATCGCTTGTATTTCTGATAGGAAATTGCTTATTAAAAGCAAGACTATGCAGATATAGCCAAAAGACAAAACAATCAAACTTGGCCAATCCACTTTGGATCTCCTAGGAAATCCTCAAATTAAACAAGATTTGAGGCAAAATCATATCCTTTCTCCAGCAAATAAAACATTTTATTAAAACATTTTTGGAATAGGTTAAAAGTTTTTATTTGCATTATACATTATAGATTTTTTACATAATAGAGGAGAGCCAAGATTATTAGCAATAGCATTATTGACCCCCTATTAAAACATTTCTTTAGAAAAACTTTAATTCAAGATACAAATATATTTTTCTAGCTTTATACTAATCTTACCTGGTATATTCATATGGAAGGACTGTTTCTACTGAATCTAAACGGTTTACAAATACTGGGATATTAGTCTGAAAATAAAAACAACATGATTAGGTATCAACCGAAAAATGTTATAGCAGATTTGAGAAATCAAACTCGCCTGATCTGTTTAGGCCCCTGTGTCGACCTTTCATGTATGTAATTTCTTCACACTGATGTTTTATAAAAAGGGAGACGCACTAAGGGTTTCATTAGCAGCAGGCAACAGGTGATTTTCACTGGTTGTTTTCACAGAATCGCCTGTTGTTTTTAGGGACTTTTCAACATTTCAACATTAAATTTATGATTTCCATTGAGTTTGCCTGTTGTTTTCATTTATTTAGCCTGTTGTGAGAAATTCTAGTGAAACCCCTGCTCACTAATTTTGATGTGTGGGGTTACTTTTAGTTTTATTTTGACCATGGGGCTATTTCGACATTGGCTTCAAATTTTAATCGACACAGTCTGCCATGCTAGTTTTTTTAAGTCTAAAATAAAATAAAAATCTCCCACTGGGTGAGATTTTAATGCATAATGGCTGAACTCAGATTTTTGAATCATTGGCCATGGTTTCAAAATAAATAACCCCACAACGAAGTAATCCCACATGACGAGGTTTGAATGAGTCCTCCTATCTATCATACATCGATGTGATCTCCCCTGCATTAGTAATTTGAATGTGCCTACTTGAAACAATTGGAAATAAGAAAGACATGTAACATTGGTATGTATGTTTCTTGGTCTCACTATACAACAGCATGGTCCAGAAAGCCCATGGCAACGTGTATGACTCATAGTCATCTAAGTTTACATCTTGGGGAACTTTCAATTCATTTTCATTTTTGTTTCATTTTATGAGTATTTTTAACATGCTGGGTTACTTTGACGGTTTATTTATCCAGTAGACAGCGAAGTAATACTTTCTAACAAATATATGACAAAATTACCAGGTTTAACAAGCCAGGTGTCGAAATTTCTCTCTTTTACATAGGCCTGAAAGTAACAGGGAGGCAATGTCATCCAATCATCCATGTAGGTAATTGCAGACAAAAGAAAGCCTGCATTGAGTGTCTGAACGACATTGCCGCCCTGTAGGCTAGGCCTACTCTAAAACTTAGGCTAAAAGCCATCACCAAACATCACTGTAAACATTACCCCCAAACAGTTCACTCATCCAAATTAAGTGCATATAGGTCATATTTTGTAACAAAATTTAAGCTAAGACTATAATTGATAAATTTTACAAATCAATGTTATCAGAATTTCTACCAAAAGCCGTAGATATTTGAATTTCTTACCTTACAAGTATCAGATTCCTCAGCACAATAATTTACAGGTGCCAAACCTGGTAAATAAAAGGCGTTAGTGAAACATATATATGATAAAACACATAATAAAGTCCTTCCTTGTATACTTTTGATATACATTGTCTGTTTGAAGTTCAATATAGCCTAGTATATGTTGTACGGATGGTTTTATTTCGATATACAGCGCACTGATAAATTTTTTAGTTTTAAATCCAAAATGGCGGATCCACGTAGCTGGGAAAAGGGTCAAGGTCACTCTAACATTTCGCGGCAAATTTGAAATGCTCAAAAGTGGACTCTTCCCGAAGTTCTCGTACCGGGAAATTTAAAATTATGTAGCTTTCTTGATATTATTCTTTTAAACTAATTTAAAACAAAAAAAACGACTTTATGGTCAACTGGTCAAGGGAAATCGGTAGTCTTATCTTTTTAAAGGCCACATATAAAGTTTGAACAACTTTAGATTAGGCCTAACTACAGGATGTCCCAAAAAATTTACTCAATTTGGGCTTGGACACGGGAGTAAATCTTTTTCCTTCATCGAAAAATGGAGAACCTTTCATATGATAAGAAAAACTTAGTTTTCAATAAGCATTATTCATAGAATATTCATTATTGCATGCATTACATGCATTAGTACTTCCTGACAAAGTGACAAATAGACGGCACGCTCTAAATTACCTCCACCGTAATCAGGGGTGGATCTGAACACTAACAGGGGGGGGGGGGGCAAATTTCAAGTCTGAAAAATACTTTAATAACCATGAATTTGGGCCCAAATTTTAAAAATGTAAGGCCCATTTTCTGAAAAAAGTAAAATAAGGCCCTAAAAGGCCCAGAAATCGGGGCCTTAAAAAATCCCCCTCATCCTAATCCCCTTTCCAGAAATTGTTAATATAGTGTAGAAGAAACTTCAATGTGTCGTTTCATTGTTTCCACATTGTTCAATGGATCTTGTCTCCTTTTGGAGATATCCAGTGCCACATTGTTATAAGTGCAAAATGAGGAAAAAAAATTTAGGCCTACCTTGTCATATCCGTTTGGGCAGGCAGTAGAGCCAATCGGATCCATAATTGTGATCATGTGACTAATAGTTATAACAATGTGGAAATAATGGGACGAGCTCTTACTAGTATACTTTGCAGGTAATTAACAAAGGAGATCATAAATCATGATGCCATACATATAAGCTTAGTACTATAGAACAAAAGAAAGCAGATTTGACATTATTTGTAACAAAAAAAGTTCATTTTTTTTATACATAAATTTATTCCTTTAGTAAACAATATAAGACATGCAATTGATTGCCAAAGTTTTATAAAAAAAACAAAACATTAGCGGCAATTTTAGACAATATGAATAGGAATACATTAAAATTAAAAATTTATCAATGTAATGTTTTCACACATATAAGAAACTATAATCCCATGGGCCAGGGATGTGTTAACACATGCATGCAAAAATTAGCCAAACCGATCAATTTGGCTCAGACTTTGATTAACAAAATGACTAAGTTCATTCAGTGAACTTAATCAATTACTGATCCTGTTATAGCCTTTTTACCTTTGTCATGTACCTTTTAAAGATCTGGTGGATTTATCCAAAATATTTACAATTTTTCGCACTTAAGTTGTGTTGTTATGGCGACCACTTGACCAATCATGATCAAACTTATCATAGCAACTAATTATATATAGATACACAATCCCTAGAAATATGAACGTGATTGAAGGTATATAACAGAAATTATTGATGATTATCACAGTACCCCCTCATAAAAGTAGCCAGGGGGTTATACATGCCAATAATTCGCAGATGCTGAAAAACTAGACCCTATTATTTTCAAAATCAATGAGAAATGATATATTTCACATAATTAACATCATTAGAAAGGCGAAGAACATAGCTTTATTTCAAAAGTTTAGAATATTTAGAAAATAGTCATGATACTTTTTTGAAAAACTGTTTTGCCACCTGAGGAACATCGCAGCGCATCTTCATGGTATCATAAAATTTTCAAAATGCTGTAAAAGTTTATATAATACGCATAAAATCATAGATTCATTATATATAACTTTTGTCTGATCATTTCAAAAGAGTAGATAAATATATATCCCCGCTCGTCGTGTACTTAAACCTCAGTAGGTATGGTATGGTATGGAATACAATAATTTACATTGTTATTAGACATGTTAGAGTTGTATTTGATGATCTAAAAATCTAAACTTTCGTTTCTAAAATGGCGGGAAATTCAACTATTCAAACTTTTATGTCACCACCAGAAGTGGTGGACAGCGTCCGAGGGTCGAGGTTCGGCATCTGAAACAAATGGTAGGAGAAGTCACATTTTCAAAAATGTATCAAAGTAAGTCGTGAACAGAAATCTTTGAATGATTAAATTATAATTTCAAACTTAAAACGAGGCCTTTTGCCAATCAAAGGAAATATTTGGGTAATATATAGGGAACATGGGGCAAAGCGGCCCAAAAAATTAATTTTAAGTTGTTCTGTACGGGGTATTTTCGTATCTGTCAATCATCGCGCACTTTGATGTTCCACTTTATTAATGGTTTGTGGTTTACATTTTTCGAGTGTTTTATACTTTCCTAGGACTATCTTCTGTGATTTTTCAATGGTCAAAAATATTGTCGAGAGTGGGGCAAAACGGCCCATGGGTGGGGCAAAACGGCCCACCCTCTGTTACACGGGATTTGAAACCAAAAAAATTAATCAATTACAAGACTCGTCCACAAACATCTTATCTCAGACGTTCAAACCTTTGACAGATAAAGTATTCTTAACCCCTACCATAATTCTAGTCATTCGATATGTGTCGGAAGGAAATAAGGCACAAGCCAGATGTTAAAATTGTTACATTTGAAAACCAATTGTTCTTGCACAATAAGATTTTTGTATGTTATAACATGTGTGGGCCGTTTTGCCCCAAAGACATGTGAATTTTCAAATAGACGTCATTTTAATTTGCCTAATATTTGAAGCTCGAAATTTTTACAAATAAAGAATAAATGTGCACACTCTTAAATGTTAAAATGTTAAATCAAAACGATATTCTATTGTTGCCGGATTTTTTAGAGATTCTCGTGAGAGGGGTAATTCCCAAAAAGAGGGTGAAAAGTAGAATTACCTCTTACGTAAAGCGAGACGCTGCTTGGTTAAAAATGGACGGTCGAGAAGGTGGCAGATATTTCAAAATTCGATTTTGTGACTTTTGAAGAACCATCTTTTTATTAAGTTCAAAAGATATTTCGATGGGCAACTTTGCCCAAGAGGGCCGTTTTGCCCCATGTTCCCCATTTTTCGCACAAAATTGATTTTCCTTGAAGAAGTGACAGAAAGAGGAGTAAGCTTAATAATAATTCAGTAATTTGAACTTCAGTCAATTTTGTCAACATTGCTCTGTGAAACAATAAGATTCACTAGCATAACGTCGATGTCCTACACCGGGGGGGGGGGGTACTCCCATATATTGGCCAATCGGGACGTGCCGCTAAATTGGGTCACTTTTTCACCGTTTTTTCCCATTTTGAAGAAAAAACCTAGATATGGTGTCCCATTTTGATGGGGCACCCCCTGTACAAGCATTTGACCAGTACCCTCCCACGGGGTCCTACAGATCTTGTTATCTACTGTCATGTATGATTGACTTTTCTATTGAATGTATTTATTAAACAATGGCTATCCACGTCACTGGTAAAATGGCAATGTGATCATGAAAATTGTAAAACGAAAATATTGCGAGTCGCTGCTTTTTCATAAAGATCAAACACTGACTTCAGATATGAGTACTTTGCAAGCTTTTATAAGTTTATTTGATTGAGTAATAACTCAGATTTCAAAAAATTTAACGTTATTCTAAAAAAGAATTCTGATTCTGACGGAAATACTAAGATTATGGTGAAAGCCACTAATTTTATTGAAAAGCCTTGAACTTTAATGAACAACCCTAATTCTAGTGAACACCCTACTGTTGTAGAAGATTCTGAAAACAGGAAGATAAACTCTACACAAGTTTTATACTATAAAATAGTTTATTTCTGTGGTGGTAAATAATTATTACATTAGTTGTATTTTACTCCATGGCATGTATACAACTAAAAACATATACATTTAATGCATGTTTCATACATGTTAAAACACTGTAAAGAGGCAAGTGTATACACAGTGGTATAGACATGATACTCGTAATGTACAGTGTACCTGTATATACTAAATCTAGTAATCATTGTGCAGAAAATGAATAAATCGGAAGAATGAAAGTGAATACTAGTATTATAAAATACATAATACATAACATAAACATGACATTCATCAAATATATGTACAGTAAAACCTGTCTAAGTGGAACACATTTGGTACCTCTAAATGTGTTCCACTTGGGAGGTGTTCCACTTATAGAAGTTTATATAACATTAAGTCAGTTTCTCTTGTGACTCCGAAAAGTGTTCCATTCTAGAAGTGTTTCACTTAACTTTGTAAAAAATGAATGATAAATATCATGAATGGGAAAGATAATGTGCCTATAGTATTCAAATATAAATAAAATGGGAAAGATAATGTGCCTATAGTATTCAAATATAAATAAAATGGGAAAGATAATGTGCCTATAGTATTCAAATATAAATAAAATGGGAAAGATAATGTGCCTATAGTATTCAAGTATAAATAAAATGGGAAAGATAATGTGCCTATAGTATTCAAATATAAATAAAATGGGAAAGATAATGTGCCTATAGTATTCAAATATAAATAAAATGGGAAAGATAATGTGCCTATAGTATTCAAATATAAATAAAATGGGAAAGATAATGTGCCTATAGTATTCAAATATAAATAAAATGGGAAAGATAATGTGCCTATAGTATTCAAATATAAATAAAATGGGAAAGATAATGTGCCTATAGTATTCAAATATAAATAAAATGGGAAAGATAATGTGCCTATAGTATTCAAATATAAATAAAATGTGAAATATGATTGGCCAAATATGTAGTGCTAGTAATTGTCACATACATGTATATGTAGTAACTAGCCTATACAAAATAAAAGATAAAATACAAAATAAAACAATACACTTCTTAGATGTTGTATTGGTGCCTCAGGTAGTTTATTTCTTGAGTATTCAAACATATATTAAATAAAATTTGAAATATGATTTGTCAAATATGTAGTAGTTATCACATATGTAGTAGTTGTCAAATATGTAGTAGCTGTTATACTGTACTCCCGGTTAATTTCGCGAGTTTTAATTTTGTGAATTTTGAGAAAACACTATTTCGCTGCTATTAAATTTCACGAATTTCATTAAGAACACCTACTACTATGTCATCTTGGACAACGACCCGCTACACCTTAATCTCTTTTTCATAGTTATTTTTGGTTTATTTGATCTAATAAGCCACTATAACAGACATTCTTACTTAGTATCCCATTTATCGCCTAAAAACACTTGACAAATATTTTACAAAACATGAAATGCAATGGAGTAGCAAGTAATGAAAATTTCACAAATTAATTTTCATGATTTTACCACAATCATGAAAAGCGCGAAACTAAATTGTACGCAAAAATACTGGGACTACAGTATAGTTAGAGGCTGTCACATACTTCTAAGTAGTAAATGTCACATAGATAGGGAGCTAACACATAGGGAGTAGCTCTATCGTATCAACTGTCACATAGATAGCATGGGCGTAGTCAGCTTTCAGTCAGGGGGCGGGTGCGTTGGCAAAAATATTTTCAGGGTGCGATGGTGGCAAATTTTTTTAAGATTTGTTTTGAATTTTACAAAAATGATGTAACTTCCTTCAAAATTGAGCTAGAAGCTTCAAATGAAAAGCATTTAAAAGCTCCTTTCTTCTTCTATCTAACGGTTTCTATTTTTTGGTTATGGGGGGGGGGCTTTGATCGCACCCATCGCACCCCCTGGCTATGCCCATGGATAGGAGCTAACACATAGGTAGTTGCTGTCTCATATTAAATGTCACATAGATAGGAAGTACACAAGAGTAGTGGAAAAATCAAGTTATTATTAAAGTGTAGCAACAGCTTCCTCGTTTTCAATCAAGGTTTCCTTGTCACCATCCATGATTTCCTTGTCTTCATTTATACTTTCCTTGTTTTCTTCAACTGTTTCAGGATTTATACGGTAGATTTTCCTCACAAACCAAAAACACGCAAAGAAACCTATGCTCCCTGGAAATATAAAACACTATGCTCAATATATGACACTAATAGAGATAAATGCTCCAATGGGAGCATCGGCCAACATTGTTACAAAGTAATATAATACGATAAAGGATACAATGCAACAATTGATCATACACGAGCAATAATATCATGATAAAATCATGTACATAGACAGATAGAGAAGACTTTGGAGCTAAGTAAATAAACTAAATATAATCCCGATGATATTGCGTATTGTATATGAACAGACTCTCTATTTTCAATTTTGAAGAGACACCCCAAATAAATATTTTACCTGTGAGTAGGAAGAACACAAAGACTACAATAAAGGTGTAGCCAAAGTAGAGCAGGGTAGATACACCCCCAATGATCTCAAGTCTGGACACAAAGTAATAGATACAATATATGAACAGGTAGGCTGCCGTGAATCCACTTGTTAGGAATGAGCGCCACCACCAGTGGTAGTCCTGAAAAAAAGTTTTCCATTATTAGTGTTGTAGGTTTTCAGATTGTTGTATTTTGAATAAAATAATTTGGGTATCTTTTATTGAATTTTCATTTTTACAGGAATTCAAGTAAAAAGCACATGCCTATATTCAGAAAAGTATTGAAAACACAATTAGAATTAAGATATATTTCATCCTGGGAAAAAGGAACACAAAAAAGGATGAATGAAGAATAAAAGAGACAATTTGAAAACATCAAAACTTTCCAGAAAATAATTTTCTTTACTAACATTTGATATGTATATTTTTTTGATAATGGCTACATCATTGTTTCTACATCTACTGATATTGTTTCTGTAAAACATTGAAACAACCAGAAAATGTTAATCTTTCAATGTTTTCAGACAATGACTTCATCAATGGCATTGTGGGTCCCACGCTTTAAACAGGAGAAAGCTCTTATTTTGACAAACTTTCCACTAGCAACTGGAAAGTATAATATGCTTCAAATATTCACATATAAAATTTCAACAAAATCACTCCACAATTTTATCAGTTTAAGCAACAACGTAAAATAAAACATGAGAAAATGGCCACTCACTAAAAAGTGTGATATGCTTCTATGTACAGTCTAGTCACATGTAAAATTTCAACAAAATAGCTCCACCACTTTTTAGGGTCTAGTACAAAATGTAAACATAATAAATGTAAACAAAATCACTTCACTAGTTTTCCAGTTACAGCAGAAATTGTAAAATATTGAGTAACAGCCACCATTTTTCAAGATGGCCACCAGTTTTTTTTAAATAATTACATTTTCAACTTAATCAATATAGTAATATCTTGTATATTTTTTTGCATTTAAAACAAACATTACACTTTCATCTGTATTTGAGTTACTGCCCAGGTGTATGTCTGTAAGTATGGAGCCATTCTCTATATCCCTTTGAACTTTGTTCGATGGGATAATTACTGCAAAACCAAACACCAGGAATTCTCATTTCAGACATTTTAACATGGTAGTCCACTGGCAGATCCAGAAGCTGACAAGGGGGGGCCACATTTCAAGTGAAGCCAAAAACTTTTTGGGCCCATAAAACCAAAAATTGGGCCCGAATTTTGAAAATTTAAGGCCCATTTTTGAGGCCTTATATGACCCGCCAGTGTAGTCAACAGAACAATACAAAATTGGTTCCAGAAGATTTTTCACATTGTGAGATGATCGGATTAATAGTGTTATGAAACACAAATTTTACTGTAATACCATGCAACTTTGACAAATAAACAGCCAATTTTACCAAACTGTATTTATTGACAAAAGTTCACAGGTAGACAAACCCAAGACCCTCCCCCATTGGATATTGACACATGCTAAACAATATTTGTTAACATACCTCGGCACGTAAATGGAGATAGCATAAGATGATTGTATTCTGCAAACACATGATAACGAGAATAATAAAAACGATGAGAAGGAATCCAAACGTGTAGTAGACCTGGTGATTCCTGAAATAAAACATAGATTTATCATACTGAGGTGATTATACACATCATGCATGTGATTTTTCATACTTCAGGCAATCTTTTCATAGAATCAGTGTTTCTCATAAAAATGACCAGATTGAGTATGGCAAGTGATTTTAGACAGTCATATCTTTAACCATGAGTATTTTCCGGCCATAAATACATTGGTTTTTATTAGAACCAACTCTCTGAAAAAGTATGGATAATGACCCCACCTTGGCACTTTTTAAAAAATGTTAGGCTTATTTTCTAAAAAAGAGGATCTTGTTCTTCTCAATATAAATACATTTCATACATTATATTATTTGTTTGAATAAACTTAACCATATCAAAAATTTATTCTGCACTACATGTATATTAACAGAAAACAGAAAAGAAGATCTTCTTTTGAGTAAATAGGTTCAACATTTTGAAAACATGTTGACATGGGGTTCATATTCATAATTTTTCGAATTGTTCGATTGATATTTTTATTATCCTTGAGAATTTAATTGAAAGATAACGTATTGTGTTAGTGAGACATGTCATTTTTAAATTGAATAAGTACTCATTGTGAAAGATATGACCATATAAAGTCACTTGCCATACTAAACCTGGTCCTTTGTTTTGAAAAATTGGGGTTTTGACTAAAAAAACACAAAAACTTGGATTTCTCCCTATCTAAGTATGTATCATATACCTAGTCATTTATCCATTTAATTTATAACTCATAAAATATAATTCTCTTACCATATGCTATTGAGAATGAAGAACTGTAGAATGAAAATACAGCTAAATGGCAGAAATCCTCCCAATATTATAGAAGGAATTGGTTTCGTAAAAAACCTTTTCCATGGATGATTGGGAATGTCCCGAGGAATCTTACTGGTTGTCACTGGCTGTTTGATTGGCTACAAGAAACAAAGATTACGAGGAGTAATTATAAGGAGAAAACTCAGTCACACAAATGTAAGTGACAAATACAGGGTGAGTCCCCAAAAATGTAACTCTCTATTTCTGGTTATAACTTTGTCATAATGATGGGATTCTTTTGTAGATAGAGAGTTAAAATAAAACTAATTTTGTCAATCAACTTTTGGTATATTTAAGGCTTGATCTAATATCATTCTGTTAGATCAATACACCCAGGTTTGAAAATATAGAGTGATGCTCACTTGCATCAAATTTAATGAAGTCTTTCAAACGTGAATAAAAGTTATGTAATTCATGAGTTGCACTTATTTAGGTTCACCTTGTATTGAGGAATACCAAACAGTTGTAATAAATTTCTGTAATAATAAAAACAACACATCCCCAATATCCCAGATGCAAGTAGAAATAATCTTGATTTACGTCATTAAAAATTCAGTCAAACTGATGTCATATTTCGAATCTACATGTAAAATTACATTTAGAAATGTGGTTTTGAAAAGAGTTTATTTATTTTCTTTGAAAATGTGACTTCTAGGTCGGGGAGATTCCCCATAGACCCCATGTTGTAAAACCACAAAAAGTGAAATATCTTTTCTCGTGTTGGGCAGATAATATTTTCTTTTACTGGACATATTTTAATTTGTATAAGTATCAGATACATAAGGGTAATATGACAAGTGAACCACTAAAACTGATGCATATTCAAGTTTAAGGGAATTTTGTAATACCCTGCCATATTATTTCCCCCGAATCAGCCACCTGGTGGCGAAACTGGTAACTACCTACTCGCATCTGAGTAATTGTTAATTCCACAACATCCCTTTAAAATGCATTCTTAAAATACATAGTAACTTTTAATTTATACGTACTGCTTTTCTGAATCCAAAATATGCTCCAACAAATGTAAGAGGTACGCAGGCTCCAAACCATGAAATTAAGAGAGTTGCAAGCATCCTAAATTCTGTAGTCGCTCCCAGACTCCACTGTACAAGGTTCAACAGGAAATAGATGGCGAATACGATTCTACAATTAATGCAATCAATTCTACAATAATACAATCACTCCAATTCTACATAATACAATCATTCCAATTCTACAATAATACTGTTATTTCAATTCTACAATAATACAATTATTTCAATTCTACAATAATACAATTATCCCAATTCTACATTACACAATCTAATCATTCCAATTCTACAATAATTTCAATTCTACAATAATACAATTATCCCAAATCTACAATTACTCAAATTCTACAATAATACCATTATCTTGATTCTACAATCATACAATGACCTCAATTCTACAATTCTTTTAACAGTTGAAGTCTGAATAATTTCACTTATTTGCACTTGTAGTATGGTATTTTTCAACTAAATTTTATTTTTATTTTTTGAACTAAATCAACATTATTGAGTAGCAAAACCCCAAGAAGAGGTTTTCCTGATATGTTTAACCTGGCAAGCAGATGACGATTTAATACTTTTTAAATCTCATAAAAATGACCATTAAGATTTTATGTCCAGTTCTTACTCACCCCTGGCATACAGTAGCTGTCAGAATGGCATTAGATTTCCATTTTTCACCTCCCATCACTATAAAAAATTTTGTTAATAATTATTATTTATTTTATTCATTCATTTATTTATTTTCATTGCACAATAGATTTGTGATAAAAAGTACTTCTAATTTCCTTTAAAATATGATAAGTTGTATCATGATTTACATGGGCTAAATATTAGGACACCAAGGCAAAAGGCATATATTGGTACATGTATATCATGTGTTGAAAAAACTTTAAGGGTTTACATTAAAAAAATAATTAACTAGCCCTAATGGCCGACACTATGTACAAGCAATAATTTAAAAGAAATACTTTTGTATATCCTTGAAGAGAAGTAACCCGCAGGGCCGCTTAGGCACACATATAGGATAATGGGACACGTCTTCAATGCCCCTCTGTTAGCAGGTGACAGAAACCCCAGACTTGCAAAAACTGAAAAAAGTAAGTTTTTTTAAATTCAGTAAAACCTGTGTAAGTGGAATTCTAAAAAGTGTTCCACTTGGGACACATGGAGTGTGTTCCACTTAAAGAGGTTTACATAACATTTAGGTGTTTCCTGTACAGAGGTGTTCCAATTGACAGTGTTATGACCCAGGTGTCCGTTTTTGGAACTGTTGTAACTTACGATTTGGTTGCAAGTCAAGTCATTGTTCATCAAAACACAGACCATGATTTTCCTAATTTCTTGGTACTGTAATTTAAGATCATGCTTAAGACAGACCCCTTGATGGGAAGTTGCAACTACAGCTCAGCTGTGGTGGCTAGCCCTTATGGGTCAGCGGTAGAGGATCAGATTTTGAACTGGAAGGTCCTATATTTGATTGCCACACAAGGTGATAAAGGACAAGTCTCGGTTTGGAGAACAGTCTCCTCACCTGGGCTAATGTTTTTTCATGAAAAATATAAAAATATCACCCAAATTAATTATGGATATTCAGAAGAGGACCTTCAAAGACTGCAGAAGACTGATGAACTTTGTTCTCCAAACCGAGGCTAGTCTTTTAGCAAAATCCCTATCATGTTTCAATATTAGTCCGGCAGCCAAAGTGTAAAAAATTGAGTGACCTTGTCTATTGCTAATGGAACAGTTATGCCCATGCCATATTTCACAAAAAACAATCTCGATGTACCATATACATTAAAATTATATTATTTATAACCAAATTGCACTTTGCCCTAGGACTGAAATTAAAACTGATAAAATAACTTATAATTGAAATAATAATTACATGAGAAGATTTCAATTATTTTTACATTGTTATTTTGTTCATAATTTTATGTGATAATTAGGCCTAATATTGAGTGATTATTTTGAGTACTGATTTTGAGTGCTTAATTCAATACGTACCTAGTGTGATAAGAGCCATGAAAAATATCTGGACTCCATTGCCAAGTAACACGGAAAGAAACATTGCCATTCTAGGTGGTCTAAATACATCTCCTTGGACTAATCTATAACTCCCAGGAACAAATTTTCCACTTAACTCTCTCTGATCAGAGTCCTAGAAAATACACATAAAGGGGGCTCACCATACGCTCTGGAACATAAAAAATCGAGTCGACTTCTGTATGAAAAGAAATCGACTCGATTTTTTAATAAATCTGGTAACCAACCCATGGGGTTCACTATGCTACTGTTACTTTCAGACGGTATGTCATAAACAGCAAATCTTTGTTTTATAAATGGTTAATTTACATAAATTTTCATTTAATGTTTTGTTCAGTAAATTATTTGACCAAAAATGTTATTATTTGCCTAAAATGTAATTTTTGGGGAAAAAATAATTGATATATCTTATCAAATATGAAAATTACTGCTGAAGATATTTGTGATCCAGAATTATCCAAATATCAATTCATTAGAATTGAGAAAAAATTATGAACTGTAAAAATCATAATGTAATCCTGAAATAAAGTAAGAACTGTTGGTCTTTTTAGGAAATGGGTTGCAAATAAATAATCAAGTTACTTTCAACTTATCTCTTATCTTCATAGACCCTTTAATACCTTGCTTTTATATTGAAGAAAAACTTGCTTACTGTACTGTCTATCTGGCTGTAACGTTTGAGATCCTTACATATGATAACACCAAGACCTCCACTGAGGAAACACACAACCAGTAGGGAGTTCATGATGCTGAAAAATATGACAGCGATGAAACACATTCAGAAGAGTTTTTATGATGCTGAAAGATATGACAGTGATAAAACACACATTCAGAAGGGAATTCATGATGGTGAAAAATATGACAGTGATAAAACACACATTCAGAAGGGAATTCATGATGGTGAAAAATATGACAGTGATAAAACACATAACCAGTGGGGAATTCATGATGCTGAAAAAGATGACAGTGATGAAACACACAACAAGTAGGGAATTCATGATGCTGAAAAATATGACACTGTTGAAACACACAACCAGTAGGGAGTTCATGATGCTGAAAAATATGACTGTGTTAAACACAAAACCAGTAGGAATTCATGATGCTGAAAAATATGACTGTGTTAAACACAAAACAAGTAGGGAATTCATGATGCTGAAAAATATGACTGTGTTAAACACAAAACAAGTAGGGACTTCATGATGCTGAAAATTCACCACTCACGAGCAATATTACCTTGATAAAATCCTTTTTTTATTAACCCTGCCCATTACCTAAAGTTAAATATCTCAGATTTGATGTATAAAATATCATAATTCAAAATCATATGATAATATAGATAAGAGAACATACCTGAACCATAGGATGTTGGTATGTGGCATGGAGTCCAAGATGTAATCCCATCTGGAGGACCATCTAACATTGTTATTTTCCTGAAATACCATATAAAATTATTGTACATAATAGACAATCATTGTACAGTACATAACAAACAAGTTTTCTACACAATAGACAATTATTGTACAAAATAGACAATTAATGTTAACAATATACAATATTATTTGTTACATAAAGAGCAAGGCAACTCTCTACCGAGAACGTAATCCCCACGATTTTAATGCCAATTTCCATATTTGGACAGCCACTCTGAATTTCTAGAGGCATATGAAGAAACAGAGTATAATATTCGAAATCTACTGTTAAATAAATATGATTTGAAATAATAAAAAAATACTTTTGATTGATCTGAAAAGGTATACTTACTCTAAACCTAATAGAGTATGTATAGTTGAAAGTGATATCATTGTTGGTACCAGCCACTCCTAATACAGGGGCCCCACTACATGTTGCCTCTCCAGTCTTGCCAGCATTATGCTTGATGCTAAAATGAAACATTTAGTACATTTAGAGTATGTATACATGTAGTTGAAGATTATATCATTGTTGCTACCAGCCATTCCTAATACAGGGGCCCAACTACATGCTGCCTCTCCACTCTTGCCAGCATTATGCTTGATGCTATAAAATTAAACATTAGCCAGATATACAAATTACACATTCAGTTGTTTTTAAGGTCAGAGCTTTATCTCACAAATACAATTTTAATTGACCGAGGCTTCATTGAGACTATTCCTTGACCTGCACACCCATCAACACAAGACCTCAACTTATTGTGTGTACTAAAAACACTATTTACCTCCTTGGTTCAAGTTTAGCTGAGATAAGACGTCCTGCAGAATTCCCGAGGGAGCTTCCCCATTCTTCCTTTTCTCCACTGTGGTAGGCTATGGTGATCTCAACATAGTTGAATATATAGTAGGTGTCTTTCTGACTAAATTCAGCCTGCAATAGAGGAAACAATTGAACTAGTTAGGCTATGGTGATCTCAACATGGTTGAATATATAGTAGGTGTCTTTCTGACTAAATTCAGCCTGCAATAGAGGAAACAATTGAACTAGTTAGGCTATGGTGATCTCAACATGGTTGAATATATAGTAGGTGTCTTTCTGACTAAATTCAGCCTGCAATAGAGGAAACAATTGAACTAGTTAGGATATGGTGATCTCAATATGGTTGAATATATAGTAGGTGTCTTTCTGACTAAATTCAGCCTGCAATAGTGGAAATAATTGAACTAGTTAAATGATAAATTGTGGTAGGGTATGGTGATCTCAACATAGTTGAATATACGAGGGGTGATTCAAAAGTAATGGACAAAATTTTATAGGCACGCTTACCTTTACCAGATTTGAATGAAACTTTGTACAAATAAAGATTAATCAATTATCTATTAGATGTTAAAACTTTATTAACTAAATGCAAATACATTTTGAGATAGAGCACTTCTCTTGGATCATGGTGCATACACCCGGAATCCATTTTTAAGGCTATTTTCATCCTAATAACAAATGGATTTTCAATGAAAAGTTTGCTGGTGCAAAATATTTTGCAATGCAAGATGTATATGAAAAGCATATCGAAGTAAGTTCAATAATAATCCATATCATTCCTTATTATTCCTGATGATCATCCATTTGAATTATATTCAATCCTCAATGTATTCTCCTCCAAGTTCAATTACTTTCTTCTGTCGGCGCACCCATGCAGAGAACACATGCCCAAATCCATCAGCAGCCATGGTGTTCAGCTGTTTTTGTACAGCCATTTCCAGCTCAGCTAATGTCTGAAAGGATTGTCCCTTTAATGCCATCTTAAGGGTGGGAAAAAGATAGAAATCACAAGGAGCAGTATCAGGGCTATATGGAGCATGTGGAAGTTGAGGCATGTCCATGAATGCTGCAAGAGTATCCTGAACTAGCTTGGACCTGTGTGCTGGGGCATTGTCCATGTGTAACAAACGATTGTCTCTCGTGTCTTTCCTTTTCTTTTGAAGTGTCTGTCTTAGAAATATCATTGTGATGTCATAGCACAATTGGTTGCTGAATTTAGAACTCAACAGCAAACACATGGGCATGTGAGTCTTGCTTGACAATTGCATTACCATGCTTGTTAGACATATCATGTGTGGTAATTGAGTCCTTAAAACAAAATCAAGCAAAAATGACAAAAACATTCAATTATCATTAAAAAACCAATTCCACCCATGCTTACCCTTGTTACCATCGTTACGCATAGCTGAAACAATTTCAAATGCATTTAAATGAGAATTCGACACAAAGTAGAGAATTGATTGATCTATTCACTGTGAAAAAATTAGACTGATTGGGTGAAATTTAGTATGCCTATAAAATTTTGTCCATTACTTTTGAATCACCCCTCGTATAGTAGGTGTCTTTCTGACTAAATTCAGCCTGCAATAGTGGAAATAATTGAACTAGTTAAATCATAAATTGTGGTAGGGTATGGTGATCTCAACATAGTTGAATATATAGTAGGTGTCTTTCTGACTAAATTCAGCCTGCAATAGTGGAAATAATTGAACTAGTTAAATGATAAATTGTGGTAGGGTATGGTGATCTCAACATAGTTGAATATATAGTAGGTGTCTTTCTGACTAAATTCAGCATGCAATAGTGGAAATAATTAAACTAGTTAAAATGATAAAATAGAATTTTCTTCAGCCTGCATGGTCTAACTAGGAATAAATAACTAGTTAAAATGATGAAATTGACTTTTCAGCTCGTAAATTGCATTATTATGGATACTTAACTAGTTCAAAAATAGTTTGAATCTGGAAACGGTTCTCATAAAAAACGTGACACGCTATGTTTTGTGCACTTTTGGATACTCACATTGATAACGCAAGCATCTTTAGCTTTGCCTTCAGCGGTGACGTAACATCCAATGGGGAAGCTAGGAGAGCAGTATTTCTGGTCACCCTCGACTTCATAGCACCATGTGACTGGCATGTTATCTATGATCCTGTCAGTGGAAAATAGAAGTTTGTTAAGCAAAAACTAAATAATAATATAATTTTACATGAGAGACTTTGTATACGAGGGTTGTCCCAGAAGTACATGTAATGCTCTGTATGTTTTAACTTCCTTTATTATTCTTCGATTCAGCTGAAATATTGTGCATATTGCAATCGTAAATATTATAACCCATATATAAATGAAAGTTAACAAAAACAAGTCTGCAGAAGATCTTGAAGTAATTATACTAGGAGGTTATTAAACTGCACATGATCCTGAATCAATACAGTTCCTGAAAAACACTTATATACAAGTTATATCGAAATGAAAAATATGAATGTTTTTTGGCCCACCCTGGATATCGAATTGAAAACATTATCACCATGACAAACCTTTAAGTGTCTCACATATTCGATCAAAATTTGCCATGCAAACATGTTAGTCTACTTTACTGGCCCCCCTTGCTGTAACAAGGAACACAAAACACATTAAAACGCAAACATAAACCAATTAGTCAGACGATCACTTCACTATGAAAGTTAGGGGTGTTCAAGGCAAATGTGTATTAGCAGAATACGCTGTGTGCATGGACTAACACAATGTCAGTGGTCATTTACTGTGTCAACTTAGTAACCCTTGCATATCCTGCTCACTCAAGTATTGAATACTTTTTTTATGATCTAAATCTTTGTGGTTTATAAAAAAATGTGATATATTTTAGTTGGAAATACATTAATAAATATATTCATTCAAACAGCACTAGAATGCGGGAAGAAAGAGCAATGGTGACAAAATGCAGACCGAATTTTCCGTAAGGGTTTCAAACATTTCTGGACACAATCATACATGTACTTCATGTGTACTGTTATTTTTAGTGCTGTATTTATAGATATAATTTCATGTATTAAAATCATATTTTCCAGCAATGACTTCAAATTCGGAACCACCCCCATATCACATTTTCTTCAATAACTCCAAACATGTGTAAACATTGACCATGTGCATATAAATTCAGATTTCACGAGCTCTTTCCTATTCGATTACCTCATACACCCCTGCATGGATTTGAGTTGGATTCGCCTTTTATACGTGAGCCGGTACACATCGCAAACGCTGATTGGATAAAGATTGCGAGAATCTTTAATACGTACCAATTGTGCTCAAAGTTCATCAATATTCCTCTCTTTAGGAAGTCTAATTTTTTCCTGGATACCAAATCATTGTTTGAGTATATCTTCTGGCAGAGATTTTTACAGTTTTCATCTTTGCCAAAGTCAATCTAAAATATGATATTAAATCAATATTAAATCAAACAAATGAACATATAATAAAGCAAAGTTAACATGGTTTTTTCATGCATGTATTACAGGGGCTTGTCTGGAGGGTCGGACAAGCCCTCCGATGTGTTTGTACTGATCTAAGAAGTCAAACTCTTTATAACAGTACACACTTATTGGAGGACTTGCCCTACACTCCTGACAAGCCCCTGTGTCATGTATCAGTGTATCTGAGCTGTATCTGAGCCTATATATATTTGCACTATTCAATGTTTTTAAAGAACAAATTATGGCAACCACTTTCCAACCATAATTTGCTTATGGATATTGAAAGATATTACAATTTACTAAGACATCCTATAATAATACAACTAAACATACTGCACAAAACAACAAATCCCCATGTAAAGCAACCATTGAATGTTACAGTGAACGATACAAGTGAGATCCAGCAACCACTGCCCAGATGACAACATAACGGTACGTAAAGAAAGAAACCAAGCTGATGACAAATTGTACCTTTTCAGGTATGATAAAAATCAGACTTATTCAAGCTTACTTCATATGATGATTTTTGTATATGGGCACCATCACCAAAGATTGTCTGTCCAAAGGTTTCAACAGGAGTTTCATCTTCAGGCTTTGTGCAGAAATTAAAGCTGAAAATATATAGAACCAGGATTAACCTGAAATTTAATGACACAGCTAGCTACAGGCAGGAGAGGCAAAAACCCTACAAAAACTTTGGAGAATATTTTTTTTGATTTTTTAGATGAAATTTTTTTTTTAATATTCTCCAAAGTTTTGGTAAGGGTAAGTTTGTCCGAGAGCAGACTAAACAAAGTCGTCCTTTGTTCAATGTTCACAGCGGTGTTAAAAAATATAATGTGTTTTGTACTGTATAGTGGAATATTTGATAAAAAATTTCAACTTTTATTTGCTAAATGGTGGGAAATTTGAATATTGAAAAGTAGTCAATGAATGCTAAAAAAATATTTTCAAACTATACATGGGGCCTTTAACAAAAATTTTCTGATTCTCCGTCATTTTGCTTTTGCACTTTAACTTCATCTATCCCACAGGTTAGTACAAAACATGTCACAGTTCCATGACATACCCTAGGACACTATTCTGAATCAAATTCCTGCAAATTTATATACCTTGTGTGAGTCCAAGTTAAGCTAAAAAGCCATTTTTCAAAATGGCCACCAGTTTCAAAATGGCCACCATTTTAATGTCAATTTTAGGTACAACATTGATGACACGGTGTCACCTTGCCATGTTTTGTACTAACCCCTAATTCCTTATCCCGTACCAGGGCTATTGACTATAATCCTTGCACGGGATAACCTATTCCAACACAGGGATCTTTCAATATTTGTGTAATAATTTGGAATAGTATACATGTGGTAATCTTACCTGGAATATTCATAGGAGAGGGCTGATTTTACTGAATCTAAACTGTTTACAAATACTGGAATATAAGCCTGAAAATATAAAATGAAGTTCTGGTTTTACACCCTATATAGACTGTGCTATATAGAAACAAGTGGTGCGGATATCATGTGTGCATGTGCGGACTTTAACGTTCATTTTTGAATTTGTAATATTTCATAGTAAATAAAGGCATGTTGGGTACTCAATTATAATATTATTACCCATTTGTAGATAATACCCACTGGCGGATTAGGGGGGGGGGGGCTGGGGGCCTTACAGCCCCAAAAAGTGGGCCTTTTGGTCGTTACTGGGCCTCTCAAGGCCTTATTTTTTAATTTCAGGCCAAATTTTGAAGAAAATGGGCCTCAAGATTTCAGAATTTGGGCCCACTTTTGGGTTTTATGGGCCCAAAATTTTTGTCCGATATCAGATATGTGCTATGTGTACCTCTAAAGAAGCAGTGTGGATAAACATCACTTTACGCTGGATATCCGCACTGCTTGTTTAGAGGTACCACATTTTCGGTATGACTTTTTTATACAATCTCCCGGGCCTATGGAACATGTACTAGATTCTCGTTTTTGGTGGCCACGGCCCACATGGGCTTTCAAGAGTACCTTCTTCTAAAGCCACTATGCAAGAATTGGCTAGACTCGAGTAAAGATACGATTCTCTTGAACTGTGAAAGCCCATGGTATGAGGCACAGGGTATCCAGAACCCTGTGAGTGAAGGAATCAAAACCCTGTACCCTTATCCCGTTCCCGGACTATAGTCCATTTTTTCGACAAATCATAATTTCTAAATATTTTTCCTATATAGATTTGTCTAGCCTAGGCCTAATTTCTAAATAATTTCTTACCTCACAATCTTCAGATTTCATGGATTTCTCAGTGCAAAAAGTGACAGGTGCCAAACCTGGTAAATAAAAGGCATCTGTGAGGTATATGTGAAATAAAAGACATAATAAAGTCCGTCCTTTTGTTCTCTTGATATACATCGTCTTTTTCTAGCTGTCTAGATCCTCGTATATGGTGTGCGATTGGTTTATTTTGAAAAAGAAAGCTCCGATGAATTTTTTATCCAAAATGGTTTCTTCAAGTCATGACGTGTGGTCTAATAGTAATAGGTCACGCTGACATTCTGATTTTGCGCTTCCCAAATTATAACTCTATCATTGACCGTCTATCATATATCAGATTTTGAAATCAAGTCTACAATTAACTGACAATGTTTATTGGTAGAAACATGAGCCCATGGTAGAAAATATAAAAATAATTGAAATAAGTAAATTGGCGTAATCCAGCAGAACCCGGAACAATAACAAAGAAACAACCTTGAGAAAAGTGACTGATTTCACCTTCAAATAAAGCACTAGAAATCGGATTCACAGACACTAGTAATTGCTCAGATTTAGGACAATCAGCCTCAGTATGCCGGGGAAGGACAAAAGATTAACTTTCGCACAGAATTTTGTTTGTGGTGGAAATGCTGGTGTTATATGCCGAACTGTTTGTTCCCCTCTTGATGTTGTAAAAACCCTACAGCAAGTGGGCACCGAAGATACAAGAGGGGGAATGGTCAAAACTTTTATCAATCAATATAAAAATGAGGGCATTAGAGCATTCTGGAAGGGAAATCTTATCGCATGTATCCGGGGTTTCCCATACTATGCGTTACAATTCGCCGCGTTTGAGCAGATAAAACAACAAATATCAAACGATCAAGGAAAACTGTCTCCGATGGGTTCCATGTTTGCAGGGTCCATGGGTGGAGTTATTGCAGTATTAGCAACATATCCCCTAGATATGGTTAAGACACGACTTACCGCACAGCATGCAGATCTTTCGAAGGCAAAATATAAGGGAATAGCTCCTGCATTTCGTTTGATAATAAAGGAAGAGGGGGCGATGGCCCTCTATAAAGGATGCGGAACTTCAATTATAGGTACATCTTGATATTATACATGAATATCAAATTTAAGGTATTTCTTGTTTTAGTTCCTATTGTTATGACCCGAGATCGCTCCAGGGGAATGACTTACTAACGACATGGGCTTTCAACTAGAATAAAATAAAGCCCATGCTAACGAGCATACAGGTAGTATAACAAGCCAGATACAGAAAATGAAAGACAGCATGCTAAATGCAATGCCCTGTGTGGGAATTGAACCCTGGACCCTTAGAACGAAAGACTAATGCCCCTCCAATTGGGCTATAAAAGCTTAAGCCACTACTACAGCTGGGCTGTAGTAAGAACTTGTTACACTTTCAATTTCAGTACTGTACACCCCCAAATACTCTCTGCCAATTTTTGTTCTGATTTGACAAATATTCATGTCTAATGCATGTATTGCCTCCATCATAGATTTTGGGCCCATATAAAGGTGGCAGCAGCAGTAGAATGTGGCCTGCCCTCTTTATTTAAAAATACTTCCATCATCCTTTATGTAGCCCATTGCCTTTGCTTTATATTGTTCAAGTTTTAGTGATTTGACTTTTCTCGTTATCTTGCACTTATTTTTTTATTCAGCAGTAATATTACATACATTTAATACAATATACTAAACAGCTTGATATCCTTTGGATATATAAAGCATTTAAATACAACACTTTGTTATAAAATAATGGCTTGTTCACTTTTACTCATTTCTTTGTTTTAATTTGGGGACATATAGATGTAAATGTGCAATACATGTACAGAGGAAATACTGAATCTCCTCATCCATTTTTTATTTGTAATAATGCCTTTATTATGTTTTTAGGTGTTATCCCATTTGCTGGTGCAACATTCATGGCGTATGTTAAAATGCCTTTACTATATTTTAGGTGTTATCCCATTTGCTGGAGCAACATTTATGGCGTATGAATTCCTTGAAAGACTGTGGCAGAAACCAAAGAATAAGATGAGCCCAATGGAGAACTTTATAGATGGCTGTTTAGCTGGAGCATTTGCTCAAACAATATCATATCCCTTTGATACTATAAGGAAGAAACTACAGGTAAGAAGAAATAACATAGGTTTTGGGCTGATATAAAGATGGTAGCACCAGAATCCAAAATTATCTTACATAAACACAGATCAATTACCATGCCATCTTTATTTAAAAATTTACCTTAAGGCTTATACAAACAGTGCTTTCCCATTTGTCTCTTTCCTGATAACAATAAGGAATCATGCTCATTTTTATTGTCCAGGCACGAAGCAAGTACATTAATGGTGGAAAGACTGATGTAAAACCATGCACATTGTGATATTCCAGGCTCAAAGCAAGTACATTGCTGGTTGAGGGACTTATATAAAACCATGCACATTGTTATATTCCAGGCTCAAAGCAAGTACATTGCTGGTGAAGGGACTGATATAAAACCATGCACATTGTTATATTCCAGGCTCAAAGCAAGTACATTGCTGGTGGGGGGACTTATATAAAACCATACACATTGTTATATTCCAGGCTCAAAGCAAGTACATTGCTGGTTGAGGGACTTATATAAAACCATACACATTGTTATATTCCAGGCTCAAAGCAAGTACATTGCTGGTGGGGGGACTGATATAAAACCATGCACATTGTTATATTCCAAGTACATTGCTGATGGAGGGACTGGTATAATACCATACACATTGTTATATTCCAGGCTCAAAGCAAGTACATTGCTGGTTGAGGGACTTATATAAAACCATACACATTGTTATATTCCAGGCTCAAAGCAAGTACATTGCTGGTGGAAAGACTGATATAAAACCATGCACATTGTTATATTCCAGGCTCAGAGCAAGTACATTGCTGGTGGAGGGACTGATATAAAGCCATGTACATTGTTATATTCCAGGCTCAAAGCAAGAACATTGCTGGTGGAGGGACTGATATAAAACCATGTACATTGTTATATTCCAGGCTCAAAGCAAGTACATTGCTGGTGGAGGGACTGATATAAAACCATGCACATTGTTATATTCCAGGCTCAAAGCAAGTACATTGCTGGTGGAGGGACTGATATAAAACCATGCACATTGTTATATTCCAGGCTCAAAGCAAGTACATTGCTGGTGGAGGGACTGATATAAAACCATGCACATTGTTATATTCCAGGCTCAGAGCAAGAACATTGCTGGTGGAAAGACTGATATAAAACCATGCACATTGTTATATTCCAGGCTCAAAGCAAGTACATTGCTGATGGAGGAACTGATATAAAACCATACACATTGTTATATTCCAGGCTCAAAGCAAGTACATTGCTGATGGAGGGACTGATATAAAACCATACACATTGTTATATTCCAGGCTCAAAGCAAGTACATTGCTGATGGAGGGACTGATAAAAAACCATACACATTGTTATATTCCAGGCTTAAAGCAAGTACATTGCTGGTGGAGGGACTGATAAAAAACCATACACATTGTTATATTCCAGGCTCAAAGCAAGTACATTGCTGGTGGAGAGACTGATATAAAAACATGCACATTGTTTTATTTTAAGCTCAAAGCAAGTACATTGCTGATGCAGGCCTGTCAACTGTCCCGCAATTTGCGTATTTGTCACGCATTTGCTGAAGAATATGAAGTCACGCCAGTTATTTTTGCGTGACAGAAAATGTCACGCAAATACGCATTTTACCTGGTAATTGTCAAGCAAAAATCTTTCTGTAGAAAAATTTCCAAAAAAGATCGTCTACACAGCAAAAATACGAACGCCGGAAAAAAATGTACGCATTTAGTTCGGTCTTTTCACGCGAATTACGTATATGTCACGCATTCCGTTCGAAATTTTTCGAGGATAGGTATTCTGGCCATATCCAGCTCCTGATCATCCAGTATTTGTTTTATTATGCACCTCCCAATCAAAGTTAAGTGGAGTACTAAAATACAGGCTTAAACAGTCGTTTAGTTGACATTATTTTGACATTTATTTATTTTTTCTTTCAAAACTCAGACGACTTCCGGCCAGTTTATTCGCTACACTGGATGAAAATATTTGCCCCGGGAATTTAATTTTTTTTTATTCGAGACGTTCTTGCAGAATTATATGTAACTTTTGAATGATAAGGGTGATTGTGATTGATTAAGTGCATTTTTTTCTTCTATTTTCCGCCAGTTTCAGATTTAAGCTTTAAGTAGTACTCCAGTTATTAAGAAATAAAACTCTGAAGTGGGAATGTTGCAAAAACATTGAAAAAAATATCCAACCCTTTTTCTCGAAAGGCTCAGATATTAAAAAGATATCCGGCAGTTTTCAGAAAAGAGCAGAGTATTGCCAAATTACAAGCAACTAAGAACCAATCAGATTTGAGTATTTTAATGAGGTGCATAATAAAAAACCATTCACATTGTAATATTCCAGGCTCAGAGCAAGTAATTGCTGGTGGCGGGACTGATATGAAACCATGCACATTGTTATATTCCAGGCTCAAAGCAAGTACATTGCTGGTGGAAAGACTGATATAAAACCATGCACATTGTTATATTCCAGGCTCAAAGCAAGAACATTGCTGGTGGAGGGACTGATATCAAACCATGTACATTGTTATATTCCAGGCTCAAAGCAAGTACATTGCTGATGGAGGGACTGATATAAAACCATACACATTGTTATATTCCAGGCTCAGAGCAAGTACATTGCTGGTGGAGGGACTGATATAAAACCATGCACATTGTTATATTCCAGGCTCAGAGCAAGTACATTGCTGGTGGAGGGACTGATATAAAACCATGCACATTGTTATATTACAGGCTCAGAGCAAGTACATTGTTGGTGGGGGGACTGATATAAAACCATGCACATTGTTATATTCCAGGCTCAGAGCAAGTACATTGCTGGTGGAGGGACTGATATGAAACCATGCACATTGTTATATTACAGGCTCAGAGCAAGTACATTGCTGGTGGAGGGACTGATATAAAACCATGCACATTGTTATATTACAGGCTCAGAGCAAGTACATTGCTGGTGGAGGGACTGATATAAAACCATGCACATTGTTATATTACAGGCTCAGAGCAAGTACATTGTTGGTGGAGGGACTGATATAAAACCATGCACATTGTTATATTCCAGGCTCAAAGCAAGTACATTGCTGGTGGAGGGACTGATATAAAACCATGCACATTGTTATATTCCAGGTTCATAGCAAGTACATTGCTGGTGGAAAGACTGATATAAAACCATGCACATTGTTATATTACAGGCTCAGAGCAAGTACATTGCTGGTGGAGGGACTGATATAAAACCATGCACATTGTTATATTCCAGGCTCAAAGCAAGTACATTGCTGGTGGAGGGACTGATATAAAACCATGCACATTGTTATATTACAGGCTCAGAGCAAGTACATTGTTGGTGGAGGGACTGATATAAAACCATGCACATTGTTATATTCCAGGCTCAAAGCAAGTACATTGCTGGTGGAAAGACTGATATAAAACCATGCACATTGTTATATTCCAGGCTCAGAGCAAGTACATTGCTGGTGGAGGGACTGATATAAAACCATGCACATTGTTATATTCCAGGCTCAAAGCAAGTACATTGCTGGTGGACAGACTGATATAAAACCATGCACATTGTTATATTCCAGGCTCAAAGCAAGTACATTGCTGTTGGACGGACTGATATAAAACCATGCACATTGTTATATTCCAGGCTCAGAGCAAGTACATTGCTGGTGGAAAGACTGATATAAAACCATGCACATTGTTATATTCCAGGCTCAGAGCAAGTACATTGCTGGTGGAGGGACTGATATAAAACCATGCACATTGTTATATTACAGGCTCAGAGCAAGTACATTGCTGGTGGAGGGACTGATATAAAACCATGCACATTGTTATATTCCAGGCTCAAAGCAAGTACATTGCTGGTGGAGGGACTGATATAAAACCATGCACATTGTTATATTCCAGGCTCAGAGCAAGTACATTGCTGGTGGAGGGACTGATATAAAACCATGCACATTGTTATATTACAGGCTCAGAGCAAGTACATTGCTGGTGGAGGGACTGATATAAAACCATGCACATTGTTATATTACAGGCTCAGAGCAAGTACATTGCTGGTGGAGGGACTGATATAAAACCATGCACATTGTTATATTACAGGCTCAGAGCAAGTACATTGCTGGTGGAGGGACTGATATAAAACCATGCACATTGTTATATTCCAGGCTCAAAGCAAGTACATTGCTGGTGGAGGGACTGATATAAAACCATGCACATTGTTATATTCCAGGCTCAAAGCAAGTACATTGCTGGTGGAGGGACTGATATAAAACCATGCACATTGTTATATTCCAGGCTCAAAGCAAGTACATTGCTGGTGGAGGGACTGATATAAAACCATGCACATTGTTATTTTACAGGCTCAGAGCAAGTACATTGCTGGTGGAGGGACTGATATAAAACCATGCACATTGTTATATTACAGGCTCAGAGCAAGTACATTGCTGGTGGAGGGACTGATATAAAACCATGCACATTGTTATATTCCAGGCTCAAAGCAAGTACATTGCTGGTGGAGGGACTGATATAAAACCATGCACATTGTTATATTCCAGGCTCAAAGCAAGTACATTGCTGGTGGAGGGACTTATATAAAACCATGCACATTGTTATATTCCAGGCTCAAAGCAAGTACATTGCTGGTGGAGGGACTGATATAAAACCATGCACATTGTTATATTCCAGGCTCAAAGCAAGTACATTGTTGGTGGAGGGACTTATATAAAACCATGCACATTGTTATATTCCAGGCTCAAAGCAAGTACATTGCTGGTGGAGGGACTGATATAAAACCATGCACATTGTTATATTCCAGGCTCAAAGCAAGTACATTGTTGGTGGAGGGACTTATATAAAACCATGCACATTGTTATATTCCAGGCTCAAAGCAAGTACATTGCTGGTGGAGGAACTGATGTTGAGTTCTCTGGAATGTTGGATGGGTTCATACAGACTGTTAGAACTAAGGGTGTCTTTGGACTTTGGACTGGCACTACTGCTAATTTGATCAAGGTACATATGCTTATTTGTTTATTCATTATTTCTTTCATTTGTTTGTTTGTTTGTTTGTGAAGAATGAAGTTTGTGATGAAAGTTCACAAGTTAATATATCATACATTGTCTTCTGGCAGGCACTTTGCAATTAGCATTAGGATCTTTGGTTACATTGCATTATATTCAACTTAAAAAGTTTATAATCCTTTTCCAGGTGATGCCCTATGCTGGTATAATGTTCATGTCATTTGAAGCAACAAAACGGTTCTTCCTATACCAGAATGGGTTCACCACGAGTCCCTTTAAAGACACTCCAAGGCTTGATGTAGATCAAACATGGAGTCAAGAGGAGCTTCACGACATATTGGAGATTCGTCAATTCTTGCATGGGTATCACCATCATCATTAATAGTATTTATCTCATCATTTTCGACATCATTTGATGGGAGAATATTGAGGTCTGCTTTAATGTGATTGGAACATGGAGAAATTTTATGATTTGGAAATGGAGATACACATGTACATATATGGATAGTGCCATCATCATAAATAGCATTTATCTCGCAGCTTTAACATCGTTTGATGAAGATAACATAGAATTGGCAACTTGTGTGTTTTAAAGAGGTCTGCTCCAATGTAATTCGAACATGAAGGAGTATTATTAAACAGGAGTTGGATATACAGATTCTACATGGATACCACTATCATTGAATTGAATTATATTGTACCCAGCTGAGATTTCAAAAAATCATGATAAATAGGAAAGTTTGACCAGTTGAAGTCTTGCATCGAATTCCTGGATCTTATCTACTCCATCTCATGTGAAGGGGAGGTGTATGAGGGTAGGTCACAGGGGCTTGAAACAAGACTACACATGGACCTGTTCACATAGCCCTGTTCACAATTCACATAGCCCTTTCACAGAGCAGTGGATAATTACACTTGCATTAAAGGGGCAACAAAGACCAGAGACGGTTTGAGATTAATTTTTTAATAACAGTTACAACTTTATTTTAGGATAATCCTTTGTTTTTTGGCACAAACTAATTGAAAAAGCTGTCTGTTCTATTTCAATTCTAATCAGTTCAGATATTTCTACATCTTCAATAACATCCATATTTATTTGATCGTTATTTTGATCGTTATTCTTTTACGGAAAATAAAAGGGTTATAAAATAAACAATAATAATATACTCTGTAGTCTTTGCTGCCACTTTAATGAATCTATGTTTTTTGATAATCAAACTTTTTTGATGATCAAACAATCAGCATTCGTATCAATTGATAATATTCAAGGTTTGATGAAAGGATTTGAATATAGATTTATATATATTATGCAACATTAATATAATAGATCTTTCCAAAGACCTGCCATCTTTATTGTTGGAAGATCAAAATGAACTGTTTTTTGGACGGATTTAGTGACGTCACAGGTCATCATTTTCTTCAATTTTTAATTGGAACATTTCTACTTGTGACTGGCAAATATAGTACAGTTTCTGCACCCAGCAAAAGATGGCACTGTATTGGGAAGATTTATTCTAAGAAATTACTTTTATTAATTATCATTCAATAATGCACAAATCAGCAATAGGGTAGTCACATATTCAGGTTTATATGCAAATTTTACTTACAACGATCCTTTTGCTCATAATATATGAATGTACTCTATTTTAAAATCAAGCATTTTGCATTTAAAGGGAAAATCAATCTTAGAGAACAACATATTTTGATTTTTTAGGCTCATAAAATATTAGAGATCATCCTACCCACCCCAGGGTAGATATATTATATTACCCTCGAGATAATCCGAATATCCTGAACCTCATATAGGATAATCTCCATTTACAGACCTGCTTTATACGAGTATGTACCTCAAACATGTCCAAATATGGGATAAATGAAAATATGCCACCCTGGATCGCATCTGACAGATCCTCGCTGTTTTATACAAATGAATAAATGTAATTGTCAATATATTACATGTTAATTTTAAATCATGAATGACTCAGGACTGTTATTGCAATGCTATATACAAATATATGAATTACAAACATAGGAGCTTTAATGAAGTTGAATAAGAGGGGGAAACACCCAAGAGCTCAAAGATGACTCTGAGGTTTCCCCTCCTCTTAGTTGTATTCTAAATAATATTATCTACAATGAACTACTTAATAAAAGCTTGTATAGAGCTACATGTATATAGGACATTTATTTAAGTAATATTATGTACAAATACTATGACAATGAACCTTATGTATAATTTACCTCATAAACAGAAATTGGTGCTCTCTTTGGTACATATTTCAATAATTTGAATATGAATTTAAAATTATATGAGCTTGTGTTTGAGATTTAATAACATAAGTGTCACATAATTACTGTGTAAGTGGCATTTCCTTATTTTAGTTTTCCTAATCACAAGAAATGTCCCATTAGATAACATTATGAAGATAATATTTCCAACATTTAATTTTCCGAACCTGGCAAAAATTAGGCAATATGCAAATTAATTGAATAGGCAAAATGACCACTTATACGTTAATGTACATGTATTAATTCAGTAATCTAGGGAAACTATAAAATTGTTGAGGGATCCCATTTTTGGGAAAATACCTTCTTGCCGGTCAGATACTGAAGTAAGAAGATTATTTTAAGGGTATGTGATGTAAAAAGTGCCATATTTTATTAAAAAGTGCCATATTTTACGAATACTTTGCAGCTAGTTGAATTCAAAATCTGAGATATACTATAAGCGGTTAAAATATGCTGTGTGTTAGACTATTATGTGGGCAATGTTTCAATTTCAAGCAGCAAGATATTTAAAGGCTGCATGTACAGTAAAACCTGTCTCACCCGAACACCACTGAGGATCACCAAAGTATCTTGGTTGGGAGGTGTTTTCTTTTCGAGGTTTTTGTGATTTTGGTAATCTATGACACATTAAAAATGGGACTAAAAAAAGTGTTCACATTGAGAGGTGTTCAGATTAGAGAGGTGTTCAGGTGTTTGGGTTGTACTGTACAACGTAATTCAGCTCAATTTCACTGAAGTGAAAATGGAAATTATAGCATTACCTCGGTTTCGAGAACAGATTTTATTTTTCACATTAAGTTTTCAAATCTTTAAATGTTTTTGAGTGCTTGTAAAGAACTGAAAAAGATAAGTGATGGAAGAATACATGTAAACAATTTGTTATGAATTTGTTTATAAATAGCCCAAGTAGGCAAATGCATAATTTTCAATAAACGCTTAAAAACAATTAACATACATGTTAGGGTAACCATTATACAGGGTGACACAAAGCACTACACAAAAAAAGATTCTAGAATAATCCATCATAAATTAGAAGTGAAGGGTTGGTTGTATTTTTGTGTCACTCAATATATATAATTTAAGAAAATATATATATATAATTAAACATATAGATATGTATTCAGGGCATACTTGTATTTTAGATTAGATAATATAACACAAAATATTTACGCTGATAATCTCTGATATAGTAAATAGTGAAATTTACTTGTCTAAATGCTATTGCTTTATGATAAAAATTAAGTATGAAATAAATAAAAAATACACTACATACTAGTCCTCTTGTTTGTCTCTTATTTTATATTAGATAGATATTTGTACTTCATAAATGGAAACTGAAAAAGCTCTCTAAATATCCATTTTAAAATTCGGAACAGTTTTTGTGGACGGCGGTTGGCGTTCGGCGTCTGTAACATATGGCGTCTGTAACAAATCAATCAATGGCAGGTGGTAACTTTGATTGGTGCAAGCTGAGATAATGGTTGTTGTTAACCCACTAGACTTTTAGTTAGAGTTGTTAGTTGGACCGTCTTTGAATTCTGTGCCTAGCGTAAATAGGGCAAATGGGAATGATAATTTCGAAAAGCAAATACTAATATTTACTAACGGAAATGTCAGAGAAATTGTATAAGATCACATTTTCCCGCCCAATCCCGCTCACGAAAATCATAACCTCCCAATCCCGCTCATGAAAATTGTATTCACCTCCCGGGAATCTCTGCCGACCAAGCTTCCTATTACGTTCAGTTGGGTCGATATAGCGTGAATTAATGATGTTCATTTGTGAAAAACGATATTTTCCAAACAAAAATTGAAAATAGAGATTTTGAACTATAGGGGAATTGTAATTTCATCATCGTGCTTACACGAAAATGGTATTCACCTCCCGGGAATTTTGCCGAATAAAGGTTCATATTTCGTTCAGTTGGGTCAATATACGTAGCGTGCTATAATGGGTGTTCCGCCATGTCCACCAAACGCGTTATTCAGATTATAAAAAAATCGTGTGTATACACCGTATCTGACGTATCTGTGTTTGTGGCCCAGAAAAAAACAAGTAATGTGTGTATATCGGCATACTGTTATCAATCTATCGTAATCCAGTACAGCTTTAGGGATCCAATGGGGCCCCGACCAAAGCTGAAGACTGGGGGTATGGGTCTATCGTCCAAACAAGCTCTAGCATGTAGGCTATTTCCCACCATCCATATCAACAAAACCATATGTGTGGCAAAAGTAGTAGTTGCCGTATTACACATATTGTATAGCTAGGCCTACTGTATGATAGCCAATGTGCCAATGTACACGTTGGTACCTGTATGGGTGTGTGTTTCAATTCGCGTATCTAGAGTATCTGATATGTATTTCCAGAGACATATAGCCTATGGCTCTGGTATATCCCATCGTCCGTATTAAAACCTACTATGTCGAACTTACTGTAGTTGCCGTATCTCCCATAGTTATACTGTATGCTACAGCAATGTACACGTTGGTGCCTGTGATGGGTGTATGTATATTTCAGTTCGCGTATCTAGAGTATCTCACATGTATTTCCCATCGTCGGTCCATATCATCAAAACCTACCATGTCGAACTAAGTGTAGTTGCCGTATCTCCCCTAGTTATACTGTATGCTATTGTAAAGTACACGTTGGTACCTGAATATGGGTGTATGTGTTTCAATTCGCGTATCTAGAGTATCTCACATGTATTTCCCATCGTCCAATATCATTAAAAACCTACCATGTCGAACTAAGTGTAGTTGCCGTATCTCCCCTAGTTATACCGTATGCTATAGTAATGTACACGTTGGTTGTTTCAATTCGCGTATCTAGAGTATCTCACATGTATTTCCCATCGTCCATATCATTAAAACCTACCATGTCGAACTAAGTGTAGTTGCCGTATCTCCCCTAGTTATACCGTATGCTATAGTAAAGTACACGTTGGTACCTATATATGGATGTATGTGTTTCAATTCGCGTATCTAGAGTATCTCACATGTATTTACCTTTTCGGTCCGTATCATCAAAACCTACCATGTCGAACTTACTGTAGTTGCCGTATCACCCATAGCTATACTGTATGCTATAGTAAAGTACACGTTGGTGCCTGTATATGAGAGTATGTATATTTCAGTTCGCGTATCTAGAGTATCTGGCGTGTATTTTCCATTGTCCAGTTCAACAAAAAATACTATATCCTATGATCCTATCTAATGTAGCTGCCGTATCTTACATAGTAATGCTACTGTGTACTATAGCATATGTATCTAACATGTACATCCTATATTGTATATTATGGGTGTATTGTTCGTATAGCGTATCTAGAGTATCTAACATGTATTTCCTACGATGGCATTAGCAGCAGAATTTATATGGAAAAGTGACCAATAATTACAATAATAGATTGAATAATTATTATTAAACCAACGAACTACCATCCCAGGATCTATGTAGTCCATAATACATGGAAGATACTGAGGATACGCTTATGGGCCAGCGATGGTCTAATACACACCAGTACGATAACATACCATCCAAGGACGCATAGTACAATATACATGAAGATACTCTAGATACGCGAATTGTATCAGGCATGCCTTGATACCCACGAGTACGATTACAGTCATCCGTGGACACATAATGTAGCTACATAATATATGGAAGATACTCCAGATACGGGGATTGTACAAGGGATGTGCTGATACACAGCAATAGTACCATCGCCGATGGCATGCCATCTCGGGACACAGAGGCACATGATACATGGAAGATACTCTAGATACGCGACTTATTCACTCATGTACATATACAAGTTCGACATGGTAGGTTTTGATGACATGGACAATGGTAAATACACGTCAGATACTCTAGATACGCGAATCGAACACATACACCCATACAGGTACCAACGTGTACATTACAATAGCATACGGTATAACTAGGGGAGATACGGCAACTACACTTAGTTCGACATGGTAGGTTTTGATGAGATGGTCGATGGGAAATACATGTGAGATACTCTAGATACGCGAATTGAAACACATACACCCATAGGCTATACAGGTACCAACGTGTACATTACTATAGCACACGGTATAACTAGGGGAGATACGGCAACTACACTTAGTTCGACATGGTAGGTTTTGATGATATGGACCGACGATGGGAAATACATGTGAGATACTCTAGATACGCGAACTGAAATATACATACACCCATATACAGGCACCAACGTGTACATTACTGTAGCATACAGTATAACTATGGGAGATACGGCAACTACACTATGTTCGACATGGTAGGTTTTGATGATATGGACAATGGTTAATACACGTCAGATACTCTAGATACGCGAATCGAAACACATACACCAATATACAGGTACCAACGTGTACATTACTATAGCATACGGTATAACTAGGGGAGATACGGCAACTACACTTAGTTCGACATGGTAGGTTTTGATGATATGGACGATGGGAAATACATGTGAGATACTCTAGATACGCGAATTGAAACACATACACCAATATACAGGTGCCAACGTGTACATTACTATAGCATACGGTATAACTAGGGGAGATACGGCAACTACACTTAGTTCGACATGGTAGGCTTTGATGATGTGGACGATGGGAAATACATGTGAGATACTCTAGATACGCGAATTGAAACACATACACCCATATTCAGGTACCAACGTGTACATTACAATAGCATACGGTATAACTAGGGGAGATACGGCAACTACACTTAGTTCGACATGGTAGGTTTTAATGATATGGACGATGGGAAATACATGTGAGATACTCTAGATACGCGAATCGAACACATACACCCATACAGGTACCAACGTGTACATTACTATAGCATACGGTATAACTAGGGGAGATACGGCAACTACACTTAGTTCGACATGGTAGGTTTTGATGATATGGACGATGGGAAATACATGTGAGATACTCTAGATACGCGAATTGAAACACATACACCAATATACAGGTACCAACGTGCACATTACAATAGCACCCTACAGTATAACTATGGGAGATCTGACATACTGTCCCTGGACATATAGGTACATGATACATGGGAAATACTCTAGATACGCTGTTTGAACCGTATGAATAACAACATGACATCCCAGAACACAATACGTTGAATTTAAGTCACGAAATGTTTCCACCTGCGTGTAGGTCCAATAACACACACACGGGCATTTGCGCTATGTAGAGTTGGTGGACATGGCAGACTTGCCGCTATAATGATGTTCATTTGTGAGAAACGATATTTTCCAAACAAAATTTTGAAACGTAAGAAGTATGAAGATTGTAATGTAATCTATTAAACCAAGGAGGATTGGCTCCCAGAGTGCACCACCGATATTCTGTCCCATATATGGGTATGTCGTAATACAAAATTCGAATTCAAACAGCCGCCATTTTGTTCACTTCAACATTTAAATCGTGAATTTTGGTCTTATTTCCAAACGAAAAATTCCAAAACTCACAAGAAATGATCGAGATATTGGTTCGAATCTTTTGAACTGTTTATTTTGAATTTATAGTCGGTTTTAATTTCAGAAAATAACGACATTTCGACGTTTTCATTGTTGGAAAATATCGAGTTTCGATCCTGGGAGCCAATCCTCCTTGCTATTAAACATAGGCGAATTGTTATTTCATCATCATGCTCTGACACGGACAGTCAACGTCATAGAAATCTGAGCAATATGCGAATGCCCTGTGATGAACATGTAAAAGTATTGTTAATTTTGTTGTTGTTGATGTGTTTATGTTATACAATAAATTTTTCTAGTTCAAAATATCATGATGTTAAGTCATATTTGTTTCATACAAAAAATGAGATATAGATTTTGAATGATTTAGTGAAGAGAGTCATGATTATCATTTGATAAAAAGCTCAAATTTTATATATACTGTATATACTCCCTAATTTTCATAACATTTGGTTCATATCTTCTCCTCTGAATAGAATATATCTGAGTGTTCCATTTTGCCCACCCTGTAGATATCCTTTATAAAGGTAATGAAATCTTTAGAGGCAGAATCCGATTTATTCTATGTCATATATTTTTTTCCAAAAATAATTCACAGTTTATTAGTTCATTTTATTAGATATTAAAATTAATTATATTTAAAGGCAGAGTCAGATTTATGATATTTTAGCTCATATCATTTTTTGTCATATTTAAAAAAACAAAAAAGTTCATAATTTATTCCAGAGCAACTCTATTACTTATGTTATAAAAGTAATGAATTATCTAACTTTCTTTAGCAGATATACTCCAACACTCGACAATTTGATTATTTCCAAATTACAGATTGTTTTCACAAATCATGCCATTTGATAGTGTATTTACTACAATACATACATCGTGTCGCATTCTAATTAAGTCTATGAAATACATTATGAATACAACAACTAAAAGGAAACTTAATATGCTCTAGTAATGTCATCAATTTGCATTTTATTCTATCTTAAATTTCAAGTCAATCTATAGTTATCTTTCTAATCTTTACCTTTCTTAGTCTAACAGTCCCGATTACTATGAATCATGAGAGCAATCATCTGACCAATCAGACAAGCAATTTGTAAACCACATGTGTAAGTTATTTTCACGACGCTTGCTTCATTGGTCTTAAGTTTACGTGTTGCTGTATTTACTGTGCTGAGCTCAGTTGTTGTTTCACGCTCTAGGTCAGTTTCAGTCAAGATCTTGAGGAAGATACAATGACTTCTTTTCAAATCAAATCTTTGATAAGGCAATCTGTTCATTAGTTTCACTTCATTCCTTTTTAGAATAGAGTTCCAATCCACTGTATGGTTCATGAAAGTGACGTGGAAAAACGTCTCTGAGAAGTTCCTATAGCAACGCGTTGTGACAACACCAAGGACATTGTCATATACCTCCCATATCAGGTCGATATACTCATCTTTACATACACCACTGATCAGATGAATATAGCATGTCACTTTAATCATCATGGTTTCTTCGAGAAAACACTTACCGTTGTGGTATGTAAACGGTGGTGAACATTTAGTGATACGCGTCTCTTTGTTCTGTATTTTGAAGCTTGAGCCAACTCCAGCCAGTCTTGCAACTGGGGCAATATCAACATTCACATCCTCATCAGGGTCAATTTCTAACAGTACAGAATACGTGAAGTAGGAGTCTAAGGTTGGGTTCCTTGAAGTCGCACTGTCACTGCATTTTGTTTTATTACTAGCGTAATTATTGCAATAGACACAGTATTTGTTTCTCATGATAAATTTAAGAGTTTCTAACCTTTGCGGGTCATACGGTCCTTCCTTGCACTGTTGTTTCAAGATATCATTATTACACCTGGAACGACAACTATCAACGACATTGATACAAGGGCGTATATCTGTAGGTACGGTTGGTTGAAAAAAGGCAGTGCATGCTCCCTTATCAATATTATGGGGAATATTCAGCATTGAGGCAATAAATCTATCACCCGTTGGATTCCCAAAAGGGATTCCAGTACAGTTCGCAATGATTTTCCATTGTTGAATGTTTTTCACATCATTGCACAATGCACAGAAATAGTTAGCGTAGGTGATTCCCGACTTGGGGTCAGTTACAGGCGCCATACCCGTCAGCCCTTCTGGTTTAAGGCACTTCTGTTTAACATCAATGTCTTTGTACCCTGGTTTGCATGATTGCGCCATATGACCGTGTCTTTCAGTATTGGAACCAATTTTCTTACACATGGTTCTATGAGTTCCATCTGTCTGCCGGACATCACTGAGTGAGACATTATTCCTGCATTCCGTTTCAAAATCTGGACAGCAACTCTTATAAACATGGCAAGCGCTATCACAGGAACACAACCAAAGAGGGTCTGTAAATTGATTCACCTGTCCACATTTTCCACGGCAGCTATTTTTCATACAATTTGCATACCTTGATGACCCACATAGTTCATCAAATTCCTCTCCGTTGCCTTCAAATGCCAACCCAGTCCTTACTGATGCAGTTGTGCGATTCGTTGTGTTCAGACCAAATAAGGATTGCTGTGTTGTGTTCAGACCAAATGATGATGGCTGTGTTGTGTTCAGACCAAATGATGATGGCTGTGTTGTGTTCAGACCAAATGATGATGGCTGTGTTGTGCTCGAACCAAATGAGGATAGCTGTGTTGTGCTCGGACCAGCTGAGGATGGCTGTGCTGTGCTCGGACCAAATGAGGATTGCTGTGCTCTGCTCGGACCAAATGAGGGTGGCTGTGTTAAGCTTGGACCTAATGAGGACGGCTGTGTTGTGCTCGGACCAGCTGAGGATGGCTGTGCTGTGCTCGGACCAAATGAGGATTGATGTGCTCTGCTCGGACCAAATGAGGGTGGCTGTGTTAAGCTTGGACCTAATGAGGACGGCTGTGTTGTGCTCGGACCAGCTGAGGATGGCTGTGCTTTGCTCTGACCAAATGAGGATTGCTGTGCTCTGCTCGGACCAAATGAGGATGGCTGTGTTGTGCTCGGACCAAATGAGGATGGCTGTGTTGTGCTCGGATCAGCTGAGGATGGCTGTGTTGTGCTCAGACCAAATGAGAAAGGCTGTGTTGTGCTCGGGCCAGCTGAGGATGGCTGCGCTGTGCTCGAACCAAATGTTTGTGTTACATTCGGACCAGCTGATGATAGAAGCGTCGTGTTGTGATAAATGCTCAGGTAGCTGGTAGACGTCTCATCTACTGCAACATCTTCATGCCTTCTTGAACTCCTTAACTTTGCTGTCTCCCCAATTTCTATTAGAACCTTTGAAGCCAACATTATCATCAATATTTCAGGAAGCATTATTCTGTTTCAATCCTCAATTGCAGTATTCAAGCTTTTGAAATTCATAATTTCCTCTAGCTCTGTCTATTTATATATGCTAGGGTGTGGTCTTATGTAATAGCAAATTAACTATCATATTTCTGTCGAGACAAAGTTAGATTTTCTCATTATGTTCACTTAATGTATCTCCTTACTAATTGCGCCTTAATGCATTCCATTAACATCTTTAATTACCAACGATGTTATGATGGCAGTAAAATTCGAAGGAGATTTATAAAAGTTAAACAGATGAATAAGATAAGAATTGTTTGGTATGGTATGGTATGGTATTTCTCTCCGAGATATCTGTTTACAAACCTCTTAAACACTTTGAAAGATTGTTTTTCTGTAATAACCTTACCTACCAGGTAAATCAAGAAGTTCCCGGAAAAAGGCTCTCATTTCTTTATTTTTGTACCAATCTTATTGAAACTTTCACAGATGAAAGATAATTTAGTTTCTCCTTACTTTGTGGAATATGAATTTATTTTTTCGGCTAATCCTTCTTAAGACACGGTTGCCATAGCAACTTGAAGAAACGCCCTGTGGGGCAACTTTTAAATGGTGAATAATGGGAGAAAATCTACGACGAAAACCAAAATGTATGGTGAAGATCAATTTTATTGATACAATATATAAACTTCTACAAACATTATCATAGCTAATATTACATCTTTCCGAAAGTTCCATAATAGTAACACGGTGATTTTCATCTAGGACCATTTTGACATAGGCCACCGATTTTGGTTTTGTCACAGTAACTGGACGTCCTGATCTTGGGTTGTCACTTACTTTCAGTCTGCCCTCGGAATACTTGGTGTACCAATCATAGATTGCACTCTTCTTAATAGCATCACCATAGGCTTTTTGTACTTCAGTCACTGTGTCTTTCTTTGAGATATTCCTAAATACTAGTACACAAAATCTAATGGACCCTCTGATCTGGGTTAAGAGTTCTTGTCTTGAGAGCTGGTCATTTTCGGACTCCATTTTCTGCATTTGATCTTGATTTAATTAGATAAGCGAGTCTCTATATCATATCCCACATGAGCAACATTCTCAGAAAGAACAAAGGAACTGACTATGATGTAATATAACAATTAAAAACTGAATTCAGAAAAGATAAAAAGATATTATAGGATTATTCCATAGTTAGCATGATATTCATAGGATAACATGTGGAAATAAAAACGGTATTTTTGTAATCAGTGGTAAAATATGATATTTTTGACAAATTTTCACTTAACCATAGCATACGGTTTTTTAGCCATGACATACGACGTCGTATGCGATGGTTTATGGATTTTTGCTACTTCAGACTCAAAACGAGGCTTAGTGTCAACATCGCCGGATCGTTTGGAAAATTCGAAATATATCACTTAATTTCCGACGATTCTGATGATGACTTTAACGATGGAATAAAAAGAACATCCTATGATTTACTCGTGATATGATTTTAATCCACTCATGGATATTGATATCTGCACTCTCTCGCTACGCTCGCTCGTGCAGATATCATATCCATTCGTGGATAAAAATCATATCACTCATAAATCATAGGATATCCTCTATATATCCTATGGCCTATGGTTTTGAAAAAATATCATTGATATCCATGAGTGGATATAATTGATATTTTTGAAAAACCATAGGATTGTCCGTTTATCCCATGGGAAATCTTAACCCAGCGAAAAAAATGTTAAAAAACTTTTTTTTAAAAAGATTTCGAAAAAAGTTTTTGAAAAAAAAATTTGAAGGAAAACATTTTTGAAAAAAGATTTTGAAGGTTTCAAAAATTTTGAAGGAAATTTTGAAGGAAAATTTTGTAGGAAAAAATTTTTGAAAAAAAATTTTGAAGGAAATTTTTTTTAAAGAAAATGTTGAAAAAACATTTTTAGAAAAAAATTTGACAAAGAATTATTGAAAAAATCTAAACCATCGAATATCACTTTTGAAACCATCGCATATCACTTTTTGAGAAGTGATATTCGATGGTTTGAGAAGTGATATTCGATGGTTTGGGGATTCTTTGCTAAAATATGATATCTTGATCCACATATCAAATATATCTTCACCTGATATTCGATATATATCCTTGTAACCATTGGATAGATGAATGAATCTAGCACTCAGTAATTCTTAAGAAAATGTATAATTTAACAAAAAAGAATTTTCTTTCGGAGACCGAAAAAAATTGCCCCGCGGGGTGTTTTTTCAGGTTGCTATGGCAACCATGCCTTAAGAATGATTGGTTGACAAAATCTCATATTGCAGGAAGTAATTAGAAACTAAATTATCCTTCATCTGTGAAAGTTTTACGAAGATTGGTACAAAACTAAAGAAATGGGAGCCTTTTTCCGGGAACTTATTGATTTACCTGGTATTTATTTTTTAGCTATGAAAGATTTACATGAAAGCTTCTGCAAATATCCAGGATAAAATACACTTATTATTTCAAATATATGCGCCTCCGCTTTGTTTTATTAACGAAATAATTTATATGATCAGGGTCCTTACCAGCTTTTGTCCAATTTGAGAAATTCATGTACCATTCGAATACCACCACACGTACCATTCAAATCACCCTCACATGTACCATTCAAATCACCGTCACATGTACCATTCACATCACCGTCACATGTACCATTCAAATCACCGTCACATGTACCATTCAAATCACCCTCACATGTACCATTCGAATACCCCTCACATGTACCATTCGAATACCCCCACATGTACAATTCAAATCACCCCCATAATTAATCTTGCGGTTGAAAATAAGCTAGATTAGTGGTTATTTTGATAAAATTCAACTTTATATCAACTACTGACAACATTTTTCAACCTCAAGATTTCAATACACAAGTAGTTGTGGGAGTGATTTATGGGGGTACATTCGAAGGTTTACGTGGCACTGGTGATCCGCTCGATTTCGCTGGTTACCGAAACGGTTCGTTTCGGTAACAACATGTCGGAACGTCGAAGGTACGATTTTTCTTTTTTTCCTTGTTTTACGCGTTGTAGGTAGAATCCCCACGACATTTTTTCTCACAAACGTGTATCCAGTATCATATGTTTTAGAAAATGTACATGTTTGCGAAAAAATAGCCCAGACGACAACAGAATCGTCGATTTAATTCCTCACTCAAGTTACATAAACGGTATGGGTTAAAAGTGCAGATCTTGACTGTTTTTCGAAATACCGTTTATGTCACTTAAGTGAGGAATTAAATCGACGATTCTGTTGTCTTCTGAACTATTTGTTCTCAAATATGTACATTTTCTTAAACATATGATACTGATACACGATTGTGATAAAAATGTCGTGGGAATTCTGCCTACAACGTGTGAAATAAGGAAAAAAAAATCGTACCTTCGACGTTCCGACATTTGTTACCGAAACGAACCGTTTCGGTTACCAGCGTAATCGAGTGGATCACCAGTGCGTGAGACCCCCCATGTAGGAAGGATTTTGTTAACATATAAACTAGGCTGTCAAATTACCTACCCTCGAAGAAGCATCTCAGTCTGAGAGTAATAACAGCTGGTCAAAATAGTCAGAATTATAAATATCGGGAATATGCGTTTCACTCCTTACTCCTGGAATAAAGTACCATACAGCATATTTTTGCATGTTTTGTAAAATGACCACAAAATCGTGACCATTTAGAATAGTCCGATAAAACTTGAGCCAAATATAACATTCTACCCATGCTGGATGACTGAGTTATTAACATTTGTTTGGGTTACCTTTTATAGTCCACCCTGTACTACCTCCCCTGGGACAATAATGTGTGTCAAATTCCCGACCCTCCCAATACGTGTATATTAAAGCTTCTACTCAATGTTGCTAAGAAGGGTATGATAAATCAAATGATTCCTTACTATTTTTACCACACACTTGGGAATTTTATTGTGATCGTTTTTCAAATCATCTCCTAAAGAAAGGGTTTACGAAAAAGACCGAACCCACGGACCACTCATCGGTCGGCGTTTTCCAAAGGTAGCCCCAAAACAGGGTTAGGGTAAAATGTGTAAAAGACCGACCATATTATGTAGCCTTAAATTATTTAATTCGATTTTGAATACATGTCTATCCTAGGCAACCTTTTACCTATTTTGTTCTTTTTAATTAAAATAAAATGGTTAAGACGAATTGGCGAGCAATCACTTAGGTTCCTGACCTACCAACCTATCGTTTCTACAGGAATTTTTCCTTATTGTTTACTAAAATTTAACGTAGATCCATATTTAATGAGAATTACGTATTTGTAATAAAAATGATTTGCCGTCATACTGATAACTGAACAGGACGTAATGCTACATGCGTTCTCTTGTCAGGATAAAAGTGACTATGCACACCATTGGAAAGATATTTTTGTGATAGTGAAATCAATGTAGTTTTTACCGAGATATCAAACATTACGTATTAATCTTTAAAAAGACGACGTGGTTTAAAGACCGACAATGTTACGTGTGTTTTTAGTTATTTCATACTAAACATAATGTAATGTTACGTGCATTTTCTATTCATGTTCCTAAGTGTCTTCTAACACGAACTGAGACATCACTTGAAATATGACCACGACGATGTTATGTTTTTCATGGGCGTTTTTATCGTGATTTAAAATGGTTAAACACATTTTAGTCATTCGATTCCTAGTTTTTAATGTATTTTCTTCATCTATTTCTGCATCTATTAATCTTTATGCAAAAGACGGCCGACCACTGATCGCGTGAGAGTTATGCCGTGGTCACATTTGCTTCGATCCATCGGTCGGCACCCGCCCGATTAAGTGTTTTGTTCAATATTGTATTCAATTTTGAACAAAGTACTCAATCGGCCGGGCGCCGTAGAGAAAATTGGAGCAAATGTGACCAAGGCATGACTGGTCGGTGATCGGCGATCGATCTTTTTCGTAACTCCCTCATGCCGTGGTCACATTTGCTCCGATTTTCAGCACCGGCACCCGGCCGATGAGTATTTTGTTCAAAATTGAATATAAATTTATATTATAAATGATATTATTATAAATGAGCTAGATTGCCTAAAATGTGAAGTTATTAAATGAGCTAGATTGCCAAAAATGTGAAGTTAGCAAATGAGCAGTGATTGACTAGAATGTGAAGTTATTAAATGAGCAGTGATTGACTAAAATGTGAAGTTATTAAATGAGCTAGATTACCTAAAATATGAAGTTATTAAATGAGCTAGATTGCCCGAAATGTGAAGTTATTAAATGAGCAGTGATTGACTAAAATGTGAAGTTATTAAATGAGCTAGATTGCCTAAAATGTGAAGTTATTAAATGAGCTAGATTGCCCGAAATGTGAAGTTATTAAATGAGCAGTGATTGACTAAAATGTGAAGTTATAAAATGAGCTAGATTGCCCGAAATGTGAAGTTATTAAATGAGCAGTGATTGACTAAAATGTGATGTTATTAAATGAGCTAGATTGCCTAAAATGTGAAGTTATTAAATGAGCTAGATTGCCCGAAATGTGAAGTTATTAAATGAGCAGTGATTGACTAAAATGTGAAGTTATTAAATGAGCTAGATTGCCTAAAATGTGAAGTTATTAAATGAGCTAGATTGCCCGAAATGTGAAGTTATTAAATGAGCAGTGATTGACTAAAATGTGAAGTTATAAAATGAGCTAGATTGCCCGAAATGTGAAGTTATTAAATGACCAGTGATTGACTAAAATGTGATGTTATTAAATGAGCTAGATTGCCTAAAGTATGAAGTTAATAAATTAGCAGTAATGGACTGAAATTAAATTTACATTCCCATCCATAAGTTTGCAACCTTTGCTCCCCATTGAACTACGTGTTAAAGCCTCTTTACGTTCGAATTTTTTATTCACTTAACCTGCGATGAAATAATTTATTATATTGATGGTAACGTAGCTTTCCAATACCTTCAAATTTTCCCAATTTTTTTGCTCGATTACAATAGGTCGAAAATTGATGATACATTTGATGAATTTTGAAAATCGTCACTCCCATGTAAACCAATGGGAAATGGTGGGTTCGGGGCAAATCAGAAATCCGGATATCTATTCAGTAAATGATTCAGCAAAAAATATTTTTATATAGAAAATTGAATTGTCTAACTTTTTTGTACACTAAGTGTTTAGCTTACTTGATGAATACTAAAGTTACAGAGCTTCAAAGTCATTTTTGAAAATCTTTTTTCGCCTCCTGTGTTATTTCAATGGGAGAGGTTTTTTGAAAAATAATTTTGTCTTTAACGACCTATAACTTTGCTGATCCTGAAGAAAGATATCAATTTTTTGTTAAATAAAGTTAGCAAATACAATTGCCTACCTAACTCAGAATGAGAATGAGAATGTCGATTTTCAAAATTTCATCAAATTTATCGTCAATCTTCGACCTATTGTAATTGAGGAAAAAATTGAGAAAATTTGGAGGTATTGGAAATAAAGTCAAATTACGTTTCAATCAATAGTATAAGTATTTTCATCGCAAGTAAAGAGGCTTTAACACGTAGTTCAATGGGGGTTGCCAAACTTATGGAGGGGAGTGTAAATACTAATTTAAATTAGTATTTGCACTATTAGTGCAATAATGGGATTTCCTGGCCAGCTCTAACACTTTTGTCTGATTTAAACGTTTTTCAGACCTCTACAAAAGTATTCACATTTCTAAAGTTAACTACTTCAACTATATTCACATTATATATATTTTACAGATATTATAATTATGTCGTTATCAGGCACCCTATGATAGTATACGACAATTATATTTTCCATCGCCTCTTTCAATCACGTCGATACCAGGTTTCAATCAATATAGCCTATCCTCTACTTTGATCACCTAGCTCAGGAATTCCTCATATTTCACCAGGCCCGTAGCTAGCCAGAAAGGGGGGGGGGGGGCGCTCCCTCCCCCTGGCCAGAAATTCTTGCAAACTCATGCAGTTTTTTCAACATTCTGAGCACTTTTGGCAAAAAGCTCCCTCCTTGGTAAGGTAAAACCTCCCGCCGGTAGATCCTGGCTACGGGCCTGTTCACCAACCATTACAGTAGTTTCATGTTTCACTGCTTTAAACGACAGGCGTTGAATGAGCCGCCTCCGCCGCCGCCGAATTGAATTTTCTCTTTCTTTTCTGAGGCGATCTACTTATAAGGGGTTCATTGGGGAGTCTTTTACTGGCGTAGTCTATACTGACATGATTGCTCACGTCAATACAGTTTCTGTTTCCTCGGAAAATGTTGATCTTGTAATTCCCACGATTCAAGAAAGTCTGTAATTGTGAAACACTCCTATGTCGCACGCTACTGCCACTTTCCTTGTTTTCCCCGTAATAAGCGAATGCCTCAACACGACCCTTCAAGTCACAACATGCGGCGGTCCAGAAATACCTTGGTACGGTAACATTTCCTTTGCCTATATGACCTATTTCACCTTGCGTGCCCACAACAACGTACATTTCGCCACCGTTTGCCAAACATTTGTCCTTAGCATACTTCTTGAGGCGCTGCTCTCCTTTCGGGTACCATATATGTTTATTAAAGGACGGATACTGAGGAGCGGCGTTTGTATACAAATTGGTAACGCTTGCTTCTTTAGCGGGAGGCTGGAAACTAAACGCGATGAGGTGACCCTTATTAAAACCAGACCCTGTATAGTCGGCATTGCTCGCTTGGCTGTCTTTAGGCTCCAGGCTTTCATCTTGCTTAAAATAAGTACTCCTTCTTGCGTTTGTATTAATTCGTGTTATTCTGAATGCACTCCAGTCTGGTATCTTTCTTATCACATCATGTTGTGCTGCAAAACCGAACAACAACTGTCCCTCCTGTATGATGTGACAAATCGAGCGTTTATTACTGGTGGTACCAGTCAGAGATGGTTCGACATTGTTGATGAAGAAACGGTTGCATCCTATATTCCTAGTGACAGACGAACTTCGACGATCTTCATCTTCGAGACTGTAAAGCTCAAGAGCACACTTCACTATGTCTTTCTTACATTCGGAAAAGAAAGTGGCTTTGTGCTGATGCACAACGCAGATTAATACACATACTATCAAGATCAAATGCATAACGCGAGTCTTTGACACTGAAGACATCTTGTTTCGTATAACTGGAAAAGTGTCAAAACGAAACACAATGTGTTATTTTGTGTTTTACTTCTGTATCTAGAGCAATCTAATCGCCAATTATAGTTTCTTCAAAAGTGACTCTAGTCCTTATGTTAAGAGCTTCCTTAATGTGTGAAACATAGGAACAGACTACTTGTGTTTTGTCTGAGTCGATCTACACCAATATACACTAATAAAAAGCACATCCAAGCCTTCCTTGTATGAATGTAATTTAAATAACGGCAACGTTTTCGAAGCTCTCAAAATGTACGGATTGAAACTTGAAACAAGGAAAAGCAGAACTAAACTGCGATTTTAAACAATGGTGTGTTAATGAATTAGACGTTTAGCTAAGGAATATTGAAATAAATGGGAACGGTTTCCGTTGAATTAACGTTACACAAAAGAGATCCTCATTTGTACGTCAAATATGCAATCGCTTGTACAGTTTGGTAGTAATCACATATTTGTTAAATGTGATTATCCCGTACTAAACTAAAAATTCGGAAATATTTGGTTTCAAATTCACCATTCATGACAGATTTCGCATTTTCAAATTAACACTAGCGGATATAGACAACAATCTTGTAGATGTAAATGGTGAACTGTTCTCCTTCATCATCCACCAGAGTCATGTTTGAATTGCAATAAAGAATCATGTATCATTCTATATTGAAAATATAAACGCATTTGTGTATGTACTAACCCAATTCTGATAATGCACTCAGTACAGGCTTCGCCTTCGTGCATTATGTGTATGGTTTAGTACATACACTCATGCTTTTATATTTCCAATATAAAATGATGCATGGTTCTTTATTTGTTAAAATACATGGTAATTGAATACCAGTAATGCATTACATACTCTGAAATCAGACCTTGGAATTAGACCTTCGCTCTGTTTGTCAGAATGCACCCAATGATGTTTTTTAAATTTCGAAATTTCCTTGGGGAGAATTACCCTAGACGCCCCTATTCTCGCTCACTCACGCGGTTCGCTTCACTCACAGCCATTATCAAGCAACCCCCTAACACAAGATCCTGGATCCGCGACTGTAAAAGGACATATGTCGGTCGTATCTGACAATTTTCGAAAATATAAGTCATATGCAGGCTTGTGATGGGTGGGATTATTGTATTCAGTAGTAAGTTTTTAAATACACTCTCCTCTTAAAAGGACAAGACTCGGTTTGGAGAACAGTCTCCTGGGCTAATAATTTTTTTATGGAAAATATAGAAATATCACCCAAATTAAATTATGGATATTCAGAAGAGGACATTAAAAATCTACAAGATGTAAAAATAGATATTTATAGGATATCCTATGATTTTGAAGAATATCATTTTTATCTACGAGGTGATATTGATATCTGCACGAGAGAGCAAAGCGAATGTGTGCATATATCAATATCACCAAGTAGATTAAAATGATATTCTGAAAAAAAATCATAGGATGTTCTTATTATCTTACACTTACAAGGAGTGTACTAAATGTGCAATATCATTGAAAAATGAACTTCATGCCAACTTGAGTCAATTAGCCGGGAAATCAACAAGCGGAGTATATCGTCACAATATCCTCCGCATATTGAGTTTTCAAGATATCCTCCGCATATTGGTTTTTCCGGAGTATATCGTGGCGATATCCTCCGGTCCTTTTTAATGTTATAATAAATTTACCACACTAAGTGTAGGATAATTTAAAATATCACGATTGTCCGAAGCAGGGATAACGGAGACCGATTCAATAAAAAACAAGTCTCGATTTGGAGAAAGAAGTTCATCAGTGTACTGCACTAATAATTTACTTATGAAAAATCAATAAATATCACCCAAGTTAAATAACTATTCAAAAGAAGACATTCAAATCTATATTATGTAAAAAATCAAATTTGTCCGAAGCAGGGGTAATGCTCAATTAGAGTGACGAACTTCGTTCTCCAAACCGAGACTAGTCCTTTGGTAACAGGAAGTCCCTTTTTAACTATTCATTAAATCCTGAATAAATTCATATGTATGTTGATGATTCAATGTGATGTAGAAATTATTTCGTAATTTTTGAACAATTGTAATTAAGAAACGGAATCAAGATCTAGACGAAGCAGGGTTTTATATGCTAAACAATAAAAAAAATTCAGCAGGGGGGGGGGGGGGGGGGGGGGGGGGGGGGGGGGGGGAGGGAGGTTCGATGGCCAAAAAGTCTTTCAAAATCATGCAGTTTTTCACCATTCTGAGCACTTTTTATGCGGTTTTGGCCATTTTGGACCAAAATTGTCATAAGTTAACCCCCCTGGAATTTTTCCTGGCCACGGGCCTGGAGTGTATGTGAAGGATGATGTGTCATAGGTTGAAACGAAAATGAAATAACTTATGGAGGAGAGTGTATGTGAAGGATGATGTGTCATAGGTTGAAACGAAAATGAAATAACTTATGGAGGAGAGTGTATGTGAAGGATGATGTGTCATAGGTTGAAACGAAAATGAAATAACTTATGGAGGAGAATGTATGTGGAGGATGATGTGTCATAGGTTGAAACGAAAATGAAATAACTTATGGAGGAGAGTGTATGTGAAGGATGATGTGTCATAGGTTGAAACGAAAATGAAATAACTTATGGAGGAGAGTGTATGTGAAGGATGGTGTGTCATAGGTTGAAACGAAAATGAAATAACTTATGGAGGAGAGTGTATGTGAAGGATGGTGTGTCATAGGTTAAAACGAAAATGAAATAACTTATGGAGGAGAGTGTATGTGAAGGATGATGTGTCATAGGTTGAAACGAAAATGAAATAACTTATGGAGGAGAGTGTATGTGAAGGATGATGTGTCATAGGTTGAAACGAAAATGAAATAACTTATGGAGGAGAGTGTATGTGAAGGATGATGTGTCATAGGTTGAAACGAAAATGAAATAACTTATGGAGGAGAGTGTATGTGAAGGATGATGTGTCATAGGTTGAAACGAAAATGAAATAACTTATGGAGGAGAGTGTATGTGAAGGATGATGTGTCATAGGTTTAAACAAAAATGAAATAACTTATGGAGGAGAGTGTATGTGAAGGATGATGTGTCATAGGTTGAAACGAAAATGAAATAACTTATGGAGGAGAGTGTATGTGAAGGATGATGTGTCATAGGTTGAAACGAAAATGAAATAACTTATGGAGGAGAGTGTATGTGAAGGATGATGTGTCATAGGTTGAAACGAAAATGAAATAACTTATGGAGGAGAGTGTATGTGAAGGATGATGTGGCATAGTTTGAAACGAAAATGAAATAACTTATGGAGGAGAGTGTATGTGAAGGATGATGTGTCATAGGTTGAAACGAAAATGAAATAACTTATGGAGGAGAGTGTATGTGAAGGATGATGTGTCATAGGTTGAAACGAAAATGAAATAACTTATGGAGGAGAGTGTATGTGAAGGATGATGTGTCATAGGTTGTAACGAAAATGAAATAACTTATGGAGGAGAATGTATGTGGAGGATGATGTGTCATAGGTTGAAACGAAAATGAAATAACTTATGGAGGAGAGTGTATGTGAAGGATGATGTGTCATAGGTTGAAACGAAAATGAAATAACTTATGGAGGAGAGTGTATGTGAAGGATGATGTGTCATGGGTTGAAACGAAAATGAAATAACTTATGGAGGAGAGTGTATGTGAAGGATGATGTGTCATAGGTTGTAACGAAAATGAAATAACTTATGGAGGAGAGTGTATGTGAAGGATGATGTGTCATAGGTTGAAACGAAAATGAAATAACTTATGGAGGAGAGTGTATGTGAAGGATGATGTGTCATAGGTTGAAACGAAAATGAAATAACTTATGGAGGAGAGTGTATGTGAAGGATGGTGTGTCATAGGTTGAAACGAAAATGAAATAACTTATGGAGGAGAGTGTATGTGAAGGATGATGTGTCATAGGTTGTAACGAAAATGAAATAACTTATGGAGGAGAGTGTATGTGAAGGATGATGTGTCATAGGTTGAAACGAAAATGAAATAACTTATGGAGGAGAGTGTATGTGAAGGATGATGTGTCATAGGTTGAAACGAAAATGAAATAACTTATGGAGGAGAGTGTATGTGAAGGATGATGTGTCATAGGTTGAAACGAAAATGAAATAACTTATGGAGGAGAGTGTATGTGAAGGATGATGTGTCATAGGTTGAAACGAAAATGAAATAACTTATGGAGGAGAGTGTATGTGAAGGATGGTGTGTCATAGGTTGAAACGAAAATGAAATCAAAATAATATCTCCATTTAAAACATACAAGGAAGTAACTGCATATCCATTTTAACTTTCAGTTTTCATATAACATAAAATCACTTCCGGGATGCAGAGGTTTCTTTGAAAATATGTCTAGGGTGATGAGTCAGAGGTTGAAAGAAAGTAAAAAAGCAAATATTAAAACTAACAAGGAATTCATCGCACTAGAATGGGCCCTTAACTAGTATTTTTCAAATAGCAGTCACTGAAAACACGGGGTTGTGTATTTGTGTCACTCTAATTGCAAATTAAAATTGACTACATTACAGTCACTCTCAGCTCAAACAGTACCATACACTGCATGACTTTGAAAGAATTTCTTGTCAGGGGGAGCTTCCGCCAGCTCCCCCTCTGGCTACGGGCCTGCATATGTAGTCCCTTATTTTAGTGGCGTTTAGGTCCCAAGCTGTGAGGAGCGAATCGAGGAGGGGGGGGGACAGAATCTACTTATTTGATTAGACCAATTCTTTGTCCCTTATAGAACAAGACACAGAGTGAACAATATCGTACCTTGAAATTGGACAGAAAATTGCAAATGAGTGCGGATAGGTTTTCAGAAAAACTAGTAAATGTACATGGTGCACGCAAAATATCGTAACATTTTTCAATGTAATTCGTACTTATTTATCATTACACTTCGATCTACAAATTCAATAATTTTCTGTTTATTTGTGAAAATTACCCATGAAGAATTCCTGCTGGACTGCAATACTATTTAATAAAAAGTAATAAGAAATTCAAATCGTATTTTACAGTTATGAAATGGCAATAATCTCAGGAAGAGAGTATGATCTGTTAAACGACCGTTTCTACATTTAGGAATGCCTGCAACTGCTCTGGACGGAAAGGATTTTCTTTTATTTCCAAGCATCTTTCGATTCTTGTCTTTTATTTATTTGTCGAGATGACGTCATCGATAATTTGCAGACGTCAATGTTCAGATTTATTTCCTCAATATTGTTGTCACTATGGAGATGTTGTAACGGCGGATTGCTGCTGTTATTAACACGAGATTCTGAAAATTAATTTACATTAACATTTAAATACCACAATTAACCCTGAATGAACCAATCACGATGCGTATTTACTGTGCATTAATAGCACGAGCATCGTTAAGATATTGCATATATGTAACTTATAGTAGACTCACATGTAACTCAAAAGGTGAAGCAAAGTCAATTGAAAGTGACCTTGATATAACTTTTTCGGGAAAAGTTTGGCGAGCCACTTTACACTGAAGGAACATGTCTATGAAGCAATGATATATGAAATTAACTTACTCTGACGCCCGAGTCTAAATGCGGCGACGGCGGCGCTTCCCAAACCCGCCAGCGACTGCCACAAAACAAAATATATAATAACGTATAATTCATTGGTGATAAACAATCATGGGCTTTCTCTAACTGAAAGCCCATGAAACAATCAAAAGGAAATTTCTCAAAATAAAATTCCTTCTATTTTGAGCAAATTTTAGTATATATAAATTTAACATACATTTACAACTATCGGTGGTATGCATGTTTCAAACAAACAAATTCAGAATTCAGAATGTTGACAATTTCATTAGTATTCCTCTAGACACGCTCAGATATTTCCAACACAACATATCTTCTGACCTTGACCCAGTCAGGTCAAACTGTAAAGAAACAAATATTTGGGCGAGGCTACTCACAATAAACTTGCCATTTGTTGTTACACTAGCGGATTGCGACGGGTCTGTATCTAGGACGACTGAGGTACTTGTCATGATTGATCTCTGCCGTTTATTGTATGCTTTCGTAACTTCATCGTTAGAAACGCAGTGAAGTATGAATATAAACACGCCCTAAAAGACATCAGTATGCATAATACTGAGAAAAACATTTATGTAGTCATAAGAATAAGCATGAGCTTTCAACTAGAAGGGTACGCAACTTCCCATATTTTATACATAAGCATTGACTTGGTTTTCAAAATTGGATAATGTACACATTCCAAGAAAGCAGCGAATACCGCTACAGTAGCCGCCTAGAATTTCCATATTGTCAGTGATTAAGCCAGTTTGTTTGTCATCTGATACTGCAGTAGGAGTCTTGGGAGAGTGTAGCTTTAACATTGATATGCTACATTTTTTAGTCACTAGTACCCCACACAAGTTTTTGATAACCACTTTAACCCGTGATTTGAACACTCGAGATCTACTATTTGTTATTAAATTTAGCACACATGAACTAGAGGCAATTTCCAACATTGGAAATTTTATTTTTTATTTTACTTCAAAAAAAATAAAAACACAAGCAACTGAACTTAGGGTGTCATTAATCCTTTTTGACCAATTTGACGTCATTAAATTAAAATTATTAAAGTAAGTCTTTATGGTATATTTGAATAGTCTATTAGTAGTCTGTCTATAGACAGCTATCAACAAAGCTTTATTTTGCAAATATACTTGCCCTTGATATCTAGTAAGTTGTCCAGGTCATAAATGTACTACAATTTTAACATCATATTCATTGAAACAATGTAACAATGGTAAAACATTGACAACTGTGTAGCATGGCTTTTAATTTAAATAGTAGGCTTATAGGGGAGAATGTTCAAATCACGGGTCAAAGCCACTATCAAAAACCTGTGTGGGGTACTATGATACTGATCCTACAGTAAACTCACACTCTATGTACAGTATTTGTAAAATGTCAAAATATGACAGTAAAGTAATGTAAACTCTTTATATTAGCGTAATCTTTCAGAAATAAATCAACAAAATATCATCCTTTTAGATAATCTAACAATGATTTTTAACAGTATGCATTCTATTTATTTATAATTTGTCAACAAACTAAGTCAAATATTAAAGATAAATAACATCTCAAAAACTTAAAGAATGAGAAATGAAATATATTTCCCTGTGTACAGTAACACAGATCTAGTTTCTAGCAAATCCCTAATTCTGCTTTGAGAAGCAACTTCTGCAACTTGCTGGAATATGAAACCACATTAATGTTTGCGTTGACAGCTTAATGGGCCTAGATAGGGATTTAACATACAGCATAGTTATAATGGTAGCGGTATACGCGTTTCTTGATTTGTCTTATTTTGTACTTTTTATTGATGGTAATATTTCAAAAAGTATTGGATAAATGTATATGTTTTAATATTATTTTGAATAAAAATCAATTTTCAATATGACTCAAGCATAAATATATTCAATATCATGTAAAAGTAAACAAAAAAGACCAAATAAGGATAAGAGGTATCAAGATGTTCTCTTCGAATATTGCCATGTGGGTAATTATTCAAGAACACATTCCAATGAAAACATAATTTGTAGGAGAATGTTAACTTTCTGTATTGTCATAATTATGATGAATTCCATTTTTTATCAAATTATCAACATGAATGATTTTAAGAAATAACTCAAAAATAAAAACATGATTATCTACATACATGTTCATATTTTCCTTGGCTTCTACATAGGTCACATTGATTTAGATCTGCCATCTTTTCAAATGGAGCGATGTACATTGAGTCTCGTGATAGGTTTAAATTACAATTTCAACCTGATTTATTTAAATTCTACTCGCATATTTTTTAATCCTGGCTTCCCCCGTGAATACAGACTGAGTTCCTTTGTATAAAGGAGATAAATGCATACGAGGGTACATCCAAAAATCTTCATAAACTCTCTCTAAAATATGTTTTTGAGATATGTTAATTAATCTCAAATTTTATATAAAGTCAGATTCATAATTCTATTGAGTACTTTGAATTTAAAAATAAGCAATGAAAGGACCATTGCAACAGTATATGAAAAATAGAAACGTTTAAAGAAGGCCTTACTTTTATATATTTTAGTTTGTTTTGTAGTTTGGCTATCATATGTGTGGCCTATTATGTTTTGATGCTTCTCTGCCATGTTATTTTCGAAAAAATTCACATGGCTGAAATTCCAAAAGGCCACAGCTTGGCTGCACATTATATATAACTATCTGAAATATACAAAAGTTAGGACAAGTACATATGTTTCTATTTTTTATATACTTTTGCAATATGGTCATTTGATTGATTGATTATTTTCTAAATTCAAAGTACTCAATAGAATTTTGAATCGGACTTTAGGTGGGCAATAATTATTATCGTTCTATTAATATGCCACATTAGGATTTTCATTATTCCCTAATAGTAGGGTTACGGTTGCTATGGTAACGTTGACAATGGTACCATATTTAAATTATATTTTGTTTTTACCTGAAGAGAGTTACAAATGGCGAAAAGATACTGAAATATCACTGTGTCGGAGCTGATAGATCCGAGTAAACCAAATAGCCATGTTAGCCCTAGCAATGGCTGTAACATCACTATCGCTTTGAGACCAGCCCTGAAATAATGAAGGAAATACGATCACGATGACTAGCATGAAAGAGGGAATTACCCAGAATTCATAGATGGGCCTATCTCCATATACAGTTGATCACCTAGAGGTCCATCTTTACATCTAGATATATTCATCATTTAATTCTGGGTAATTTCCTCTCTTGTGATAATATTCTATCCAAGATATAAATTAAAAAATACAGAGTGGCCCTTAAATGTGGATGATTTTATTCATGGATTGCATTTTGGGGTTCACCCTGTACTACATGTTAAATTATTACTAGAAATGATATTGATTTTTACAAAAACCTCGATTACTCTTGTAGTATCACAGTTTTTTGATAAATATGATATAATAATCATATCATATTATTTCCTTTGGTCTTGTTTATGCACGTAAGATATAAATAGATTGATATTTTGTTAATTGAAAAATAGAACGAAAAGAGTGCATTGAAATGAATGAAAACAAACAGACCTTAACCGTTCATATGTTGATTTTTCTGAGTTCGCCTTTAACGTCAGAAACACTCGGATCACAAGCCCAGTGATTAGGAAATTGAACTACAATATACAAAACTGCATTTTCATGTATTTTCATTTCAATGTATACTGTCAATCTCACCTCGAATGGTCATCACACGAGTAGGTGATATTCGATGGAGTTCGAAGGGCTACTGGAATATCATTTTGTGAAATTTCCACAGCTCTTCACAGAACTTAAATATAAATATTTGTTTTAGTACGCTACTTTCAAGCGCATCATTATACGTTCAAATGATTAAACATTTATAAATACATTTACTTAGGTTAAATTTCTGTTTATATTTCATGGTTACAATTTTAACAGGCCCGTAGCCAGGATTTACCTTGGGGGAGCGATTTTACCAAGGGGGAGCTTTTGCCAAGGGGGAGCTTTTTGACAGTGTTTGGCAAAAAATCATGCGAAAAGTGCTCAGAATGGTGAAAAACTGCATGACTTCTGGCCGGGGGGGGGGGGGGGGTGATAGCGGCCGCTTCCTACGCTCCCCATGGCCACGGGCCTGCTTAATATACTACTACACAGTCATACCGCCATTACAGCCATAGCAGGACCGACAAATGCCCATATTGTCCCATCTTTCGTGGATAACCAGCATGATTTGTTCGCCTCCTCGTTAAGCAACGAGTTGTCGGAAATACCGTAGCCAGAATGCTTCACGCCAAATGATGAGATAACTACTACACTTGGTATCACTGCAAGTATATCACAAAGTATGGAACGCCATCTATAAGTTTACCAACCGGAAGTGCCCTGTCTGTTATAAAACATTGATTCCTTAAATAAAGTAGTTTTAATGTCCAAAATACCCAAATATGTCACTTCTTCTGATAATAACAGAGGTTAAAGGTATATTTCTCACCGGAATAGCTATAAATATATTCTCAATAAAGCAAAGCGTTTTAACTTTCATATTAAGTTGAATTGAGATAGCTGTTACCTACAAAACAAGACTAACTTACACCATCCCACGAAGAGAAATATGACTCGAGTATCATAAGAATGGGCAAATATTTTGATTGATTTCACGTAGAGCTGTACGCCTTCAATCAACATCCAGGAGAAAGTGGCCATAAAGAAAAAGTGTAGGAGAAAGGCCACTACCTTGCATAACACCTGAAATGTTAGAGTTCTGTGATTTAACTGGACAAATCTAGTTATTAGTTATAATGTCATTCTTCACGGCAGGTATATAGGATTTAATCTGTTTTACATTTCAAATGATATTTTATAATTTTTACGAACTTTCCTGCATTTTAATCTACCCATATGCTAAGAACCCTAGTTACTTTGGTTCAAAAAAGTGCCAATGTATACCATGAAAAATGTAAAGTGGAACACAACTTTGATGGATCACCTCAATTAGTGGAATACTTTTTGAGGTACCGACCAGAAGCGTTGCACTTAAACGGGTTTCTACTGTATATGGTCATATGTTATTAGAATATTGGGGCTCGTTTCCTTTGTAACCGATTGCACCTTCTGATTTTCTCTCTGGACTCTTAACCTTTCTCTGATTTCTGCTTACATGTTAAGTTATGACAAGAATACTTTTGTTCGGTATTATTTAGGTGTTCTACAATTTTACATGTGATTATATCAACCCCAATCAAATACTCTTACCCAATCTGTGGTTGAGAGTTCGCTAAATAGGAACAAGAACTGGCCAATACACAAAGAACATGCAAGGTTTGTATGGATCATAATTCGTTCAGACCTAATGACTAGCCTGAAATGAAAATATTTATTATCATAACGCAGAAGGAAATAGCACATGTAATACCAGGTCATGTATTCTTTCTACTATTCTCTTCTCATTTTTCAAATATTTGAAAAACAGAAACTTGATTATGCTATTCTAAATGGATCAGATCTTTTATTATTTTGGTCAGTTCATCTGCTCAGCCTCACGTTACAGGGGACAAAAGTACAAACATGCAAATATGTCATACATGTATATTCCATACTAATATACAGGGTGTCCAGAAAGTAAAGATACAAATAGAATTTTAAGAGATTTTGTTTCGTTCACTATTGTATTCTTGCTGCCATTGTATTCTCTTTAGTATAATGATATCATTGATATCATATCTGGACTATGTAGTGTCACTAATCATTATAATCAAAGAAAGTTATATAAGCACTTAGAAAAAAGGTTCCTGGATCGATTTAATAGGGAAGTCAATAATGCACCTCCACGATGCACAGATTCACAAAGCAAAGAAAACAAATCTTACAATTGAATGTCTTGACATTAAACCTTTTTGTACAATGGCCCATATTCCCCTGACAATGTCATGTTAGACTTCTCCATCAATGACTATCTGACAGCAATATTTGTTAGAAGTTCAAGATAAATATGAGACTGGGCTGGAAGCCAATGTTGTCAGTAATCTGAAAGATGGACAGCGGTGGTTTTGATAAGTCTTTGAATCTCCGGTCAAGATGCACCACGAATGTTTAGATAATGGTGGGAAATACATAATACTGGGAAACATAATTTGATGTAAAATAGGAACAGATGGAGTGCCAAGATGATATGAGTAGGGAAAAGAATTATAAAACACAACTGTGACGCTGCTCCACATACCCCAGCTCCTGTTACCAAAGCAACCATAACTTTTTCATTTTGAAACAATATGTCATGCCAGTTGCAGGATAAATTGTTATAATCTCATTCTACAATCTGTTGCAATTTCATCTCACAACAGGAAAATCTATTGAAATAAGAGCACTATATCTTTACTTTCCGGACACCCTGCAACTGCTTTAGATAGATCAACACGCTTTCCAATGAGAGTCAAGAATGTCAAACTTTTGGAGGGGAGTGTATGTACTTGTATCTTATGTAGACTGCGACAGTAATAATCAAGCATATAATCGAAAGGCAACATCCTGTGATGCTTATGATCATCAGTGCCCTCTGTTGAAACTTGGTAATCTGGAAAATATGAACCACACCATAAATTGGGTTTCCAGAGATTCTCGGTATGGGTATTCATTTGTTCAATGTTTTTGTCATAGTTTACTGAAGTGATTGGAATATTTCTACAGAACGCAATTGGAGAAATGAATTTTATTTTAATCAAAGCAAAATGCCGATTCAGAAACAACGTTGTACAGTGTTGTTTGAGATTGGCTGTGTATTCGCATTCATTGCCAAGTGGAGAAAAATTGCACCGGGCCCCCGAGAATATAATCCTCTCAATATACTTGTATGTATAGAAAAATTGCACCGGGTCCTCGATCGAGAATGCTCTGAAATATGCAACATGTGTTTATGCGTTATTTATTACATGCTCTTAAAAGAAACTTCCGGTTTCAACAAGGAGTGTAAATGCGCATGCGTACCTCAATAGCGTCATTAAACTGCATGAGTACTGCAAAGTTTGTTAAATGTGAACAAACGCACTCTGTATGTGTGTCGCTAGTATTTGTGCCAAGAAAACAACCATCAGTTGACCATGAACTGGAAAATGTAAAAATGTAAATGAAAATGTTTTTTTGAATAAATGAAAATGTTACGTTTTACAGTCAGTCCATACTGGTCAGAAGGCTATATCGTAGATGGCATTTAGAGAATAGTGCAATTAAAACTACTAAGCCTTATTCTAAATGAATAACAACATTTCTAAGACAGGTGACCTTAAGGGGCTATTCATTACAATTCATAATGAAAATCGTTTGTTATAAGTTCAATCTTTCAAATGTGATTAAACTCTAGAAGATAACGACCTCATTCAATGATAAAAGTACACACAATACTATTGATATTCATTATGATAGTGTCACGTGATGTCCACGTGGCGTTGATTTGCTTCTTTAGTTCGTGTATTGTATTGCATTACATTGCATTGTATTGTATTGTATTGTATTGTATTGTATTGCATTGCATTGTATTGTATTGTATTGTATCGTATTGTATTGTATATATTGGTACATGATTCAGCCGGACAGGGCGCACCAAAGCCAATACACCGAACGAAACACAAACTACAACGCCCGATATTGAAAAAATCCTTGGTCGACCTAAAATAAATTCGATGAGTCACTTCAAAATAAAATCAATATCTTCATTCTGTGCTGTTAATTGAACGAGTGGATATTTACTTTTACACTTCTACGAGCTGGATTCATAATACTTACTCTGAATTAAAGTTCCAAAATACACATAATTCGGTGCCGTTACTGAACCTGACTGATTTCTCCATGGTGATTGACATTGGATACGCTTTGAGATCAACTGTATTGGGTGCTCCAGTTATGGACAAGGACACAATGTTTGAGTTTATTAGGGTATAAATAGGGACCTCTTTGGTTCCATTTCTGTTTGTATCTATAGATACAGGTAGAACGTCTTCTAGTCCTTCATACACTATTGATGCCAAAGTAACTGAAATATGATTTAAAGAAGATATTAATTAAGACAAGGCATGCATTTTTACAAAATGTCACCATCTAATTGTTATTACAAGGTGTATCTATTTATCACAGGGGTCGCCACTGAACGCCGAATGGAGACGCCGTCTATACTTGGAATGCAAATATTCTTACAAGTTTAATATTTTTTGAAGTTTTCATCCTATCACCCTCATAGACCATAGTTTCATAGACCATAGTTTCATAGACCACAGTTTCATTGACCAGAGTTTCATAGACAAGAGTTTCATAGACCAGATATAACATACCACCCCCAATCAATGATATGGTGTCGTTTAAAACATGTTAGATAAAAAGATATAGCGTAAATCGTAAATTAATACAAAAACAAAAAATGTACTTCTTGTTTTGTTTTTGTAATAATTAGCTGGATGTTTGACACGGGATACTCCACGATCAAGAGGTGGATAAGGTGGAATATAAATCAATTGAAAAATTGAGCCAATGTACTTTATGGAAACTGATTTATCACAAATGCGTAGCCATGATCTACAATTAGGCGTGGCAATTTTTATATGTTTTTGCAAGCATTGTTAGATAAATCGTTTGTCGTAAAGTGCCCCGCCTACCGAAAAGTCAAGTTTCTCTATCAGATATTATTTTTTACAAATCATAAAAGAGATGCTGATAATTAGCGAATTAATAATAAGATACTTTGGGTGTTTTGTGAAAATTTCACAGAAAAATATCAAAAACCTTTGAAATGAGAGCATTTTTCCGTGAACCTATTGAACGACCTGGTACATGAAAATATATACATGAAAATACATGGTACATGAAAATATTTGTAGTCTTTCAATGTTTTGTGTCACATTGTACCCGTGCACGTTTTATATAACCTTGTATGCTCTGTTTCCAAATTAAAAAACGATATCATCAAGTGTTTCCAGTGTTTTGTGCCACCTGGTACACATAACAAAATGGCCTACACGTTTTTTGTGTTCTCCGCGTGCTCTATTTTTCAATAACTACATAAACACAAACGTATTTTTGGTTTTGCCGACCTTATACACTAAACCGATTGACCCACACGTGTTTCGCGTTTCCCTAACGTGTGCTTAAGGACGATGTGGTTCCAGCACACTACCTTATAGACTTACCGGATTAACCTGGATTTTTTTGCATGGCCCTGTCAAATGCTGTTTACAAATAAAACACGGAATGGTTCACGTATTTTGTGTTACCCTGTAGACTTACTGGATTGACCTAGAAGTTTTTTGCGTCACCTTGTCGTATGCTCTCTTTACAAATGAAACAGGAAATCACGATGTGGTTCCAGTACTTTCTGTTAACCTGTAGACTTTTGTAGACCGGATTGACCAAGTTTTTTGCTGTACCCTGTCGTATGCTCTATTTACAAATAAAAACACAAAATGGTTCCAATATTTTGTGTTACCTTGTAGACTTACCGGATTGACCAAGAAAGCTTCTAGGATCAAGGGAAACAGACACGCTGGGATTAAGTCTCCTAGTAATCATCTGCGGATGTTTGTTTAATTCCATCGTTAATTGCTGTATTGTTGCAGCTAGAATAAGACGAGATTAACAGTTACAAATAGGAGATTATCAACTGAAAAATAATTGACATTATGATAAAGCGTTTTGTATGATTTGTCGTACATTGACACTGTCATTGAGATTGAGATCTCCAAAATACAGATGTAATATACAATGGCATAGCGTGGGTATTTTGTGAGTGTTCGCCACAAAAGTGCTAAGTTTTGAAGAAAATTTGAAAATGAGATTGCATTTGAAGCGTTCTGGGGCGTTTGAAAATACGAAATTCCGACTAATATGGAATACGAAAATGTAAATTATTGGCCATTTTTATTCATTTTTAAAGTTTGAGAGTACGCCATGGCGTTTTATGCGTATATGACGCTACACCATTGATATATTTGTATGATAATATTTGTTAAATTTCAGAGGGTGCATGAATGCATCTAGTTTCTCACAAGATCATGCAAAACTTACACACAACACTGTCTCGAGAAATATGTTCAAAGGTAGTTTTTGTTTCTGCAATTTTCAGGAACATTCTCTCCACCACATCTAGTAGCTTTGCTGCCATTGGCGTGTTCTGACCAATTTTATTGAACTGGGCCGTCATTAAATTAGCTATATTGATGATGTTCTGAAACAAAAATGGCCACAGCATCATGACGTCACTACCTATTAAAGATGCACTATCAACCAATGTTAGTCCACCATTTTTTACATGTGGAACTACGTTTATATGAACCAACTGTCAAATAGTCGTATGTAAGAATATAAACGTGTCTATTGTACAATGAATATTTTGCTGGGCGGTTGAAATTCATCAAGCCTTGATTTAAAAGTTGAAAAATCCTAAACTTTAGGTGTATCCACTTTAAGAAATATCACGTATGATTAACAATGAATCGAATAAAACGTTCCACTTTGAACTAATTGCAATTGTACGTAGTAATTTTTTTAGTTGTTACTGTTAGTGCGAGAAAAGGAGGATATAAACTTATTCAGAATCAAAAGATCCATGAAATTGTAATGTGCATATCAAATTCCGGTACCTTGCCCGTTTCTAAGCTGGCGTTGCTTTTGGAAGTTCTAGTAATGATGTCGAGGAGCGCCAGGACTTTATCTAGGTCATCATTAGTGACGTCAGAATGTTCACTTAAGACCGCACTTATGTTGCTAACAACAATCGCTGTTGCTTGGATACCTATGTCGTCATCCCAACTAGTAATCCTCATCTCGATTTGATTTAATTGCTCCCCAAGCTAGAAAAAATAAGCCTGTGGTTAGCATGAGAAACGGGAGAATTGAAATCAAAGTATTCATTTAAATGAAGGATATTCAAGAAGACAAATCTGGGGTTCTAGTTTTTTGCACTAACTCAAAATGTTTTTGGCATTAGAGATAAAAAGGAAACAATGAACTCAATATTAGTTTCGATGAAATATTGTCTAATTTCCTTTATACGGTTTAGTCCAATGTTAAAACCCATACAACAGTGTGATTTCATTACAACGTCGCATCCTTTGTAGCGATCTAAAACGCATCCATCAATTACCTTATCATTTATAATACATCAATATCTCATCGGGTATAACGGAGATTGCTTTAACCTTTTGAAAGCTATAAATCTCATTGTACAGACTATAATGATTTTTCATTTAACAAATGTTTAAAGTATGTCTGATTGCTATTATGATCACATTGTAATGTACATAAAAATAAAATCTTGTAGGTTTACGAGGTCTTAATTAGGAAAACAGCTTACGAGTCAAAGTGACATAGGTGTTAATAATGCATTTTCTGGAATTGCGTTTTTATGTTATTTTAACCGTTATTAATGTTTATGAGTTGTTTTGGATTAAAGGAAAGAAATAATTGAAATGTGGATAAATTGTTCACATCGGTTAATGATTCCTCCTTGTATATCTAAAGGAATACTGATTACATGACTAGTCTGTATATTGTCAGGTGGGGCGGGGTGGGGAAGGGGAGGGCTTCCTTAATCTGTATATTGTCAGGTGGGGCGGGGTGGGGAAGGGGGAGGCCCTCCTAAAACTTTCCTCATTAACACTGTGGAATAACTCTTCAAATTAGTTACGGAAACGGATTAATTTTTGTAAGAATATGTCGCAGCCTCGAAGGTACGATTTTTTTTTCATGAATTCATGAGTTTAATGCAAAACCTTCCCAACATGCGTCAGCATCATAGGTTTATGAAACTCTAATAATTTGTGAAAGAATAGTCCACGAAGCGCCAGAATGATCAAAATAGTTTTCTCACCATTATTACGTAAGATATGATGCCGACACACGTATTTGCCATACATGTCGTGGAGATTCTGCCTACATCTCGAGAAATCATGGAAAAAAGGAAATTCGTACCTTCGAGACTGCAACATTTTATTTAGAAAACGGATCCGTTTTCGTAACATTTGGATTACTCCACACAGTGATTATGTTGTCTAAGTCCCTTTGTAAGACTATATGGTGTTTATATAATGGTGAAAGTGGAAAATTGCTACTGCAACCAACTGGTTATTATTTATAGCTTATAAAAAATTCCTTTAACCTTGAAACAGAAGCAATTATATACATGCAGCTGTAGCGTTGTGGGTACTTGCACTCTTTAAGGAAAACATATAAGAGAGTCATTAATACATTCTATCTTCCCTGCTTGCTGGGATTATACATGTAGGAGTTGAATAGCAAAATGCCTTTAACACTGGTGATCCGCTCGATTACGCTGGTTACCGAAACGGTTCGTTTCGGTAGCAAAATAACGGAACGTCGAAGGTACGATTTTTCTGTTTTGCTTATTTCGTTCGTTGTAGGCAGAATCCCCACGACATGTTTTCTCACAAACGTGTATCAGTATCATATGTTTTATGAAAGGTACAAAAAATAGCTCAGAAGACAACAGAATCGTCTATTTAACTCCTCATTTAAGTCACATAAACGGTAAGGGTTAAAAGTGCAGATCTTAACTGTTTTTCGAAATACCGTTTCGGTAACTTAAGTGAGGGATTAAATCGACGATCCCGTTGTCTTCTGAACTATTTTTTTTCACAAATGTGTACCATTGCACAAAATTTGTTCAATATTTCACTGCGCATGCGCAGAACCATTACTTCCGGTTTTCCAAAGCCTATGGGATTTATAATGGAGACATTTTTCGAACGCTAACTGTGCGAATGATATTGATTTGCCACTTTAGTCATCTCAGGTTTCTATAACTAGACATCAACCTTTACTGATTTAACATGTTTTAAGCAATGTACACATGCACACTTTTCGGCGAATTTGTTTTGAAAAAATCATGAGGAATTCATGCATGACTCCATTGAAATCCATTAGAAATGGCGTCAAAATGGTGAAATGAGGATATTCAACGGTCTGGTAGAGGTACTTAAAATCATATGGTATCTTAGTCATCTCAGGTTTCTGTAACTTTGAAGGTAGATCTGTTTGATTCCGTTGAGATTAGAATCCTCATACCTTTAACTTTTCGGCCAATTTCAAACAAAATATGATAACTTTTGGTGATATAACTGGTTCATTACATTGGAATGACGTCAAAATAAAATAAGACAATCTCAGTTTCTATGGCACTGACGTCATGACGTCAGATTTATCTTAAGATCTCAAATATGACGTCATGTTTAATCAATGAATGACATCTATCGGCTATTCGACCAATTCTGTGCAATGACATTTTCTTAATCGTATGATACTGATGCATGTTTGTGATAAAAAATGTCATGGGAATTCTGCCGACAACGTGTGAAATAAGGAAAAAAGAAAAATCGTGCCTTTGACGTTCCGACATTTTGTTACCGAAACGGTTCCAGCGTAATCGAGTGGATCACCAGTGTTTAAATACCAGTATGAACCCGTAAGCATTAGATGTTGAAATTAAGACTTCTCATTTTGTTTTTGTTTACAGAGTACATAAAACAAATAGTGACTGCCACATTTTCGGTAAATAGTGTATTTTCCACTCGGGAATATCCTGTCCACTGACATGTTCCCTGTCTGCAGCCTTGGGAACATGTCAGTGGACAGGATATTCCCGAGTGGAAAATATCTTGCACTATTTCCCTCAATGGCAGTCACTATTTGTATAATATAACACTAGCTCTTTCATTTTATGGGGAATATACCCAACCGAAAGGAATATTAATTAATGTTAAATCATCTTTTTATTGTTGTTTGTGGATTTCAAGTTGTTTCCAAAATTTCTGGAATTCGAATGCATTCTCTAGTTTAAAATTTACCGTCATTCGGTAACTGCTGTTATTTTCCATGCCAGGCAGCACATGTGAATTTTCCGTCGTAGGTTGGTTTACACCATCCCCATCTATAGTGGGTTTAGTTTCCAACTCTTGGACACTGGTTGTTTCATTAGGTTTATACACAGTGGTATCCTTATAGTCGCTGCTATTTCCGTCTTTCTCTTCTATAGAAGACGAATTAGCCGTGTTTGCCTCTGTTGTTGGACCAAACAACCCGTTATTCTCACTTTCTGCAGTCATAGTCACGTGATGTTTATCCACTGTCGTCACTTCCGGTTTTTCAGTGGTCGCTCTGATTTCATGCTCCGTTTTGGGAACCTGTTCTTCGCCATAAAAACTGCCCATACCGTCATAACCACCGAGAGAAGATTGAGTTGGTTTGGGCGTTGTTAGTCCAGTTGTTTCATCTCGTTTAACCCTTACAGTTAATCTAGGTGTTGTAGAAATACCTTGAAAACGGTGACCTTAGCGTTTTAGAATTATCATATACTCTTAATATTGCTTTATCTTATTTATTTTGGGTGTTTTTGTTTTATTTTTTTATGGTTAATGAAAGTGCCCGAAAATATTTGTGCACAGAAAAAGTCCCCTTTTTGAAAAATTTCGACCCATTTTTTTTCAAATGAGGGCTACTTTTTAAAATTGCATGCCCCTTTTTTAAAGGAGCAATTTTGACAAATTTAGGCATATTTCTTAAATTGAGACCGAACCTGAATACAATAAAAAATATACGAATAACTGGTGGGCTTTTTGTGCACGAAGCACCCATAATACATTAAATAAAAGCACTTTTTGTTAATTTAAGCACCTTTTGGAGAAGCAAGATATCGAATGATGAATTAAAAATCAATTTTTCAAGTGTTTTTGAAAGAAAAAGTAAACACTTGGGCCAAGTCAGGTTCTTTGACAAGGCTCGGAATACTTGGATAGCCTGGAACACTTGGAACTTCACATAATTGCGTTAATTGCGACCATTGGTGGTAAGCAAAATACAATAAAATTGTAGTACAGTCGATATAATATCCAAACACAACAATTTACCTGCAATCGTTGACTTTTCTTTGCCCTTTCCTTTACCTTTCTGCTTTCCTTTGCCGGAATCCCCTTCCTTTGACGAGTCCCTCTTAACCCTGTGATGTCCAATATCTACAACATTAGAACTATGGACATAGTTTTCCTCGCCTACACAGTGGCGTAGCAAGGGTTAATAAATATAAAAAATGAAAAAATAAAAGGGAAATAATGCTGGTATTTGACACCATTTTCACAGTTTCAGTTAAACATCAGTTAGAATACTATATACATGTATCTTACAGTAAAAGTTTGACTCGCGATCGCCTGCTTCATGTCTTGTTAGGTCAATGGTTGGCGTATATTCGACTCGTTAAACCCTAGATTTTTCAGAGCTCCCCCCCAAGAGGATTGGCTCACAGAGTGCAACATCGATATTTTTGCCATACATGGGCATGTCGTGTTTACAAAATTTGAATTCAAACAGCCTCCATTTTGTTCACTTCAACATTTGAATCAAGAATTTTGGTCTTATTTCCAAACGAAAAATTCCAAAACTCACGTCTAAAAATCATCCTTGATGCAAGGGTATATTAGGGTATTTTATATATCATATTTTTAAAGGGAATTTAAGCATAATAGATGAAGTACTTTGAAGAAGGATGCGAAAAATGGGTACAGTTTATTTCTGAAAACGTCTTTAACCGTGTTTTGCACTGACCAACGACTTTTTCGAAACCATGCAGGTTTTCACCATTCTGAGCACTTTTCAAGTGATTTTGGCCGAAGTTGTCAAAGGTGAACCCCTTGGACTTTTCAAAAAAGTGAACACCCCATGGCAAATCCTGGCTACGGGCCTGAGCAACGTACGTCAACAATCTTGCAATTGCTTGCTTAAGACATGGCTAACAATTGATCTCAGATCGTGTACAAGATTACGCTAATTGCATAGCAAAGCACGCCTAGACATGATACATTACATTTTCTTTCCTGTATATGATCTGATAATTGTATATTTTTCTATAAAGCCGACAGCATAAAATGTTCAATGATGAATGAGCGATTGAATAAATGCCACTCGCATCATGTTTAAAGCACTTATAAGAGACCAAATCATTATTTCATATTTCAAAATATTCATTTATGTCCAAACAGCTAGAAACATCACATTTTATTTTCCTTGATATCTTCCAACTTCTAGAAAATTCTTCTAGAGGTGGTTTGCTTGCACTTTAAAACCGGATGTCATTATCCGGTACAATGACTTATGTATACTTTTTTCAGTATAATTACAATTTTGTAGTTTTGGACACGCCTTTCACACTCAAACAACATAGTCTATAGTAGACATACCTCAATACATTCTTGAACTCAAACGTTACAGTATCTCCCGATTCGGTCCAAACTCAAATTGTCTGGGTTAATTGGCATAACGAGATCTTATAGTTCTTAAAGTTGAATTTCTGTTTAGATTGTGGTTAAAACGGATCGACGCTTCGTCACTTCCGGAAATACTTGTGAAAATTCCGTTTTGAGTTGAATGTCGTAAATATCTTGAGAAAAGTCTGTGTTTTGCTATCTGTAAAGTGTTGTATTTGATGATTTGAAATGTTCATATTTAACGACGGGAAATTCAAATACTTTCCCCCAAAAAATCGATGTTTGTGTAAAATGAACGCTCAAAACAGTTGGAAGTGCTTCAGTCCGTAATTTTATCATTCTGACGGATTACTCTTAACGATATTCTTTCTCTTTCTATAAAACCTTGATGTTTTTGCAACTGTACAACACACCATTCTTTAGAGTATAACAATAAGTTTTCACTGCAGTTATTTCTGTAAGATAAGATACGTATCCCATGCGTACGTTATCTAAAATAATTCCAGTTAAATGGGTAATCCATGACTAATCCATGAATTATCCAAAAATGTTTTGTAATTCAAAGTGAACTGAAACTAGCACCACCAATGAACTTTGTTCCAAACCTTCTTTTCTGACCACTTGCCAGCGATGAACAACTTCAAAATTGAATTTTAAACGAATTTCTAGCTTTTCATAGGCAGTACCTCTTTAAGTAAACATGTACTTACAATTACATATACAACAACATTGTATTTATAACATCGAACGATTTATTGTAAAAAATTTTTTTTTGTCGGGAGATTTTCATTATTTGAAGAATAGCTATTTGATCTACACTTGACGTTCAAAGACCGTTGTTAAAGGTACTAATGGATTAAAAATGACAGATCGTGCAGATGAACGGTGTAACATATTGTATTATCTTCTATCCTGTGATTATATCATATTATAACAGATACAAAGACAGGCAGTTCCGTGGGCGGCTGCAGGTATTAAAGCAGGTATATCATTATTCCGCACTGGGAGAGGTATCTTACAATGAGAGACGATTCTTTGATCTTGATTTGAACGGAGTAAAAAGAAATTCGCTGTTTACATGAATAGATAGATGGCAGCACGTGTGTTGGTAGGGCTAGAAATTAGCATTTATAATAGTATAGTTTCCATATAGCTTTTGAAATCTCGCTAAACCTCGTTTTTCGTGAGATTTATAAGAGATTTGATTTACACAGTTATGTAATTTGAATACTATTTTTACTTACCAATATCTGTTGTAGTTAGAAAAAATAAACAGAAATTACCGAATAAGCACTTTAATGTTTAAGTGCATTGACATACAGCTAAGTTGTATGGTTAACATTTAGATTGTATGAAAAAAGAGAATACATCAGTTTTTGAAGATATTAAAACATTTTGGGATTTAGCCCCATTTTCAAGAAAAGTTAAAACCCTCGGAAATTGAATCAAATGGAATAACATTGCAAATCAATAATCTTCTTATAAAAAATTATGCACAGAATTTAGATATGTCATACAATTGATGGTAATTTAAGTACTTAGTGGTTAAATATGCAAAACTCGTCAATCTCTTTAAAACGAGGCTTCAGCGATATTTCAGGGCTATAAGCAAATTGTATAGGGGATTTTGTTTAGTTGTCAACTTTATTGGAAAAACAAAATTAATTTTTAAATCAACAGTGTTGTTAGGCAATTTATTTCACGGTAAATCTGACATGACATTTCGTCTTGTGCTTTTGGATTCAGATTGTGATACTTGAATGTTCTAAATTGTGAGGGAGGGGTAGAAACACTGTTTATTTGTACGTTAAATTTGTGTTTTAGATTTTGGGGCTTTGCTTCCTAATGATAGTTTGTTTTTCATACATTTTGAAAAGACCTCATACCTGTTAAAGATGCGAGCGTTGAACTAAATTTCAAATATTTTATCATCTTAGAATCAGTGCTATTTGATGCTTTACATAATATAATTAAAATAATGTATACCTCTTGCTTGGGACTGGAATGTTATTTTTTCTAGGCAGCGTAATTGTTGACACTGTCGCATCATAAGAAGGTAACCTGCTTCCTTTCGTCTTATTTGACCAAGACCATGTGCAAAAGCCACGTCACACATCACGCAATTTTTAACATGCTTACGGGGTCTTAATTTGTGGAGATTACTGCCTCGTTTTCGCGCCTCAACTAATGCGCATGTCATACAATTTTTGACACACTTGAAAATTCTTGTTTTGTTCTCTCCTTGTTTTCCAACTAAAGTACAAGCACTAGAGAACTCCGAATATCGTTTGTATCTTGTTCTGTGTATGCTGGAGTCTCGTGACTGGACCAATGCGCATTTGGCATATCCACTTCTGTTGTAATATCTTTTATCTCCAATTAATGCACAGGTACATTTAATGTTACCAGGAACACCAACATTCAATTTTTTTGTCTTCCTAACTTCGTTCCTATTGTGTATGAAAAATAATGTAGGGTTGTTAAAAATCCCGATTATTTCAGAAAGAGTATAGTTTCCAGTTGAAACCGGGTAAATATTAGCGTCGCTTTTAAAAGGTAAACTCCCGGAACGTCGAACTTCAAACTGGTTCGAGTTTTCACACTTAGCAATGATATATATAAAGAATGTGAACGCATTCAAACTATTTCGTACTCTTAGTAGTTCTGACATATCCATTCACCCTGTTTGATGTATCTTTCTCACAAATTGAATCTGCATTTACTTAAAATGATTGACTACTATGCTATTTTATGTTATTCTCGCAAATTGTGTGTCTCTATAACATAAACTATTAATTGTGATTCATTCGTTCGTTCTTTAATGTTCCAATAAATTGCTAAGACGGATACGTATAACACATTATAGGTTTCCGTTTTTTAACTATCTGTTACAAGAGACATATGATCATGAGTGATTTTCACATTCTCGAATTCTTATTTCCAACACATTTTTCTGTATTCAAAGAGATAGACGTTCTTGATTCAAACTAGCACAAAGAAAAACAACTGTTTGGATCGAGGATATGCTTAACCCATGTTTTTATTACCATAGATCGTTTGAATTTCTGGGTTCTGTCATTTTTTGTGGTGCTAGTATTCCAAGGCTAGTACTTTTTCAGAACTCCCAACGTGTTTTAATCCATAAGGATCCGTCCAGTATGTTTTGATTATGTCACATGCGATATAATACGTTTCCTCTGCTATAAACAAATAAATCGTATCCTCCTATGCCTGTTATACAGCCTACATAGTTATTGGTTTCATTGGGGAAAGGTATGAACTTCCCTGTTTAGACATCTGAATTCTCATTTGAATCACTTATTGTCAATGTTTAAGTAATGACAATTTTTTTATGATGTTCATTTATGATGTACATCAAGATCTATGTTTCCAATCTCGGTTTACCTCAGTGATCAAGAGATCACAATGCCCTCAATACACTCGACAATAATCTAATGATTTTTTAATATTACTGATCTTTTTTCCTAACTGGAAACAATACGTAAAAACAGAAGGCGCTTAACCGGCGACTATTTTCTTTAATGTATTGTTACAACTATAGCTCACGTCTCAGTTAATAACAGTTGCGGTAAGTGAGTCTCATTCCGCTCGACACCGAAGCGTGAAATAACGACGCCCATGTCCGTTAGTTAATGCGCATACTAAGGAGAAATGTCACGATGATTATGATATAATATAGAAGACGGAAAATAAAAAATCGACGTAAATGAAAACGAAATTCGACAAGAAAAAACTTAAGATGCTATAATCGGATAAATACCAAAGTAAGAAAAACTGGTACTGGCCACAATCTTTTGAGGAACTCAAGCAAACAAGAATTTCAGACGTGCCAAAATTGATTCAGAAAGCTACCACAAATGAATTAAAATGTTCGATTAATTATAAAGATTTAACATTCAATTCACTTTGTATGCATAAACCTTATTCCCCAGATAACCATTATCGATCCTAAATTAAGTCTAATTAATCCCAATAGTCTGATGAGTGATGCGCTTTAAAGCTGAATCTGAGTTATCCGTAAACACTGTGCCGTACTCTGTATGTACCAGGATGGCGTTTCCAACGACATCTTTGCAAGAGATCTAGAGATTTTTTAACTAAATTTTAAAAACGATTTTCACTAGACAGTAGGACGACACATTGAAAAAAACCATTGTTGTTTACCAAACTTTATATCAAAGTGGTGTAGCGATATATGACGTCATCGCACTACTTGTTTCTGGTCCGTTGGCTACCATCTTTATGAGGTCCAATGAAACGGGAAACATTTAAACATTTGAAAATGAAAGTGACGGATAGAATTCTACTGATCTCTTCTTTCCAACTATCTCATTTTAATGTTAGAAAAATGCACATAAATGGGAGTAAAATGCAATCAAACACGCGAGACTTTCGCTCATTTTGTACCCTATATTCGTGCAAAATTAACATTCATTAAACATAATTTTTTTAAATGTCTGAATCGCTTAAAAGTTAAAGTAAATACGATATTTTATAAGTACCAAATATCAATCATTTCCGATAAAATGCCTTCATTTGTTACATTTTCTACGAAAACGGCTGGGCATAATTTTGGTAGAAATGTGTATTTTACGACGTTATATGCATGGTTGAATCCAAAAAGTAGCGTCATTCAGGAAATTATCATGTATGCGTAAAATCATGTGGATATTTCATTTTGAGTAACTGAATTATCAAATTGACATATATATTGTCTTTGGAACATCACCTTTACACAGAATTATTTTCATAATGATTGCTCGATTTGTTCCATGATGAAATGCAATTTTAGACCTGGAGCTGACTCGTATCAAAAAGTATTTAGCAATGAGTTCAGGCTCACTGATTTTAAAGATAGATAAAATGAACGAAAGGGAACACAAGACAAAATCGTATGGAATAAATTGCAATAAGATGGTTATTAAGCTTGTTATTATGGTCTTACTTGTGGTTATTATTGAGTAATGGTACAGGTATCCGATATGGTATTGCAGCTTACACTTAAGTAATGGTACACGTATCCTTGGATTTTAGGCCCGAATACCGAGGTTTATTTTTTTGATTATCGTGTATTATTATTTTGTGTTAATATTAGTTAACCATCTAACTATTGGCTACCCTTTGCATTCGTTTGACTTCACTTCTTAAAATAGAGCTTCGTCTTCGTCTTGTAGTTTAACTACATGTAGACTCTGCACGCAGGGTAACTATTGGCATGATATTGATAACCTTGTTATATTAATATAGCGCATAGGTGTAGCCAGGGGGATGCGATGGGATGCAATGGGATGCGATCGCACCCCCCCCTCCATAACCAATGAAAATAGAACCATTAGATAGAAGAAAAAAGTCTTAAAATGCTTTTTTTGAAGCTTCTAGCTCGATTTTGAACGAAGTTGCACCAATTTTTGTAAAATTCAAAACAAATCTTCAAAAACATTTTTAATGCCACGATCGCATCCCTTCCCCACTGGCGGATCTGGGGAGGGGCCCGGCCCCCCCCCCTTGGGTGGGCCCAGAAAAAAAAATTTGTGCCCAAAAAAAATTTTGAGCCAAAAAAGGCCTAAAGGCCCCAAAAAGTAGGCCTTTTTGGTCATAAATGAGCCTTCTAAGGCCTTATTTTTTAATTTTAGGCCAAATTTTGAAGAAAATGGGCCTCAAAATTTCAAAATTTGGGCCCACTTTTGGGTTTGAGGGGCCCAAAAATTTTTTCCGCTCAAGCGCGGAAGTTTTTTTCTCAGACCAGAAGTTTGGGCCCCCCCCCCCTTGTTGGTTCCCAGATCCGCCCCTGTCCCCCCCCCCCCGACTGAAAGCTGGCTACGCCACTGTAACGTGTAATCAATACGCTACATTTTGTATGTTCAATTTGTATACTAAAAACTGTTATTAATCCACAGATTTAGATGAATAGCCGGATGACAAATTGAATATAAGGGGGTTAAAAAAAGAGTTTGCTACCCACCTGGTATAACAAGTGGTGTTTGGTACCATATTGTAGGAAAATATGTCAGCTAACTAAAAATATATGTTGTGAAATTTGGTTCCGGGACCGAACATGAATAAATTAACGAATTAATTAACATGTAATTAATTATCTTTTAATTGAAGTAGCACTACTAGAGGCTTAATAAGGTTAAATGGATTGCATGACTATACCTACCCTTTGGATATTATATGAGGAAATGCTTGTTAAACAATTGTAAACCAAACTGGGAACAAAATTTCTTTGTATTTTTAAGAAATTAGCATCTGAATACTGAATGACGGAAAAAAGATTATATTTTTCGACCATGCCTTTTTTATTGCTAGGATTAGAAATAAGTTGCACCATAATATAACACATATTAGTATTTTAAAATCATCTACCAGGACTGTTTGACAATTTGATATGATTATTTTACTTATTGAACATCTTAAAATATTTTTTTTATCACTCATTAATGCCCTACCCCAAAAAAAGAGTATAAAAGTGGGCGTGGCAAATCTTGTTTCTGATGCAGCATTTGACAAAATATTCATATTCTAAAGAACAGATTTGATTTTATGTAACATTTTTACATGCCAACTATGCTAATTACAGCATATCAATTAAATATTATGTAATAATAATGACGATTATATAATAATAATGATAATGCTAATAATAAGGTATGTTAAGACAGTTAAGACACAGCATTAAATATGGGTAAGATTCTTGGTTTAAGTTGCCATTTAGAAAGTAGCCAAGGGCTATAAGGATGATCAATAAATTAATTAATTAATATTTATATTATTGTTAGGACGTTTAAGAATTTAATTGCTGGTCATATACAAATTATCAGAACCTGTTTAAATTGAGGGTGTCATACAGATTATTTATAGAAGCAATCTAGAAACAATTAACTATGTTTTAACATGTTCATAAAACATATTTAAGATAACTTTTTTTTGTTTCATTCATCTTTTATAGGTATGTGACATAACAATGATTATTGTAATACACACTCAATGATCAAAAGCATTAGAAACCCATTGTTTGAAAGCCTGAATCTGTTTACTATCTATATGGAATAGGATGAACCTCTTTGATATTCAAATCTTTTGTTATATTTTGGTCACTGCATAACTGTGCTATGGGAAATCAGATGTTTTTGCACCAGCAAGTGCCAAACAAATGCTACAAGAAAAACACTTAGACAGGGGAATTAGTTGGCCTCAAACTAGCTTACGAAGCACTTTCTAGACTAAATATAGTCAGCAGAGCCCTGGTATGCAGAAAACGATGAAGCTCTGTTATTTGAAAAACTGAAAGATCTTCTTTGACGTCTAGAGATAGCTTTTCATGAGAGTCAACTGGACAAAGTCAATATGCTCATTGAAAGTATGGAACAGGAAATTGAAGCAACTGATGAGAAGCTTTAACTATTGAAAAGAGAAGGAAGACAATGATCAAAAAAACATTTGAATACTGTGCTACTTTCCTCGAAGGGTGTGAAATCTTATTTAGAATCCTCAGAGCTGACCATTCAGCAAATTTTCAACTCCATCTTGATTCAATTGCTGAAGCAATTATGCAAGATATACACTTGTTTATGTCCTGGAAATGAAACAATGAGGGAAGGTGGATTTGTTGTTAGACGATCAGACTCGACCCGTTTCAATTGTGTCCCAACAGATCAGGCGCTCGAGCAAACAATTAACAAGGAAGCAAAAAGCTCAGGAGGAATCAAAGGTTTCACACGATCTAAGAGTGCACTTATCAGATGGCTTGTGATGAGGCACATAACTGCTGAATATTTTGAGGGAGTGAAAATCCTACTGTACCAGTTGGCACAATGGCTATTCACAGTGACATTGGAAAGTAGAATGGCCAGAGATGAAAGTGACCTACTAAAAATGAAGTCAACCATCAATGACATTTTTCAAAATCCCTTCGACATGGAGACTGTTCCACCAAATCTAATCAACATAGCAACGGGCCAAATAGCACCCCTTGAGATAGAAAAGGATCTGAATGTCTAGACAGGGCCAAGAAACACCAAGAAAAGTTCAAAGTACACCGGCTCTTGGAAGATACAGCACACTTTTGGGATCCAGATAAAAGGCTTGGCATAAAAACCTTTTCAGACACAAAGAAACTACCATTACTGTAGCTGGAAAAAGGATTGCCATAGAATCTGAAGTTTTATTTAGAAGATTTTGCTTTTGGTTTCAAAGGATCGTGATGTAGATTTACAACAAGTGCTGAAGCATGAGCTCACTACAGTGCCACCTTCATTGTTCAATGATGATGGAACAATGAGAAAACCTGCTAAGTGTGAATTAGCAAAGAGACTGGAATCATATGCCGGAGTGACAGAAGTTTTGGAAGACCTTAAGAAGGAAGTAGTAGTTATATCTTTGATGGGATGGCTATGCTGCAGTCAATGAACGAAAAACTTTTCTAGACTTATGAGGAACTGGTGGATACAGTTTTAAGGAGAACCCTAAAGTTTCTGAAAGGTACCACTGATGCACTAACAGTAGTATTTGTTAAATATGATAATCCCAAATCTATCAAATTTGCTGAACGTGAGAGACGAGGCAACAATGATGACTCAACTACCCATATAATTGCTGCTGGAAGGAATGTGCCTTCCTTTAGAACATTCTTGAAGAATCCAGCAAATGAAGCAAATCTTGCTAATTTCATTTGTGAAATGCTAGTGGTCATTGCTCATCTTTACCTCAAAAAGGGACAAAGTGTAGTTCTTGCTGGTGGATTCCGAAACAAAGACAAAGTATTAAACCTGACAGCAAACGGTGATTAATACCTCTCCCATCTTGCATGTAGTCATGAAGAGGCTGATATAATACTCATTCTACACACTATTGAAAATGCAAAACAGCACCAGCGTATCATTGTCAAGAGTGATGACACAGATGTATTTGTCCTCCTTGTGCATTACTTTCAGACTCCATTTTTGATAAGGAGAGATACATCCCCATTCATACCATTGCAAATGGACTTGGTGAGGGTATTTGTCGACTACTTCCTGCAGTTCACATGCTCATGGGATCGGACACAACCTGCACATAGAATTGGCAAGGGAACTGCCTTTGCCAAACTGCAGAAAAATCACACATCACTGGTTTGCCTTTCTGCATTTGAAGACCAAATTAAATTCCAAAATTTCGCTAGTCAGTTCATTCTGTCAATGTATTGCGTGACAGGAAAGAAAACGAGTGCAGCTATGACATTAGACGACCTCTGTTTTGTGTTGGCTTCTACAACAGATAAACAGCATCAGGTCTTCCACCAACAGGAGATGCATTCAAGCAACATGTACAGATGCGCCAGGTTTAACTTCAGATTTGGCTTTCCAGTCATATTTGTGGGACCCAGTTGGAAATGGATGGAAAATAGTCAATGGGAAATGATGCCTGTAATGATCACCAAAGACCCCGCTCCAATTGAATTGAGTGATGTTACACATCTTTATTGCAAGGACGCAAACTGTAATGTTGCACAAAAGTGCCCCTGTCTGGCTGCAGGACTTACTTGCATTCCAATATGTGCCTGCCATGATCAGGGTTATTGTTCCAACATCCAGGCAATTGTGAATGATCCTGATGAAGATGATTCAAGTGTTGATGTCTTGTGAACCTTTACATGAGTTACAGTGGTGTATACAATACATTTATATGATACATTTTGTAAGGGCTGTACTTATTATGTTTCCTTCACATACGGTTTGATAATAAGGGTTTTGTATCCACCTATGCTTGTACCTAGAGTTACCCCTAGAAACTCTTGATTGACTACTGACCAGTAAAATAGAGGTAACAAATTATGATGGCTACTTCAACTGATTCTGAAGCAAATCCATAAAGAAGTTATTTAGTTCATTTGTAAGGGTTACACTAATTATTAGTTCATATGATTTGTGTCAAACTTTTATAAAAATTACTTTGAGATACTTTCATTTGAATGTTAAATGAATATTCCAAAAATCTTGTTCTTTTTATATAAATAAATTAACAGAGTTAATAATAAGTTGTTTGGTATATTTGTAAGGGTTACACCAATTAATTAATTTTATTTATTTATTTCAAACTTTGTAAAAAGGGCTCTGAGAGCACTTCTTTCATTTGAATGCTAATTGAGAATTTCCATTTCCAGGATTTCATTTTGTATTTGTATAAGAACAGTTTACGATATCAAATGAAATATTTGGTTAATTAGTATATTTGTAAGGGTTCCGCCAATTAATTAGTAACCTTTAATCAATTCAAACTTTCATAAAAAGGTCTTGTGAGCACTTCTCTTTTATTTGAATGCTAAATGAGGATTTTTGACTGTGTTGTCCATTTTGTATAGACACATTTTAGTATCAAATAAAATAATACATAAAACAGCATTTTTCAACTTGTATTACATAACATGTTTATCTAATTTACATATTATTGATCATAATAAGCACTATTTAACCTCACTATAGTAATATCATCATAATTTACAAACATGAAGAACTTGAACATGTTATTTAAAGTACTTTACCATTATCAATGAAAATTGATATTATTTTACAATATTATTGTTCACTAATTAATTAGTGAAATTAATCACCTCCGGTCGCGGAACCAAATTTCACAACATACATTTCTGTATTGCCCATATTCTTAGCTTCAATATGATACCACACACGACTTGTTATACCAGGTGGGTAGCATTATGAAAAAAACCTCAATTTGTCATCCGGCTAGAAGACAAGATAAAAATCCGAATCAAGAATGAAAAGGTGTCTAAGAATATAAATCTTAAGGGTAATGCATATTTGAATTAAACAGAGGCGGGTTAATTTATATTGTACTATGAATTACGCTATTATTCAAAATTGCAGCTAATATGCCTGTTTTATGATACCCTGCGTGCAGAGTCTAGTTAAACTACGTATACACTAAGACGAAGCTCTCTTTTAAGAAGTGAAGTCAAACGAATGCAAAGGGTAGTTTTATGAAAAATATCACGAAAGATGTATTCTAGATATCAGTAGTATTCTCAGAAATTTATTATCCGAAACGGATAACATCTGGCCACTCAGACAAACAATCGCAGACATAGGCTAAGCTTGTTTATTTAACAGTTAGATTTGTTGACTTACCGATCCGTATTTCAATCTCCGGGAAGACGTTCTTTTCACTTTGTATTTGCGTGCAGTGTAATATAAGTTGATACTTTTGTTCAAAAATGTACTTTTAATGGCCATTTTATGCCTTTTATTTTCAAATTATGTTTTGATGTAAGTGTGAAAAGTCAAGAAACACCAACCCCGACTTTTAATTAAAAAATGTTGGTTAATCACTTATGGCAAATCACAAGGTTGATGATGTCAACGGACCATGATCGTGGAAGGCTATCAATATCAGGTGTATATCGGATAGAAAATAAATATAGCTAATTTTTCGCACTGATATGATGATGACTATTCTGGCGAATCGGGTAGATATTTCTCAGTTTTTTCCGATAATAAAACTATTCATTTCTATCAATTTAACAAACAGGGTCCTTTGAATGCACATTAAAACTATAAAAGTATTTATTGGGCGTACATACTCGTTCTGTCATGTTACTTTCATTTCATTTGCAAGTTGTCCACATATTAATCCAGCGTTTTGTTTAATCAAATTTCCCGCCCCTTGAGGTTTCCGACTGTAAAACTTAATATTTAATACTAACCAATGCATCAGTTAATATTTTCAGAATACAAATTTTCCATTTTTATTTCTCTGATAGATAAAGTCTCATTTTGAATCTGTTCGTGTATTAAAGAGTATGCTTTTATAATGCCGTGGTCACATTTGCTCAGATTTTCAGCACCGGCGCCCGGCCGATGAGTATTTTGTTCAAAATTGTATTCAATTCTGAACAAGATACTCAATCGGCCGGGCGCCGTAATGAAAATCGGAGCAAATGTTACCAAGTCATAACTGATGAAAAATCAAATGAGAACATGAACATGGATAATAGGGGCACTATTACGCTGCGTGCAGAGTCTAATTATAAACTACGAGAAGACGAAACTCTCATTTAAGAAGTGAAGTCGAACAAATGCAAAGGGTAGGGTATTATAGAAGGGGATCATATAAAAGCACGATCTATTTTACAACGCCTTTAAGTTTTGTTGCCCTTTGTGCATTTCAAAAATAAAATATCTTAATCTGATTTGTTCCACCTTTCTTTTCGCTCAGTTCTGCAATATTATGTCCATATGTTGTTTAGGATTACTGTATTAGTGGTATTTAATCCGAGTGGTTAATTTTCCGAATAGTCAAATTCCATCATTTTCCTAATTTTAATTTTCCTAATGACAAGAAACCTCCCATTGGATAACATTATAAAGACAATATTTCCGACATTTAATTTTCCGAACCTGGCAAAAATTAGGAAATAGGCAAATTAAATGATTAGGCAATATTACCACTTATACAGTATGTCATTTGCGAAATAGCTGTAAGACATTATGAGAATGAATATGGGAGTTTCCACGATAATGTTGTTCACATGATTTTATACACATACCTGCACAACAATCGCAGACAGAAGTCTTAATATTGTCCAATAAAAAATAAGAATCTAACATTTAATGATACAAAAGGATTAATTGCTTAGTTCTCTTTGTTTTAGTCTTTGTTTTCTTAAATGCGGAAGTGTACCAACATCACCAAGATTACATAAGAGATCATCTAACAGTCTAAAATTGCGTTTAATTGCAAGTTAATGCATTCCGACCAAAATTTGTATACCTGTAATTTGGGGGGGGGGGGGCGATGTTACATCACATAACTACAACGTTCATATAGAAATATACAATAAGCATGTCCGTATAAAAGCTAAAATTATAAAAACTCATTTCAAAGTCATTCTGTTCATGGAAGCGTCAAGTTATGAAAAACAATGCTAAACACTCAAACAAATCGACTTGTTTACCTTTGAAAACTTCTTGAGAGGAAATGGACAAATGTATTTTTCTAACTCATTAGAGCGTCTGTCTGATTGAAATACTATTTTTTAAATACAAACATAAATGATTTAATCTTGGTCAGAAGTCTGAACATTGTCCAACAAAATAATAAGAATCTAACATTTAATGATTACAAAAGGATTAATTGCTATATAGTCTTTGTCTTAGTCTTTGTTTTTCTAACGGCGGAAGTGTACCAACATCACCTTGATTACAGAAGAGATCATCTAACAGTCTAAAATTGCTTTTAATTCCCGGGTTTTAATTACATTTTATGTATAGACTTTTTGCCTCTATTCTCATTTTTAAACCTGTTTCTGTTTGCTTATTTAACAATTGTGATAAATTATTCAGTTAGTGTCGAAATCAAAACAATTTTCTACTTTATAGTCCCCTCCTCTTGCACTGACTAAATATTAAAATAAGCCAGTCTGATTGCGAATTTACAAATCCTGTAAAAGTAGCTCCAAACCGCCTTTTAATCAGAGAAAACAATAAGTTAATTCATCTGATTGCGAAAATACGAATCAATCTGATTATCTGATCCCCATGCTATTTGATTCGTGCATTATCTACAAGTCAGTCGGGCAAGGGTGAAATTATTTCATTTGAAAACAGAAAAATAAGGTACACAACTGATGAAGGGTCGCACACAATGCACGCACCCCTCTCCTCCTCCTCGGTGTTTGCCCACACACGACCATATTTGACAATTTTTCTAAAAGCGTTTTCCCCGGGAATATAGGTGTAGCGGTTGCCAGAAGTCGCACAGCTTGGGAGTCAGGGTATCCTGATCAATGCCTCAACGCCTGACGGGTCTGATATTTAGAGGGGGCGCAAGAATTATTAGGGGGCGGGGTAAACGTGAAAGTTGCATAAATATCCATAGGCGTAGCCAGGAGGGGGGGGGGGGGGTGCGATGGGTGCGATAACAATAGGCTTTATATATGCTTTAATGTTTTATTTAGCATGATGCTTTTATGTAGGCTATTAATTACAGTTCTTTTTGCAATATAAAACTGGTATGTTTATGCAAATTCCGATTGGACTAATATAAAGGGATATTGTTTCATTATGTGGACTTGAGAAAGTCCGACATACTCATTGCTTTCAACCCAAAACTTTAAATAGGAAGTTATCAAGATTCCAAGAACACGATCGCTACTTAAACAATACGTTTGTAAAATCCCGGCGATCGAAATGCAATCAACCTTTCGCAATCAGGTGCCTAATTAGTCTTTTGATCTCTAAAGTTTTACGACTGAACGTTTCAATGAACTCGTGAGAAGCAAACGCAATCATCATATAAACATTTTTGAAAAGTCAGTCTCGGAAGAATTTTCCAAGCATTCCCTGCTTCGATGCGTTTTTATTGCAAGGGCCGTTTAGCGCCGATATGAATTCATTATAGGGCATTAGGGTTGTGCTTTATTTGTTTTATTTATATAATGTTATAAATGTGTACGACACTTTAATGAATTATTTTTAGGGTTACAATGCATATTTGACTTTTCCCTCTAAACGTTTAAAATTCATCTTTATACTTTTCTTAGTTTGCTTCAATAAAATTTAACATTGGATCCCAGACAGTTATCAAATTCTCAGACATTTGATTAATATAGATATTTGTACTTCCGTTGACCAGTGGTGCTGGTGTGACTGAGATTCGAATCTAATATGTTTCATTTTTATGTAAATTGAGAGGAATAAAATTTTATTTTAAGCGTTTTAACAATCTTAACGTTTAGCGTGCAGCTCAACTTAATACACAATCAAAGGTCAGAATACAGAAATAAGAACATGCCTTTTATTTGTTATTCAAGCTCCAGCAATATGAGGCCATCTTATTTCTAGGAATTATTTCTGCCTCTCATTCCTTAAACCGGCTTCGTTAAACAGTGCCAAAATATATAAGTCGGAGCCAAAAACAAGACTATTTTTATATTTAAATCCCCTCACCTTGTCAATGTCTATGCCTGCATCTGGTTTTCCCACCTTTGGGAGGGAGCCAATATACACATAGATTACTTACTGGCCATGGACAGGGGGGGGCACAGAAACGAACATTCTGGGGTCATAAGGGATACTTGGGGAAGAGGGAGGGGTGGTGGTGAACAGTGAAGTCCGGGAGTGAAGTTAAGGGGTACTGAAATCTTTCTTTTGATATTTAGTGCTTGAATGGAGACTTGTTTCCACTCCCCGCATTCTAGTAGAATTTAAATATTTGATCCAA